GATCAACTGATCGTCGCTGATATCAACCTTTTTGGGCAGTTCAGGTGCGGCTACAGACGCGGTGGAGGAACGGGCTATCGAACTGTAGACTATCGGGAGCCAAGAGATGGGGGTGTTTCTAGTGAAATGTCAGTATACTTGCATAGAATGTATAGAATGTACGAATATTGGAGAAAATGCCGTTTCAGACACAGGTATGCAATTTAGGAATGTGACTCGGCTGATGCCTAAGACCCCTTTCTTTTTCTTTTTCTTTTCCCCTCCCCCTTATCCTATTTGGAGTACAGTGCAGGTTCAAAGCTGAACTTGCTAAATACGGGGGAAATGCGGACCGGATCGTAATATTAAATTTCCATGCGCCAGTGGACATGTCGTAAGAGTGCCAAGGAGAGCTATCCGAGCATATGCATACATGGAATGTCCTCTACTCTGTGCTCGGGAGATATCTTAAACCATGTTTCTTACGGAGTATGTACTCTGTAGTTTTCAGCAGATGAGTGTGAAGTTTTCTATTTGTGTAGTAGTACATCCTACGGACGATCGACAGGGCATGTCCCTTTTTTTTTTTTTTTTTTTTCTCTCTACATAAGCATCTGCCACGTCCGTGCAGAAGGCAACAAAAGAGACGCCTTTGTTGGCTGATTGGAGGATAAGACAGGCCCGAAGCGAGGTCGCGTGGAGTAGTTTGAGACCTGTGGGATTCGCAAGTTAATAGTCAACCCGAGGGAGCGGAGGCGATTGGCTTTCGGGTGAGAGAATAAACGGGGAGGCTGTTGAACCTTTTTAAGGTCCGAGCCAAAGTCAAAGAGAGAGAAAGATAGAGTAACCATGGCCGGTGAAGCCGGAGACCAATCATACTTCCCTGTATTGGGGGCTAAAAAGGAGAGGTGCAGATGACCGTGGTCTACAATATACCGATGGTCTGGGTATTTAGTATAAGGGAAATTGGAATCTAAAAAGACTTTTAACGAATAGCCACCGAGACAGCTCGCTTGTCTCTGCCATCTCTCTCGTATTCTGGCCATTTCGGTCTAGTCCGTGCGTTGACGTCTCTTTTTATTGGATAGGAATCCTACCGTGATAGAAACGTATCCATTTTATTTCTTTTTACTCTTTTTTCCTTTTTCCCTAAAAATCCAAATTTCTTTCTCAATAATAGCCGGGTCCATTCCTACACTTTCTCTCCGGAGTCCCTACGCTAGCGCCATTATTATTATTATTATTTTTCACGTCGGGAAGCAAGGGATTTTCCCTCGAGGGTCTTTTTCTCTTTCCTTATAAAATAGGTATACACTTTGGCTATGAACATAATCGTATACTTCGTAGAGTTAATATCAATATAAGAACTTAGGTACCCTATATATTCTATATATTGATACCCACTCAAATAGAACAATTCGGAATGACCAACCGGGAGACATGTTATTAGCTGTCAACCACGTTCTGCTGACACCCCTCTCTTTCGCCTTTTTTCACCTTTTTTCCCTCTTCCTTTTAATATATGAATCTGTATTATAACTCATTCCTTTCCCCACGGTGACCAGGTGGCTAGACCCGCGTCGACTCCATTCCCCGAGAAAAATCAATCTTATTTACTTTTTTTTTTTTAAAAAAAAGAGACTCTCTCTCTCTCTCTTATTATAATACTTCCCCCGCGCTTGCTATCGCCTCCAACGCCACGGTCCCTTTGCCCACCCCCCCACATCTTCTTCTCAGCTTCAACTTCTTCCTCATTTCTCCCCCGAAATGTACTATACGCGCGCTCGTCGACCGTGACAACCTCTCGGATTCCCTGATTATCATTTTTTTCGAGAGTACTCTAGTTCCCAGAAATTCCCCTATTTCTTGGACCTGAGTCCCTCGACTCTCTTTATATTCCGATCGCGAGCCCCAGCGATCGACGATCGCCCCTCCTGGATTCTACCAGCCCTTCCGGGGGCTTACCTGGCGATCGAGATTGGACGTTAAGCGGATCCTCTTTCGGTCAACTCACCAACATCAACGACCCCGAATTTTACGTGAGGGACGCCAACCTGGCGACTCTAGCAGTGCCAGCGGGAATGGGGACAGCGTTGGACGCGCTGTCAGCCCCGCCGTTGAACATTCGTCGTTCTGCGGCCCCGACATTGCCCAGCTTCGAGCTCCCACCACCACCCTTCACCTTGGGTGCGGCAGCACCCAAATACGCAGGACATCCCCCTCCAGTTTCCCACGCGCCAGTCAATGTGAGCGTGGGGAACCTTCTAACGCCACCCGCTACGATTCAACCAGGGGACCACGCCACACCTCAGCCATTGGCGCCCTCAACAGGCGCGTCCTCAGAGCTACCGCCGGCATATTGGTCAGGGGCCAATCCATACGGACAGTCCTGGGCTTCCGGCGTAAACCAATACTCCCGAAGCTCCTTCTCACCATCCGGCATGCAGCGCTCGGGAATATCACCGCCGACAACGGATGGCCTGCCACACCCATATGAAGGCCCGGCATTATCTTATCAACCTCTCCCCGCCCCGTCAACACTGCCTCCCTCCGCCTCACAACCCGCCATGGCCATGTACCACGGCCACGCTACATCCCCCGCCCCACTGCCATCAAACGATCCATATGCCCCCAAACATCAGCATATGTATGCCGCTTCTCCCCCCATGCACAGTCCCCACCAGACCGGCTTCTCTCCCATGTATGGCCCCGCCGGCCTCGGCATCCATCCCCCAGGACGAATGCCCGTTCACAGTCCCGGAGGACAACCACCATTGGGATATCCCCGCCAGCCATGGCCGTCATATTCCCTCCCTGCAATGAACGGTCCCGTCATGACCAACGTGCACAGCCCCGGCGGGCCCATGTCCATGATGGGAATGCAATCCGGTCTTCTACCGGGATTCAACAGTGGACATGTCGCCAGCTCTCAACATCTATATGGGGGCCATCCACCACCGCATGGAATGTCCGCCCCCGCAGCAGACAGGCCTTTCAAATGCGACCAGTGTCCGCAAAGTTTCAACCGCAATCATGATCTCAAGCGCCATAAGCGCATTCATTTGGCCGTGAAGCCTTTCCCTTGCTCGCACTGTGACAAGAGCTTCTCGCGCAAAGATGCTCTTAAGGTATGTTATTTACGATCCTGTAACAATTGCGCATTCACTAACTTTTACAGCGACATATCCTTGTGAAAGGATGCGGAAAGGACGGGGACTCGGACGCGACCAGTAACCAGACTGGGACTGATATCAAGGGTGAAGGGCGGAGCGAAGATGGCAGTCCCCTTCTCAATGGACGTTGAACGTTCTTCCAATCTTTCCCGTGACATTTTCGTCCCTGCGACGTAACTCCCCCCGAACATTCATCCACATATTTATGGGGAAGTTTGATATTTGTATGTATCTACCGAGGCATTGGGAGTCGAGGTTTTCTACCGGATTTTACTTTTGATTTTTATGTTATTTTTTGAGCTTCGGCGAAAGGTTTGTGATTTGGGCATCATGGGAGGGTCTGATTCTCTGCTTTTTATCCCTCGTTTTTTTATCCGGATTTTATGTTTACTATATGTGCTTATCGGACTCATGTGTGACGTGTGTACCTATCCTGCTTCTCTGTGATTTAAAGCGATTAAGCGAACTGTTAATGGGATGGGCTACGTCGGTATATAAACAATCCCTGCATCAATTATGATATGGAAGATATCCCGAAGGAACAAAGTACATTAATCCTCTTAATATATGTGATAACACAGCTTTGAAACTTATTCTAAGCCACATTTTGTTACTCAATCATTATTGGCTAAGTAGCTACCTATTGACGCTGAGATGTGGGAGTTTGTCAGACTTGGCTGAGCCGCCATCTCAGCCACTTACTGGGTAGCCACATGGCTGTCTATTTTAATTGAACAACAGGTGTAGGTGAATCTAGGTGTTTAGATGGATTTGAATATAGATCTCATGACTTTCATTTTTGTGTGTCTGTGTGAGGAAAGGGGGTTTATATTGTGTTGCTGAAATAGGTATCATTGTAGTGGCCCATCAGGAAATCAAGGAACGATCCTCCATATAAGTAGATGATCGCCATCTCCGCGATCATGTCCCTTTGATTTGGGGAAACTATAAAAATCATACTTTTGATTCAATTCTCCGGACGCTGCTTTCCCCCCTTTTCCCTTTTCCCTCGATCACAGTATATAGCCCTGGAGGTACCCAGGTATCCGCCGGGTGAGCACATATAGGTTACATACATGTCCATGGATGTATGTAGTGTGATACTCCCACCTCCTATCTCTATTCCTCTCCCAGTCCGCCCTTACTGAGTAGTATTCTCTCATGGTAATGTATTTCATCATGCCTCTACTGTTCTTGATATGTGTTCTGTACAACAGACCCTAGCATTCCATAGTTAGCACATGGTCAATAGGAAACTATTGCCATATCTCCGTGTTGGTAGGGATTCTCGTAGTGGGAGCTACCAGATCCCCAAAACTGTACAAAACGGAACTAGCAAGGTTCGATTCGATGTCCCAACGCTAGAAACCACTCTCGACCCTCTCCAGTCTAGACGCACCTCAGATAGATCCAATCAACAGCTCCGTCTTCGACTGGTGGTGTTTTGACGCCGTCTCAGAGACAAACCCAGATGATTCCCTAGTGGTCACATTCTTCACCTCATCCATGGACGCATTTCCATTCCTTAATGCGAACGAACCCTCCGTACTAAATGTCTGGTTATGTATGGGCTTTGTTCGCCAACGGAACCCACTATGAAGATTCCCTCCCGGCAACTGTGGCGACTGTGACTGGCGCAGACGGTGCGGGAACCAATAGTTCTGGGAACTGGTCTCCCACAGGCTGTAGCTGGAATACTCTCACAGAGGATCTATCAAAGTATGAAATTATCACCACATCGGAGAAACTCCATGTCGAAGGACGGTTAACCTTGACTTCGTTAAGTGACTTGAATCGCAGGAGCGGACTGTGCTTTCTAACTGTGTCCAACAGCGAGCGCCGTATCATCTACCCCGTGGAATCTAAGGGGAGCGGAGCCAACTTGAGATCAGGCCTCATATTGGATGGGTTAATCTCGTACCAGACGACGTGGGTGAGATCGATATGAATATCCATGGGTCGACGCTCAAGTTCCGAGGTCCTGGGTACCATGACAAAGTATGTGATTTGAGACCACGCGACATAAATTAAGAACTTCAGCTGACAGGTCATAGAATTGGTCTGATCGACCATTTGTAGACTCTGTCCAGAGTTGGTACTGGGGCCATGGCTGTCTAGGTCCATACTCGATCGGTTTAGTTACCTCGCCATGAATGCACAACCAACGCTACATATATGAGTAGCTATGTTGCTAAAGATGGAGAGATGCTCGTATCGGCTTGTGACCCCTCTCTTCTCACTGTGAAGCCGATTGGTAGGCCCGGGAAGACTGGTGGGCGATATCCGCCATATGCGTGTGATTTACCGGAAGGATTTAGATTAGAATATGACCTAGAAGAGGGGAATGGTCAGTTGTATGTTAATGTCTCGGTGAGAACGGTGGTTGCGGAGGATGAGGAATATTATATGCGATGGACAGGTGACATGGTCGGGGAGGTGGTTGAGTCCGAGGAGAGACCAGAGTAGGCTGGTGGCGGTGGCTCGAAAAGAGAAACGGGGGAACGTGAGGTGCACTCATCTTCATCTCTTGTTGGTGTTGCGGTTTTGGAGCAATTTGCTTTATTGTAATAGATGATGTCGAAGCTGATCATCAAAGGATTCATATAATATACTCACATGCTGTATGTAGAAACCACAATTGTATTGGCTTGAATAGCTCACAACTAATGTAAAAGAACGAAATAGTTCCGAAATGCTCGCGCGACGCAAGGGAATTGGGATGACAAAATACATAAATACATATCAGACAGGATCAAACAAAAGAAAATGAATGACGATACCCGAAAACATTACTGAGTCTTTTGCTTAGATTTCCACTCATCGACCAGACCCCGATAATCCTCAGCACCATATGGCTGCAAGCATCGAGCCATCAAGCCCTGCTTGCGCCGTGTTGACAGACCCAGTTCTCCCAACATCAGATCAACATATGGGATTGCATCAAACACAAAGTCAGGGTTCCGCCGCCCGAATCCTCCCGGGTAGCGATATTTGCCAAATTCAGTAAACAGGGCTGTCTCCCAGGCGAGATCGATTTCCGAGACATCTTCCGTCTTGAGGTCAGATGCACCACGCACAGCGAGTGGGCAGCTTTCGCGTGTAGCCGGGGTCAGATCGCCCTTGAAATAAGCCGAGATCCACAGTGCCTGGGCCTGAGCAACCAGGGTTGTGTTGATGGTCATGGTGATACCCATGAAAGCCAGGGATCGTTCATTTACCAGCGAAAGCGGGACCATGAACTTCGCCAGTCGGAACGGGTGCGGCACAGCCGCCTCGGACTGCGAGCTTAACGGGGTGTAGTGAGGGTTTGGTTTTGGTTGATCACGCAGTCGGGGGAAACGGCGCAAGATCTCTTCGTCTGCTGCTTTGACTAGCTTTTCATCCAGCGGGTCCACACTCCAAGGGAATCCCAACTCGCGGTCGATGCCTTCAGGCAGGAACTTGAGGTTTGGGGTGCAACGCCAGCCTGTTGAGCAAATCAGCGCCGAAGATGGCAGCGCATCACCCGATGACAGATGAACAGTGTGATCCGAGAGACGCTTGATATCAGCGACGTGAATCTTGATAGTGCCATCCTTGACCAAATCAAAGAAATCGGTTGGATAGTTCAGAATGCTGAGCGAGGAAGCAATCCAGAATGGGCCTACCCAGGGCTTCAGCTTCTTCATCTCCGGGTGCTTGTCGTAGCCGTTCAACTGTATAACATCATCCCCCAGAATACCCCAGAACGCATCCACGATCTTACGACCCAGCCAAGTACCATGCAAGAAGCTGCGAATGCCAGAATACCCGTCCGCGTCTCCCCAGATACACGGACTGAACCATGTCAGCAGACGTGTTGTGACTAGCTTTTCTAGCCACTTTTTCAGGGGGGTCACGTAGGGAGGCGCCATCCAACATGGTCCATGACCGGACTCACGAATGATCCAGTCTACTTTCATACCGCTCGTTGCGCAGGCATATGCCGCATCCCAGGCAGACTTGGTACCGCCGAAGACGGTCGCGTGCTCTCCAGACTGCAGTACAGCGCCTTGATGCTGCAGCAGATCCCGACAGTGGAAAAGTGGCGCATCGAAAGACTCCTCGCCTTCGAAGTTAGGCAGGTATGCCTGTGAAGTGACACCGGTGGCGACGATCATCTTCTTAGTATTGATTGTTGTTGTATCTGCTCCATGCGACACACTCAACTGCCATGTTCCGTTCAGATTGTGTCGCGCGCTTTCCACATGGTGTTCTAGTCGAACGCAATCGGCAAATTTAAAGTGTTGTATATAAGCCTCCATGTATTTTTGAATTACATGGCCTGGAATATGTTGTCCAGGCTTGATGCCGAAAGTCGCTTCGTCCATTGGGAAGTCGCTATACTCATACGTGCCCAGCATATTGTTCGATTTGAGGCCTTTGTATAGACGGTGTTTCGCCCATACTCCGCCCACAGAGCTGGCAGCTTCGAGCAACAGCACATTGTGGCCGGGATTGACTTCGCGATATGTCTTGACGGCGGAGAGCCCGCTCCAACCTACACTTGTTAGTGAAATAGATTGCGACGGTGAAGATTCAACTTACCTGCACCTACAACCACAAGATCCACGGACTCCATATTATTTTTTTGAAGAGTCCCCTACTTTTGTCTTTTTTTTTTTTTGGAGGGGTTGAAAAACAACTTGCGGGACCAGGATTAATGCATGAATTTATGTAGCAAATAAATGCAGCCGATCATCAGACTGGAGAGGAATGTGCTAAAAGTATTAGCGTCGAGTATTTGATTTTCCCTTTTTAATTTTAGCCCTTGCAGTTACAGGGACTCCCGGATGGAATGGTGGGACTAAATTGGACCTGGAACATCGCTAGAAAAATTGACAGTGCTCTTAACTTCTGTATGGCATGTCTTTCTTTGAAATGGGACAAAGATATGCACAAGAGCCCGAGACACTTCAAGTATAGACTTTAAGGTGATGATTCCACAATGGTATTATAACTGTAGACCTATTGACCTATCTGGGTATCTCGGTACGGTGTACTTGGCATTTACTTTGCACTCCGTACTCCCAACTCTGGTGTCCTTCAGGAGAATTGGAATCCGCACTGAATATTTTAGCTTCCCTCCGTCGTTTGACTAGTTTAACTGTGCTGTCAAAGCGTGGCTAGACCCGCGCGGATCGTCCGCAAATCTTGTTTAACCCAGCGTTTAGTAGGGTAAGCGGATTACGAGTCGGCAACCACTCCACTGCCATAGGTTATTTTTTTACTCGTGCCGTTTGCATTCGCTAATTTTGTGTCAAAAAGAAAATAAAGTCGGGACCAACAATATGCACGTTGCCATCGGTTGGTATCTCAATCTAACTATTGGGCGTCCAATCCAATTGAAATGCAAATTATTCAAGACGGTTAGAAAACGGGAGGGAAATACGAACTGACCGTTCATATATGACCCGCTTTTTGATCCACCCAATGGCAGCGGCACTTGACCATGAAGATTGGGAAGTTGTACTTGTGATATGAAACATGGGATGTTGAGGGTGCAGAAAGTTAAAGTTGATGAGTACATGAGGTGTCAACCCCCTAATCCAGACCGGAACCCGTGGCCTAAATCAATACTTATGATATCCCCTGGACTCATTTGGCGCGATACAAATACACGGCATCGGCAAGAGATAATGAGTGGGCCAATTTACAAAATCTTGGCTACATGTGTGTCGGAGTAATCTCCGGTCTGATCAACAATCAAACCAACCGAAAAGAGAATGTGGGTCAGATAGCAATACATACTATTGCTGAAGCTATACACACCTCGGGTGAATGAGATTAAATTGGCTATACGCAAACTTTATACAACTGCACCAATCCGAACGCCTCTGTGTTGGTCTGTTTGCACGTCATAGGAGGGGCCCCAGAGAGATCCATGGCATGGCAGTTGCTGCTTCTCAAAATTGGCCCAGTTGATATGTGCCTGAAGGTGTACTCGTGTGTAACCGAAAAAGCTCTCAGGACAAAATGAGATTCTATCAAGACACTCCCGTCTGGACTCGTATTTGAGGAATTGCCTCTTTACTCCGATCATTCCCCCAACGGGGAAGTTCAAATCAACTCAGGGGAGGTGTGGACCTTTTAATTGCCGGCTTGCATTTCCGGGAACCAGTAATTTGGGAGTGGAACAAACGGTCTTCTCGACCTTAACCTTGTTCCCGGCACGTTGAAGGACTAGCCCGTCCAACACTAAAGATAGACCGGTTATTATCCAATAAGACTTGGAGAATGTAGCCACGGAGCTGTCACTTTTGCAGAAGGATTCTGGACCTGTAAGAAACCTTGTTTGCATGCGAGTATCTCCATAAATGGGGGAGTTAGTTCGATGGAAGCCACAATATGTAAGTAGGCCCGGCCTACAGATATTTGAGATCTCGTTCTTGCTTTTTCTTTTTGCTGTTGTTAAGTCGACCAAGGAGCGCGCTCGGTTCTTTGTCCGAATTGGTTCCAATATCAACGAGCAAGATCAAGGGAAACCATTGAGATACTGTCTTCTGTCGCTCACTTCCCCCCCCCTCTCTCCACGCAATTGACTTTCTCTCCCTTTATCTGAATGCACATCCTGGGTTGAATGGTATTTCCCTTTGATTTTGATGGCATATAGTGTAAAGCTATCACTGAAACTCGCCAATCATGGATAGCTTTAATACAGAAGCGTTCACACTGCTGGGGGTAGCCGTTGTCGTCATTGGTCTACGAACGACTGCAAGATGGATTATGGTTGGGCCAAGAGAGTTCCAAGCTGATGATTATCTGATGCTGGTGGCGGGTGTAAGTTGGATTGGAGCCTGTGGTCTCTTTACTTCCATCTTGCTAATCAATATGGGTATAGGTGGTGTATGGACTAGAAACCGGTGCTGCGTACATGGTCGGCGCGTGGTTCATGGGCCTTGCCAATAACTCGATGACGGACGAACAGCGAAAAGAATTGTCTCCTCAGTCGGAGGAGTATCGTCTGCGTGTCGGTGGCTCCAAAGTCCAAGTGGCCGGCTGGTCATTATACACTTTGCTATTATGGTTGCTGAAAACATGCATGGCTGTGTTCTATTCTCGATTGACGTGAGTTTTGATCCAACTGCAATCCATTCTGTCCATTGTTACTAACCTACTTCCTACTATATAGTGCCGGCTTAGTGAATATGCGAATCCGAATCCACATCGCCTATGTTTTGATCGGCATAACTTATATCGCCACGATCTGTTCGATTCTCTTCGGTTGTCACCCAATCGACAAAAATTGGCAAATATATCCAGACCCTGGGAGTACGTCATATGTTATTCACGACTGGCCACCTTGCGAGACTGTGCCTCTAATTATTTATTAGATTACTGTCAGCCCGCCGTATCCAAGATTGACATATATGTGACCGTGGTACTTAATGTCGCGACCGACCTCTATCTCATTAGTATTCCGGCGCCGGTAAGCTCCTCTCTCAATACTTGTGTGTAATGTCGCTAACAATAGATGTGTGAAGATGCTTTTCAAAGCCCGACTAAGATGGCGGGAAAAGCTTGAGCTCCTTATTCTTTTCAGCGGTGGCCTGTTCGTCATGATGGCTGGCATTCTGCGCTGTGTTCTGATCTTAACAGTAAGTTATATCGAGAGCTATCTGCTTAGATAACACAATCTAATATTTCCCTAGGCTGGCGCAAACGGAGCTCAACAAGCCGGCAGCTGGGCCTGTCGCGAGACTTTCGTCGCGGTCATAATCGGCAATATCCCCATGATATACCCATTGATAAGACGATTCACAAAACGTGCTGGTCTATACATCTCATCAAGGGGTGGCTCACAGAGCTATCCTGGCTATCCTCTATCAGATGCCGACACCGGCGGGTATGCCAGACGCAAGAAGTTCCGCCATCCGTTATCGATTCCCGGAGACACTCAGTGGAATACAATGAGTGACGAGCAAATGATCTTACCTACCTCACGACAGCAGCCGGCCACCTGCACTGCTGCCGACGGCGACTGGGAGTCTCACAGCCAGAGTAGCCAGACTGGAATCAAGGTTGTTCATGAAACAATTATTCACAGTGTCGAGAAGTCTTCTCGGTCATAACACGAAGACTTTCAATAAAGGTCTTGCGGAAGCCTTTCCTTTCTCTCATTTTTGTTGGTCTTAGACATTTGAGCGTTGGCATCTCTTATCATCTGATTTCTTTATGTCATGTATATATTTTTATACCCACTTTCTTGGCCGTTTCCAATTTCTTTTTGCTTTTCTTAGGAATCAAATACATACCATGGAGTACTACATAAAGTTTCATAGGAATTTGCAATCCGACAAACTAATAGCTGAAACTGTATCCAGACCAACAGGTTATAAGGCAGATTGTGATTTGAACACGTTCTAACCCGTGAAAATTGTTACACAAAACTTGGTTTCAACCGAGCGGATGCAAATTCCCATTCATCTGCTAAAGCGATATTGTCACGTCTTGCACCAAGGATGGGGATTTGAAACCGAGCGGATTAAGTATGCAAGGAGGGTATTTGCAGAAGGCGAAGTAAAGGGCGAAACAATCATGGATATTGACCAGCTATGAAGAATGAAACTAGATCTATAGAGAATGAATAGGAGGCCTTGGCAGCTAGGTAGTGATGCAAGTGATACGAAGGGGCTGAGATGAGACCACCAGGCAGTCCCCCATGAGAGTACTTTCTGCAAGCCATTAAGTGTTTCAAGGATATGTACTTGTGTTTTGTTTCTCTCTCTTTGATTCCCTATCTCCTTCTATAAGGAGATATAGTTCACCTCAGATCTGTAAATTTAAATGTTCCGGGGATTTGTTCTCACCACGTACATGGTTTCACCCGTAAAGGGGTTCGTGGAACAATGCCAGTTGAATTAAATGCACCGGAAACGCGAGTCTGGGACTGAACCTGCCTTGCCATACTTAAGTGTTCCTGTAATATCATAGTAGCAACATCGAACCCTATGATGATCCAAGGCAAGTAGCATGGGATATTGAATCCTTCTCGCTAATGCGCTATTTTGTAGGCTGTTACTATACATCTAGTTTCGTAAGGAATTGCATATCATCGCATTACGCGTTTGCTATGGAAGACCGAAGGTATTTGAGGTATTTGAGTAGATTTGAATAGATTGTTGCCTTTTATTTTGACATCTTCTATAGGACAGATGCACGAGATGTGAGTGTTAGACAGCAGCCAGAAGTTTTGGCTTCCATGGGTCTCCACCCTGTAGACGAAAGTAATTCCGCTATCCTTTATTATAATGCGTATCGGAAAAATGGGTTCTGCTTGTCGGTCAGATCATCGAACGCAATCTTGTCTCGTTGAACCTCATCTAATTCCAATGTTTCCCGAATTCTGTTCTCCCGCCGAAGGACCAGATACAACACGACCGCGGCAGCAATCGTGATACAATAGCTATCCTTCGTTAGATCGGTCCCGTAAGAAGAAATCAGATACAAACTTACCAGATGATCATGCCAGTCCACAGTTCTGGGTAATGTTCTGACTTGGTGTTGCTTTTCACAAGCTGCGGCCCGATGATGTTGCCGACAGTGTAAGCCACAAACACGGTTGCCGCCATGACGGTTTTTTTCGTGGCCCCGGCGACGTTGCTAGCTCCAATTGTGATGATCAAGCTGACTACTGGCCCAAAGAAGCCAGTCAGCGCATAGCCAACGACTGGAAGAGCTGGATGATATCCCCATTGGGATTTCCAAATCATCACACAGCCAGCAATGACAGGTAGACAGCAGGTAATGAGCAAGGGTATGCGGGTATTGGGAACAACAGTAGGGATATAACCACAGAGTGGAATGAAAATGATACAAATGGCGCCGACGGGAAACTGGAATACAATTGAAAGAAGGGTATCATAGCCGAAGGTGGAAACAATCAATGGCCCGAAGCCCGAGATAGCACCATTGATAGTGTAGCTAGATTTGGAGAGGTTAACATCAAGGAATGTATCGTATCGAACGTTATAGAACACATAATAAGGGAGAAAACTCACGCTGACGCCATCATGATAGCCACCAGATAGATCTTAACGTCCATCACAGCCTCTTTGATCTGATCGAACTTGATCTTCTGGCACCGAACACCAGTTTGACCCTTGCGCAGTCTCTCCACAGCAACCACTCGTTCTTCCTTAGTTAAGAACCAAGCAGAAACCGGAGAATTAGGCATAGTGCAACACCAGAGGCCAAACAAAAAGGTCAAGGCACCAGCCAGAATATAGATGTACTGCCATCTTTTCAATGATCCAGATGTAATTTGGCCAAACCCATAGTTCAGGGCGCCACCGATGATAGTGAACCAACCAGTGCCAGAGAACCACCATGCCTGTCGAAGAGTCTGCTCCTCTTGCGTGTACCATCCGCTGACAATGGTCATGAAGCCCGTCGGGATGACACTTTCAATGAAGCCTATCTTCTATTAGACAAGAGACCAGTATAAGATATCAAAGGTAAGCATACCAAGGAAGAATCGTTGCACGAAAAGTCCTTGCCAGGTTGTCACACCCGCGGTGGCAGCACAGACAATGGCCCATGTCAGAACAACTGGACCCAGGACAATTCGAGTATTAAAACGTTGCAAGATAAATGTCATTGGGTAGAGACCCGCAAGCATTCCGAAATAAAAGATTGATGTTGCCCAGCTCAGCCGTGAAGTATCGGCGGATGGAGGAGACGTGGAATAGTCCTTCACTAGTAATTCCAAGTCGGTCGTCATGCCAAAGAGCGTTGCGCTACCTAAGATAGCCTACAGAGAGATCAGTATATACTGGATAATAAAGAAACCGGTACAGTCATCCCACCTTGTCATAGTATACCATGCCATAGCCTGTGTTCGAGTGAGTCAACAATTCCCGGTCACGGATATGAAGTATATAACCAACCTATGAGCATAGCAGGCATCAAATATAAATCGATCTTTCGCAGAACCCTTTTTTCCACCATCGGATCAATTTCTTGGGCGAACTCGCTCACCACCGCCAACGCGGCATCTTTTTCGGATGAGACGTGTGGCGATTCGCCAGCGCTAGTTATGCCGTGGAGCTGAATCATGTTCTCACACCAAAATGGCTTCGCTGAACGTCACAAAAACCGACAAAGTGATATATCTCTGAGATATGACTCTATGTAATAGTTAATGAGAAAATCTGCTTAAACTTCCTACCTTCCACATGAAGATGTCCGATATCGCGCATACCGCCTTTGAAATTTTGACAGAAGTTAGCGACCGGAGTAAACACCTCCGACTCCATCACTTGACCAGATGGGTTGGAATACCATTATCACTATTATCGAGTTGAGGATGCCTTCTCAATAGGAAAATTTGATAACGTTAATCTTATTGGGTGTAAATCTATGGATTCCAAGAACTTTACCGCAAGAGGCCATGCCTCCTCCCCTTAGATTCGACGTAGTCCCGACGAGGTCCAGTATTTATATACGAGTAGGTTCTTGTCAAAGGGTGAGCTAGAAATATCTCAGCAGATCTTTCGCCGGAGTTAATATGGAGTTAATATGGAGTTAGTATGGAGATAATAAGTACTCCGTACGCTGCCCGCAATAGCAGATCGGAGCTGGAATGTGATATGAATGTCTAAATTCTACCAGAATGGTTATAGCATAGATCGAGTTGCATGAAATAGGCCATGCATACGCCGAATACAATCACTAAATGGACATTGGTGACCGCTACTTTTGCTCCAGTTCCATGGATCGAGATTTGAGTTCCATTTGTATCAATTTTGGAGGAAAAAGGCCGATCACTCGCCAGTGGGACCTGCACCATCGACCAGGCCCACTAATTGCATCACGGATCATCGATTATCTTCTCGATTTCGAAACTTTGTTGACTAAACATTCGGTGTGATGGATGACGTAGTAGAAGGGTCGCCTATAAAGGCTGTTAACATCTGAATCTCAATATATTCCCAATTTCACAACCATCTATTACATCAATATTTCCCACAATGGCAATCAACTTCACCGTATACAAGGGCTCCAAGGATGGAATCATACAAGCCAAGACTGAGCGAAAGGAACTCAAACACGACGATGTCCTAGTACGAACCACGCATTCGGGAGTGTGCGGCACCGATGTCCACTACCAATCCGCCGATATGGCCCTTGGGCATGAGGGAACTGGTGTGGTGGAAGAAACTGGCCCAGACGCGAAGATCTTGAAGAAAGGCGATCGCGTGGGTTGGGGTTATGAGCACGACTGCTGTGGTTCTTGCAAACAATGCCTCACCGGGTGGGAGACATTGTGCAGTGAGCGAAAAATGTACGGCCTGGCCGATCTCGATCAGGGATCTTTTGGCACCCACGCCGTGTGGCGTGAAGCCTTTTTGTTCAAGATCCCCGAGAACATGAGCAACGAGGATGCGGGACCGTTGATGTGTGGTGGATCAACTGTTTTCAACGCCCTCCACGTCGCAGAGGTTCGTCCGACCGCGCGCGTTGGTATCGTCGGCGTAGGCGGTCTGGGACATCTGGCTATTCAGTTCGCCGCAAAGATGGGCTGTCAAGTCGTCGTCTTCTCCGGGACAGACAGCAAGAAGGACGAGGCGATGAAGCTGGGAGCCGGCGAGTTCTATGCGACCAAGGGTGCGAAGGAATTGAAGATCAAAGCTCCCATCGATAATCTCATTGTGACGACCAGCAGTCAGCCGGATTGGCCACTCTACTTGAATATCATGGCTCCCAGCGGTGTCATTTCGCCTTTGTCCGTTGATTCGAACGATCTCAAAATCCCATATATGCCGCTCCTCGTGAATGGCCTTCGGATTCAAGGTGGTATCGTGGGTTCGAGACAGGTCCACAAGGATATGCTTGAATTCGCCGCATTCCACAACATCAAGCCGGTCAAGATGACCTTCCCTTTGACGTTGGACGGCGTTAAAGAAGCCCTGAAGACACTGGAAGAAGGAAAGATGCGTTATCGTGGCGTTTTGGTGGCACCCTAGAATATCACTATGTGAACTTCAAAGCCCACTGGGTGTTTCTGATCCAAGTGAAGAATTCGGGAGCACAAGGCTGTATATAAAACATACATAGAATGGATGCATATGATTGAATCATAAATCTGATGTTTGCTTGTTCCAAGGTTCTTGTTAGCAGATAGTTATCATGTGTGTGGGAATAAAGGGAAAGAACAAAGGTATCAGGAATACGGCAGAGTTTAGAGCGATGTAGGATTGCTGGCAGAGAAGAAAAGAAGGGGGAGAGAGACAAGAGCTTTGTGTCTGCCGAGAGGGTTCTGCCATTTATTGATGCCTCAGATATCCTGAACTGATGTTTTACCACGAGAGATCGGAAAGGGAAAGTGCGAACGGGAAGGACGTGGTTGATATTCATGGAAGGCGAGGACCTTGAAAGTGGATTGAGCCATCCAAGTCAACAATTTGGCGACCAATGCAACTTAGACATCTTTTAGTGGGGATTTCCACAAACATACTATCTTGATCAAACGCTAACTATCCCGTCCATACTAACTTCTACACGCAAATTGCAACGGAACTAGCTCAAAGACGCCCTTGAATTGGTTTATCCTGCCCATCCCGAACATTGGCAGGGGGTAAGCGAGGCTCAGGCAACCCCAAGTCGCGTGCGACCTCCCGCGCTGCCCAGAGACCTGTCACGAACGCAAGAGCAAGACCCCCAGCGTATCCGAGATTGCTGAAGCCACCAGCATCAACGCCTGCGACGAGCAAACCCGGAATTTTGGATTTATCGGGAGTCAAGGCGTGCCCTTTCGCATCGATCGCAATACCGCCGTAGGTGAATGTGATCCTATTGAACGTTAGACAGAGGTGGCTGACGTATGCAAGAAACGACTTACGACGGCTGGACCTCCATGGCATAAAAGGGACCTTCCCCATCCACCAAGGGCGTAGGGGGCGAGCCAGCACGACCGATAGGGGCGTCAAGGGAAATACTCTTGTCCCCAAGGCGCACCACTCGATCATACTCCTCGATAGTCCGTCTTGCCTGTACATCGTTCACACCCCACCCGTGAAGAATACCCACTAAACCACTCAATGTTGACGCACTTCCAACATTGCAGCCATGGTCGCGGGCTTTCTGCAGACGATCGACGTCTCCTGCATTAGGGAACAATGCAGTGACGCAGTGTTGGACACGGGTTTTCTCGCTAGAATAAGCCACATGTCAGAATTTCACCCCAATCCCGTCTCTCTGGGAAGTAACATACTTGAACAAGATAAACCCGCGGCGCTTTTGCTGTTTCGCGAGATACTGATTGATGATCTCGTCACCGGTGGTCTCATCCGCAAATCGCTGACCTCCCTCGTTCAGGAGTAGACAGTATTTGCTTTCTGCAGCCTGATTAGAGAGAAACACCGAGTTGGCAAGGAGTTGCTCTTACGGTATTGCGCGAGTGGAAGATAGTCCTTTGGATCCACGTCTTCAGCCCGAAGCGGGGCTGCCAGAAGATGACCATAGTAGGTGTTCATTCCTCTACTGGTTCCCGCACCGGATTCGATGGCCAGCTTCAGTCCATCGCCCACAGATCCACGATTGGAGCGCACAAAGATATTGTCTCCTCCCTGGCCTAAGTATTTGGATGTCATCCCCGGAGAACCTTGGAAGCCACCCGTGGCCAAAACCACTATCTTGGCCCTGACTTCGTAATATAGAGCTGGCGAATTGGGGGAGCTCTTGCAAATGACAGCACCAATTATGCTAGATCCTGAAACCCCGGGCTCTCTTTGAATCAACTTGACCACTGACGTGTTGGTGAAGATTTCGGAACGTGTTTTGCTAGACTGAATGCGCTTTCGATGGAGGTTATGAAGATGTGGGATTTTAATTGGGAATCCAATACCTATAATGTGTTAGGGTAACTGCTCACCAAATTTCTTTTCCTAGTCCTACCGATTGTCATGATACCGTCGAACCGGTCAGCCGTTGGCACCCCATTTTCACGCATCCACTGTACAGCGGGCAAATAATCGCGTAACCAGGCCTCCTGCAATGTTGGATCTCCTTCTGGGACCCAGCTCCTCAGCTTGTTATATGTTTGCGGGGCCCAGCTGTTTGTTGCTGACATTAATAACCTTGTTTGTCTTTAAGATTGACTCGATCACTCACAACATTCCCGCGGAGTAATTTGACGAGCCACCAACATCCGCTTGCTTCTCGACAACCAGTACTTTAGCTCCAGATTCTGCCGCAAAAGCAGCGCATGCCATTCCAGACATGCCTCCTCCGCAGACGAGAACATCGACCTCAATAGTCTCCATGGTGGGTATGGTTGATGTCAGGACAGAAACCTCAGATCAATGGATAAAATCTTCAAACCCTCATCACAGCAAATGATTAATATTTAACATAATGGCCATACTATCGAATGTTGATATTCCGGGACCTACAGATGCCTCGGCGCCGGCGAATAAATTAAGTGGCCGGGTGGACCTCAGCGCAGGGATGCGGGCCATACAAATATGTTTTTTCACAGGTGATGGGTGAATGTAATCCCATGGACAATACGACCGTGTGAGTAATCCTAGTGGAGGACATTCTTTATTCCCTAGTATTTGGGCAGTGGTTTGAGGTACGCACTACATTTTCTCGAGGAAATGGAAGCAGGATCTAGGACAAAACAGCAGGTTGGAACGTGAATTTCTTGTCTTAACATTCAATATATCGATTTCTTAAATATGCTATTCGCTATATGGAGTATTGTGCCATCCCTTTTTCGAAGTTGCAGGCACAGATGACCCCAGCACCGCTATTTTACATAGCATTTAATATTCTCACAACTTCCCATTTGTATGCCGACCAAGCCCGCAATGGAAGGATATTTCTCGCCATGAGGCCATTCCTCTTCTAGCCCAGTCGTCGGGTACTCTATAGACAAGTTAAAGTTAGCACACGAAGTGATTGCCATCAAACAGTACACTTACGAAGAGCGCGGATTCCACATATCAGTATGAAATACTTCCATCGACACCCATCCAGTGTACCCAAGATCAAACACGGCTTTCGCAACTTCAAGTGCAGGAAGAACACCCCCGCGGTTCGCTTCACAGGGGAAGATCCGGCAGTTTCGCGATTGAGTCATGTAGGGGGGCTGCTTGAGGTCACGCCGAGGGTAGCCCACTTGGCTTTGATCCGCAACCATTGCATCACTTAACTGAAAATAGGCAATTTGATTTGGCGTCACTGTTCGTTTCATTTCATCCAAGGATCGACGTAGATTCGTCAGTCCGCCTGGTCGGATAGGAGCCACAGCACTGAACGGATCGCCTGCCTCTTTGGCAGAAATATGGAAGGTATCAAGACAATGACGAACGTTGGGAAGATCAATAAGCTTGATAATCTCATGGATTTGCTGCCAAGTGTTGAGGTGAGTCCCCCAGGCGGGCGCTTCGTATCCAACTTGTAAATCGTATTTTTTGGCAAGAAGACCCAATCGCTTCATGTTTGCAGCGATTGTGGTTACATCTGGCGTGATTCTGGCAGGATCAATGGGGTAGAGACACGATGTGATCTATAGTCAAAAGGTGAGGTCAGTTTTACACAGACCAGACAATAAAATATCAGTGGTGCTCTGCTCACCTGAAGGATTGGAATTCGCATCAAGCGACAAAGATCACACCAAAGCTCCGCCTCCTCTAGACGAGACTCAACTTCGGCTGGGTCAATAAGACCATCGTATGCGCCAAATGGGTTGAGTGCAATCAAAGATAAAGATAGTTCTTGCGCCTTTCGGTCAACATCAGCGGCGGCTGCGCGCAGGCGGGAAGCTCGAGATGATTCAGAGAAGGCAGAAGAATGCGCTTCAAGACACTCGATTGCAACCTCCACTCCATCGAATCCGTGCAATTTGGCTGCCTCGAGTTTATGAAGCAGTGTATGCCCTGCAGCCGACTTGCCCAGCGAATTACTAGCGATCGCAACTTTAACGGATGCCATTTCGTCCGGCAATTAGTAGTCATCTGCGAAAGAGACCGAGCAGGGGTAGAAGAGTGTCTAAGTGCGAGGGATAAAGGTATCTGAGAGGGAATTCCGGTGACCAAATTTGAGGCCGGGTGGATGGAGGCAAGTGCGGGGAGAATGAAATGAAATTCCGACTTCAAATAGTTAAAACATAAATATAGAACAGTTAATGGAGGATGAAACCACACTAAGAAGTTACTCAAGTTGAATTATGCCTCTTCGTGCGAGAATGAATACTCCACGTGTGGTGATTGTTACAGGTTGATACACCAGTTGACTCATCTCATCCAGCTTCAAACTAACTGGGACTTGTAGGTGGTGCCGATGGGTTTGGGGCTGCTATTGCTGATCGTTTCAGCCGCGAGGGATGCAAGGTCATAATTTTAGACTTGAATCAGGAGAAAGGCGAGAGCAAGCAACGAGCCGACTCGAATATAACTTTCCTCCCTGGCGATGTCACTCGCCCGGAGACATGGGAGAAGGCCTTGGATTTGGCACAGACAACCTATGGCAGGATTGATGTGGTTGTCAATAATGCTGGTAAGAACATCCGAAGTATTTCAAGAGTCAACTTCACTTTCTGATTTGTTAACTCGGCCCAAATAGGAATCACCCATGATCCATCTGTATGATTCCCTGCTTGAATGTAGGTACCCTTCTAATGCGATTATTTAGCCCATCCACACGAAGAGTCTCCTAGAATACGAGAGGACCTTCAATGTGAATGTGAAAGTAAGACGATCCAGCCGCAATACTTGGGCAACCGCTAAACGGTATCTATACAGCCGGTCTTCATCAGTGCACAGGTATTTGCGCCTGTTATGATGCAACAGGGACATGGGATCTTTATCAACATTACGAGGTAAGTGGCCCAATTAGACTCTGGTAGGAGGTTATTGACCAGCACAGCACTGGGTGTACGCGCCCTCGGCCGGGATTCGCCATTTACAACGCTTCCAAAGCAGCTGTAGAAGTAAGTACAAAGTTTGAAGCTCTTGCACCAAATAGTAACAGGTTTCTAGGTGGCAACCAAAACAATGGCTCTTGAATACGCCCCCACTGTTCGATTCAACTGCATCTCCCCTGCTGTGGGAAACACTGCTATGTATGTCCATATCAAAGTCCCCCCCCTGAGGCTACCTTTAACATGTACCAGGCTTCAAGCTAGCATTGGGAATGGCGAAGATTCCGGACAGCGACTACGCCAAGTGGAAGACATGTTGCCAATGAAACGATTGTGCCAGCCAATGGATATAGCCAATGCAGCATGGTATTTGGGATCGGAACAGAGTAGTTTTGTAACGGGAACGACCTTGGAAGTGGATGGAGGTCGCGGCGTGTAAATATAATTTCATAGCCGAAAATTCCAGGATTCCCCCGCAATTTTTGAAATTCCGGGGATATTTGATATTTCTCCACTCCCTGCGTCTCCTTACATCAATTTATATTTCGATGACCCCGATATTATTTGTTATTTGATTAGAGTCCCCATGTCTTCGTATTCTGGAGATGAAAATCCCTCTGGCCAAACTCGCCCCGCGGCCGCCGCGTGTGAGGCGTGTCGGAAATTGAAGGTATAGGCTCCAACCCCAAGTGATACATACATAATTGTTAACAAACCGTTTAGATGAGATGCATCCGCCCACAAAGGGAGCAGCAGGGCGATAACGTGACAGAACCATGTCAACGCTGTAAGCGTACCAACCGCGAGTGCAATATCCCAGAGCCGAGAAAGCTTGGGAGAAAGCGTGGCGCGACAGGTCGCTATCAAGGAATTGAAAAAGCCTATCGGAAAATGCAGTTGGAATTAAAGAAGGCGAAAACGTCTCATGCGGCCGAGAATGAAATGGGCCCTTTTGTCGCCGGCGAAGAGCCGATGCTAGAGCTCTTATTTTCCAACCCAGCTGAGACAAACGGCCCCGCGCAAATGTCATCAGAGTTAGGAACAGAGGGCTCTTGCGCCCCTTGCTTTGAATCAATTATGCCAACTGTACGGGACGATGAACCTTTAGGAAACACGGTCTCTCCTGTATTCTGCAGTGGTGAACTCTCTCAGCCCAATCGCGAACCAATCAGCAATCCTTTGGCTTTGCTCGCAGATGCATCCGATGCTGCCCAGGCGTTGGAACTACACTCAATATCCGCCAACTCTTCCCCGGAAACAAATGATTCATCTTCTGCGAGGCAGTCATCGGCCAACCTGTCAACTGGAGCTAGCCTGGGTCGTCAACTGCTTCATCGTCCAGGTTACGTGTCACTTGGCCTACAGCTGAGCAGAGATACTCTTGAAGCAGGAATCGATTTACTGGTCGTCCCTTCTGAAAAGCCATACCGTTATTTGAACTATTTCAAATCGTCTCCACAGGTGCCTCTACGCGATGTTGGCCCCGATGTTGACCCAGTAGACCTGGGTCTAGTGACCATGGATGAGGCCTGTTATTTGTTTCCAATGTATGTCACTACATTCGCTATACTATCGACCCACACGCACTGATTAATTTTAGCTATTTCATCCGTTTGCATCCCGTCAACGGAATCCTAGACCCGATGCTTCACACCCCGGATTTCGTGCGTTCGCGATCGGCTCTTTTGTTCACCTGGATACTGGCTTTAACTGCACAATTCGATCATGGGTCAGCCTCGGTCGCCAAACGATTACGTCTTCATGGCGAAAAGCTCTCGAAGCACGTTCATACCTGTGGATACAAGTCGGTTGAGATCGTTCAAGGCTACTATATCTCTTTACTATCAGCCACTCCCGCAGAGACACTGGCACAGGAGCGCTCATGGCTCTACACAATGTATGCCTTTGGTGTAGCAGCCGAACTAGGTCTAGACCAGGATTCCCGTGCCAAAGATTCGAACCCTCCGAACTCGACCGATGCTTCCTACTTTCGAACCCAGGATCCAGGTCCAACACCATTCCCCGGAAATGACCCGGCACGTTTGTTACTGGAGTATCCCCCAAAAGATCCCATCGACAATCAACGCATAGCGCGCAATCGTGAGAGAACGTGGCTAAGAATTCTATTATGGGAACGGGCGAATAGTGCAGCCTGTGGTAGAATACATACTTTTCCAGAAACAGATTTGACGCAAAGTGTCGACAGCTGGTGGCTCCATCACCTGGCAGACCCCACAGACAAGCACACATGTGCGTTTATCACCTTGCGACGTATTCTGGCATCACTACAAAATGAACTCAGACATCAAGCTCATTTGACACATGCCGACCCCCATTGGGTACGAGAAATGGTTGATACGGCCCTAAGACCCTGGTGTGACCTTTGGCTATCACATCCAATGCCCAATTTAATTACATCGCCCTCTGAGAAGCTGTCCAATATTTTCCTCCATTATGTTTATCTCCACGGAAGGTTATGGACCTTGTCATTTGCCCTTCACGGTTCAATAAACGGAGACCAAAATATGGATGCAATTCGGGGAGATTGCTTTGAGGCTGCAGTTAATTCTTGCGAGCTTGCCGTGCGCGATTTGCAAAATATCGGGGAACCGTTATATTGCATGTTAGCTCCGACATGGGCTATGATATCCTATGCCGGTGTGTTGGCTCTGAAGTTATTCCCGGCCTTGTATGGATCCCGCGTCGGAAACGATGTGGAACTTCTTGCTCTACTCAGCCAAGTTGCCATTCAATTAGAACGTGCAGGCACAACCCCATCGCATCGATTTGGCATTGCTGCGTTGCTTGGACAACACCTCATGATGATCCTGAGAGCCAGAGCCGTGGGACTGAAAGACTCGAGTCAACTTGGCCAGGTCAGAACAGATGCGTCGTACACCAACGCAGGGTTTGACGATGGAACGAGACAGTTTATGTCGCAGCAGTCCCCGCATTCGAAACCATACGAAGCTCTCATTTCAGATTACGATCCATTCTTGACTACGGCTTCAATGTCTACCCAGGGGGATCTGACTGGTGAGGGATTTGCTGACTTCTTCCGGGAAATGTTTGGGCCTGGATTCGGGGGTGTCTTTTAATAAATTGGCAAAGCAAAGCAATTTTTTACGCACGCAAGTTTTGCGTCTAATGGCCACCATGAATGTATTTCCTACTTAGCCTCTTAATCAACACCTAGATGAGCATTGATTATACAAGAACCCTTGTAAGCTATATGGAAAGATTCCGCATGAAGGATTATGGTGAAAGTTTCTGTATCTGACTGATATAGAGATCTTTCTGGTTTTACAGAAGAAATAGAAGAAAAGAAGAGGAAAACATGTAATTCTATTCGAGATTTCTACCATACCTATGTGGGCCACAGTGGCCGTTTCGGATCACCGAGTCACCCAGTATCAACCTACAAGTTACTTCTGCGAACTTCCCCGCGAAGCACCTTATTCACAAAGTCAGGATCCTCTCGGAGAGGTCGACCCAAACCGCACATGTCGATATCTCCACGTTCCACAGCCTCCGCCATACGATGGCTATCCCGCCAACCACCGGTAGTTCCAATCACAGCCCGAGACTAGTAGTTTCTCAATCAGCTCATTTGATCACAAGTGCCGAAAATCGGGTAATGTACTCACCAGTACCTTCTTCAACTCCTGCGCCCACTCAATGAAGTAGCTTTGCCTAGTCAGTATTTGGATACTGTGGAACAAAGAATTGAATCCAACTCACCTTCCACGCTCTTTCTGGGATGGACGCTCTGCTAACTCAGTCATGATGTTTCCACGCCATGCAGGAGAGGCGTACGTTCCCCCAGAGATGTCGAAGAAGTCAACGCCGGCATCTTCTAGCCACTTTATCACAACACATTGCTCAGCAAAGCTTTGGCCTCCCTCGATGACTATATGTGTCTTCCCGTTAGATTTTCTGTTCAAAATGTGGAATGGAGTAGACTGACAATCTTGGCAGTTTAACTTCGCTGCGATCACGAACTTGTCCGATGGAAGCTTAGCCTTGATCGCATTGACGATTTCCAAGATGAACCGCGCCCGGTTTTCCAGGCTTCCGCCGTACTATAAAGTTCAGTCAATATTGATATTGACTTGCAGAGGGAAAAATAATCTAATATTCATACCTCATCTGTTCGCTTGTTGATTTTGGGCGACAGGAATTGATTCATGATGTATCCGTGACTGGCATGCAGCTACCAACACCGGTCACTTAGCGTCTTTCATAACAAGTCTGGAATATATTTCAGCACTCACAATAATACCATCTGCACCAGCCTTCGCAAGAACCTCGGAAGCCCACACGTATCGGGAGATGAGATCCTTGATTTCAGCCTTCGTCAATGGCGACGGCTTGCCATACGTCTTATTGAGACAAGGTTCCAGGTGTTCACTAGAAGCCGACTTGGGGTTCTTGTTCAGGAATTCTGGGACCTGACGACCTGGGAATTGTAGCTGGGGGAGGAAAATTGCTCCCCGAGACTTGGCTGCCTTGGCCGCGGGGGTAAAAGCTGCAACTGGATCCCAAGGATTGTTGGGATCCAACACCGCGTTGTTGTAATTTTCGAGATTGTCGCGATGGATAGGGATGTTTCCGGTGCAAATAAGTCCTGCGCCTCCTTCCGCTAGCTCTGTGTACCGGTTAGCACCACTCGTATATGGCAGGGCTATCACGATCTTACCTTGATATAGCTCGGCATATCGGTCCATGGGTTTGCCGCAGTTCTCCACATTGTTCTCGTCGTATGTTGAAGCATACTCGCTGAGAGGTGTGCGATATAAGCGATTGCGAATCACCTTACCAGAGAGTTTCAGCGTAATGGGCTAGTTGTGGAAATATTAGCAGGTTCGATCGCAGGGTTCGATCGAAGAAGCATACCTGAGCAAGAGGGGAGATGTACGATGCAGACATGATGATACAGACCCAACAGCAATGTAAGAAGTTTGTAGTACTGAGGAGTAATTTTGTTTCTCTCGCTGGGGTGTAGTGCACCTTTATTTTGCGCCTTTATTCCGCTCAACGCTTGTAGCTTCTAGTCGCATCCTTGTCCAACCGGCCCATTTATCTGTGACCCGGTCAACCTCAACTGCGGGGGAAAAATCGAACTAAAGATCGGAACGAAAGCCGAAACTAGAGACAGATATTGCGACCTGCCAAATATCGAAGTTCAATTTCTCTTGTATTCCATTAATACTTCGCGGGGACTTGGTGACCTCGGGGCATCTCCGCTTGTGTCGTGATACCTCGTGATACCCATAATTGTTGTGAACTTTACGTGACAAGAGAAGATAATACGAAGAATAGCAGTTTTAATAAAAGGTTTGTATACTAAACTTCTAATTTAAATCTTCGAAGTCTTTGGACGGCCCTGTCCTTGGTTTACAGCTTTCCAAATAGCAGACATCGCATCATCCACTCCCTGTTGATTGACATCCTTCTCCAGCCAGAGAATCTGCTGTGCTATACAAACACGCACTAGAACCTCGGTCCCTGGAATGACTGTCCAGCCATTTCCCTTTCCATTTGTGTACAAATATGTCACCGGAGATGGGAGATAGCACATATCTAACACAATGCCCTTGTCCTTCCTGCGCAAAATAGTATCGCAGATTTTGCGACAAGTGATTTCACCAGCTTCCCGAGGTATATCGTTTGGAATAGTCCCAACAACAATACAAGGAGTCTCGCAGGTTGCAGCATCCTCGACAGTAGCGAGATGGCGGAGTGTGATACTCGGTGCGGTCGATTGGAAGAAGGTGATCAATGCGTCTACTTCAGCCTTCAAACGGTTGGCAATGTAGATCTCCGTGGACCCAAACCATCTCCACAGGGCAAAAATTGCACTTCTGGCAGCACCTCCACCACCAATTACCATAGACGGGCGACCTTTGGCCGTGGTAGCCGCGTGCGGCATTCGGTAGAGAATAGAATCACGAATACCGATACAATCTGTGTTTGTACCGATGTGTCTTCTCTGTCCATTTTTATCAAGTCGGATAAATGAAGTGTTGACAGCCCCAATCATGCGTGCCTCTTCGGTCAAGTCATCCAGTAGAAGGCCAAAGGACACCTTGTTTGGCATCGTGATTGTGGTCCCAATGCATGTGTTGTCTTGTAATTGTTTTCGGAATATGCTGCTGTCGGTTGTCTCGGTGAGGTGGAATGCCCACGAAGCTGAGTTGGCGCGAAATAGGATTGAGTGTAGCAAGGGTGACAGTGATTTGGAGATATTACCCCCAAAAAGGTAGACATGGTATGGGGTTGTAGCTGCGTTTGGTGGTAGTGGAGAGCTGCCATGGGCATATGATTGCTTGAGGAGATCCATGTTCTGGTGTTTGTTTGTGGAATGAGATTAACAGAAATAGATGAAAAGAATCCAAATCTCAGGGAGATATCTTACAGGATCGTGAAGGGCAAGCCCAGTCAACAACCCCGCGTTTACGGCATTTTGATATATTGCCCGGTGTCAAACTGAGAATCATATCTTCTTAATGCTAGGATGTGGTCCCTAGTTCTATTCAGAATCTAGAGGCTTTCTACGTGAATCCAAAAGTTTCATCTCGTGTCTCCAGTATGGCAGAAAATGCAAAGGTTCGGGTCGCTCTCATCGGCGGAGGCACTATAGCTCCATTGCATGCCGAGTATCTCATCTCATCACCAACATGTGAGCTGGTGGCAATTGTTGATCCATACCCCCCGGGCCGTGCATTGGCATCGGCCTTGTCTCTCCCGCACTTCGAGTCTGTCGCATCACTTTTGAGCTCCCAACAAAACCCACCAGAGGCCTACGTGATCTGTGTACCTTCGAGCCTCCATGTTTCCATAGCGACAGATGTCATTAATCAGGCACAGCCAAAGGCCTTGCTCATCGAAAAGCCTTTCTGCACAGATTCGAGATCTGGAACAGAGCTTCTCGCACTTGCAAACGAAAAAGGTTGCAAAATCCTCGTCGGACACCACCGCAGATTCCACCCCTCACTGTCAACTACACGGTCAGCGATTGAAGATGGAAAAATTGGGAAGATTACAGCCATCTCGGGAATGTGGACTGCGAAAAAAGATGACGCCTATTTTGCTTCTGCCACCTGGCGAGCAACGCGGTCCGCTGGAGGAGGGCCGATCTGGACAAACTTCGTGCATGATATCGACGCCCTTCATTTCCTCACCGGTGCCAGAGTGACTTGTGTCTGGGCCATAAACACCACGCCCAGAAGAAAACATGAAGGGGTGGCCGTCGATGATATCGTTGAAGAGGGGGCAGCGATTATGGCTCAATTCTCCAATGGGGTGGTTGGAACCTTCTTGGTGAGTGACAATGTGGCGAGCCCATACGGTTGGGAGGCTGCGACTGGGGACAATCCGTTATATCCAAAGGCAGAGACTCCGGTGGATATTTATCGCATCCTGGGCACAGAAGGGAGTATTGTTGTCCCCGAAAATACGCTTTGGACCTACGATCCGGAGACGGCGGAGGGTGGGTGGAAAACTCCAATGATACGAATCGAGATTCCAGTCGCCGAGGAGATTCCATTTCAAAACCAAGCGGAACATTTGGCTAGAGTGGTGCGTGGCTTGGAAGGTCCTATTTGCTCGGCCGAGGATGGACTAGCAGCAGTCTCCGTTTGTGAGGCTATTGTTACAGCCCTGAAGGTAAAGGACGGACTCCCGATCCGAATCCCAGATACTTCGCGTATATAGTTTTCTTTGCAAGCAAGATATGTTCCAATCAACTCGTCGTTTTCCTTGCAGAAGACTCAAGCTACAAGGTCGGTTGTACATTATCGTGATAGTCTTGGGACAGATTTTGCTATACACTTCCGGATTTGTTTTATTGATATGATTCAATCTATCTCTGAATCTATCCATTGATTTCCAAATACCACTATAAAATTTAATACACCCCATCAACTACCCCACGCGGTGCATTAAAAATTACACCGGTTTTGTGGAGGTGGGGTCAACTGGCGTCAAGTGGCGCCCACATCTCGGGTATTCGATCACCCCGTTGTTTGTATTAATGGACGCGACTGAGAACCCAGAAGAATCATACAAGCTGACGCATCTGGAATTATGACAGTCTCCTGGCCTCCATCTACAGCCAACCCATTGGGTATCGCCACCTTGTCCCTCGGGAACTGGCGAGAACACCGTTTGGAACCACGCCTGAAGGCCGCGGCGAAATTGGGATATCAATGGATCGACTTGTTTGATGAGTGCTGGGCCGCATACCTGGAGGAACATGGGCTACCAGGAGAACAGCTTTGGGAACCGACTTCAGAGAATCTGGAGGTTGCTCGAAAATTGGCTCGTCTTGTCAAGTCCTTGGGAATGCGGATTGCTTGCACACAACCCCTTCGGAAGATCGAAGGAATTAAAGATCCAGTTGAACGACAGGCTACCTTGGATCTAGTCGCCAAGTGAGATATACCTCACCTCGTTAACGGGATAGCGTCTGGTGATAAATTTGGTGCTAACTTATTACCATAGACGGTTTCCATTCATGCGCGCCTTTGACACCGACCTTGTTTTCATGTGTGCAAATATCCGCACAGACGAGGGGGTGACATCCGATCTCAAGACGGTCGCCAGAGACCTCGCGGAATTGGGAGATATGGCGGCCGCATACGCAAAGGCTGATGGCGGCCGCATGTTGAAAATTGGATACGAGGGCCTATCTTGGGCAACTCGAAACACATGGTCGGCTTCATGGGAGGCTGTGCGATTTGCCAACCGTCCCAACGTTGGGCTGATCGTGGATGCTTTTAATATTCTTGCCGTCGAGTTTGCTGATCCGTATAACGCTGCTGGCCACGGGCGGATCTACCCAAAGTTAGAGGAATCTCTAGACGTTCTTAGCGGATCACTCGCATCGTTGGCCTTGACAGTACCGGGTGATCGGATATTTTTCTTCCAGTGTGGCGATGCGGAGTTGATGAACCCAGCGACTTTCCTTCCTCCGACTGACCGGGGAACACCAGCACTGCTCCCATGGTCGCGAAGCCATCGGCTATATCCTCTTGAGCAGTCTAGAGGTGGGTATTTGCCGGTTGAGCTTGTTGCAGCTGCTGTGCTTGCCACCGGGTACCGAGGACCAATTTCGCTTGAGGTGTTCAATGCATCGTTGAACCAACCGGGACAAAACGTTCCGATGGAGCATGCTTCCAGAGGAATCAATGGTCTTCGCCTCTTGTGCGAAACTGCAAAGTCCATTCCAGCGTTTTGGCAAAGTCACGATAAGCGTAAGAGTGCTATCACACAAGTGGTACGACGGCTACAGTCGGATGAACACAAACATAAGCTATGAAAAAGAACATAGGTTTACATATTGATAAATGCCAAATCCAAGAGTAATTAATTGTATCTACTGATTGTATCTACTGGAACTGAGAGCCTCATTTTGCAGTAGTATAGTGTTGTGTCCAATATAACGACTTCAATGTCGTTAGATACATCAGGCAATTCGTTGGCAGGAGTGGCCTTAGTGATGGCATTGGTATCCCCTTCTTGCCACGTACGGTACGCTTGGTGCCCACTTCCCGAAGCCATACTTTTGCTGCAAGGAATGAACTGCATGCGGCAGGCTGCCTTGTTGGTGCGTACGGAGGGTGGTAGCCGCAGCCTCGTAATTGACCTGTAGTGAACTTTAGTATAATCTATAGTACGGCCATTGCTATCAAGCGAGAGATGACTGACCTCTGTGTTGTTGAAAAGAGTCAAGAGAAACTCACTAATCTTAGGCACCACTACATTAGTCTCCTAGGAGACTTCGGTCTCGACCTTAGTTGGGCCCTTGACCCTGAACTTGACCTTGCTCTGAACTTCATCTTTACCTTCAACCTGACCCTGGTCGGGCCCTTGACCTTGAACTTGGCCAGACCTGTGGCCAGAGACTTCGGCTTGTTGGTTGCCGGGGCCATGATAAAGTAGGTTTGTTGGTTGATTGGTATAGTAATGTCTTTGAAGAAGTGATGGATGTGAATAGATGGATGAAAGTTCTGGGTAGGATCAAAGCCCTGTGTGGTTAGATGCTAGTTAGGTATGAAGTAGCAACCTTCTTTCTCTTAATTTTTTACTGTGTGTTTGAACAGAGCAAACAATATGAGTTTTATTAGGAGTTTGTATCTTTGTATCTTAGATCTTTGCAGCCTCCTTATTACAGATCCCTCCGTTAACAACTACAAAGTCCTTTCCCTTCTTCCATCCTGCCCAATCTCGGAGCACAGTCTCACCACCTTGCCCGCTCGGCAATGTTCTTACTGCCCAGCCATCATTTCCCGGCATCACCGATGGTGTCTCGCTAAGTGTGACCACAGCGCGTTGATCATAATGGTTAGCCTCCATTTCATAGTGCTCCAAAACTGGCGTACAACAGGCATCGGTTCCATCGAATATGGCCTCCCATTCTTTGCGCGTCTTGGTGCGAAATGTCTCTTCAAAGAGGATGTGCATTGCAGGCCACAGCGATCTGTCTTCACGATTTCCTCCCCAGTCCTTCTGCCCTAGACCAATTCCTTGACTCAGCGCATCGAAAAACTTGGGCTCCAAAGATGCGACGGCCATGTAACGGCCACTGTCCTTGCATTCATACACCCTGTAGTATGGGCAGCCGCCATCGACCAAGTTTTGGCCTCGGGGCTGGTCCCATTGTCCAGGAATCTTGCTTGAAATGCGTGGTGCGGTGGCAAGATAAGAAACCCCATCTACCATATTTGCCTCAACGACCTGCCCTTTTCCTGTGCTGACCCGAGCAAACAGTGCCAGAATGATACCCACGAAACAAGTCAGTCCGCCCCCCGCGAAATCGGCCAAGATGTTTCCTGGTGGACTGGGTGGAAGCGGATGTCCCAAGGGTGGAACTCGAATCGAAGGGCCGAGCATTGACAAAACTCCCGACACTGCGAGGTAATTGAGATCATGGCCTGCCATGGCAGCATATTTTCCATCACGGCGAAACCCTGTCAGTCTTGCTACAATCATCCGGGGATTGATTTTCAGCAGAACTTCTGGGCCAAGCCCCAACCGTTCCAGAACACCCGGACGAAATGGATCGATCAAGACATCGGCGTGTGGGATGAGGCGTAAAATAAAGTCCTTTCCGGGGGCATCTTTGAGGTCAACACATATAGATGACTTCCCCCTGATCAAGACATCTGGGCTGGGAGAGTGACCTGGCTGGACTCGGTCAACTCGCAGCACATCTGCTCCGTTGTCGGCAAGGAGAAGACCTGTGAACGGACCCGGGGCGAGTCCAGCTAGCTCAAGCACCCGAATGTTGTCGAGAGCTCGCATGGTGATTATGGAAGTGTATTTGGATTGTGGGAGCAAAGTAGAAAGTAATTGATGCAGCTAGCGAGGAAAGTTGGATAGTACAACAGTAGCCTTTGACATCTATGAATCTTCAACGCCCGCAATAATATAGCTGTCCGTGATGACATCCGGTGCACTAAATAAATTGACCGGTATGAGGGACTCATCACCAATTAATAAATTCCGAGCCCTTGCCTGCGAGCTTCAGGTAACTGGTGATGTTCGCCGATGTCATAGTTGGTGTCTTTGTAACAGGTTAAATACGATACCGAAGTATTCAACATTCAAGCGTCAATCCTTAGCATATTGCGAGACCAGCACGATTTTTATAAGTGAAATCCTTTTGACTAAGCAATAGTGAAATGCAGAAGTTGAAGTCAGCAAGACTTTGATTCAAATTTACGCGTAATCACACGATCAATAAGTTAAAGGCAACGGATTTGAGCTTCATGTGTGAACGTTCAAAATGAAATTGGAAAGCTAGGCTCATAACAGAGCAGGACGCAAAGCGGGAGTTTCACGCAGACTTTGTCTAACTAAATGACCCTAAATATGCGCCTTGAGCCTTGCCAGACTGCGCAACTCTCTCCGTAGCAACTTGCCCGTCGGGTTTCGTGGCAACTGGTCAACAAATATAACACCACCGCGGAGCTTTTTGTAACCAGAAACCTTGGACGCCACCAGTTTCTGAATTTCCTGCGATACCTTTTCACGATCCGAGGAAAATACTTTCACCTTTGGAACCACAAACGCCCGAGGAATCTCTGTTGCTTCTGTGTCATCCCAAATAGAAGTTACAGCAGCATCGGCGACATTTGGATGCTGTCCAATGATTTCCTCCAACTCGGTTGGGCTCACTTGGAATCTGTGGATAAACAAGTGGTTAGTCTGGATACCTCATACTGTAGACCAGACCGAATCCCTCACCCTTTGTACTTGATCACGTCCTTGATTCGGTCAACAATGATCAGAAATCCTTCTGAGTCCAAATAACCTATATCGCCTGTTCGATACCACCCGGGTTCTAGCATGGCGTCTTCGGTCGCTTTTGGGTCGTCTTTGTACCCCCTATCATATAATCAGTATGCTTCAAGTGATTGGTTTGACTGGATAGAGGCGGTTTGCCTACATCATAATTGTGGGAGATGAGACGCAAATCTCTCCTGCATTCGGAGGAGAGACGTCTTTGCCATTTTCGTCAATAAATCGAACTTGCATATTTGCAAGAAGAGTTCCGGTAGCCACAAGTGGAGCCTTTTTGTCTCTCACGCCACTCTGAGACACACAAGACGAGAGCTCGGTGCAGCCATAGGCTAAAACTAGTTGTTAGACAAAGATGGGTACCTTCAATTGAGGATGAAGGTCGGAGAATTCACTCACTTTGGCATAGACTGACCCCGGGAAACTTGGTTCGAAGTTTTGTCGCAACCAACGGCTAAGCTTGTCAGTCATGCTGTCGACTAGAAAGATAAAAGGGGAATTCTAGGTCTCACCTTGAGGGGTGCTGCAGAACATGAGAAATACTCTAGGTCGTCGTATCTATATATCTCAGTAATTGGAGATTCAGCAAGTGCTAGTGCCACGGGAGGCACCAATCTAGCCAATGTAGCTCGCTTCTCTTGCAAAAGCTGTTGCTAGTCAGAATCTTTCTACCCAGAGACCCCAGCAAAAGGTGAACATACCTGACAAAATGTCTCAAGGTCAAAAGCCGGTAACAAACACACGTAGTATCCTAGCCATGGACCAAGGAGTGCGCAGACATAAAGCCCGTATATATGCGATACTGTCACAGTTAGATATCTCTGGTCACTTTATTGTTGTATGGAGATAATAACTTACGAGGCTAGGTTTGACAAGAAAAGGTGTTAGCCTGGGAAATTGTATTATATAAGAACGGAAGAACATGGCTCACCGGAAAGAACACCTCTCGCATGCTACCTCGCCAGTTATCTGGATTATGGGCTCGTAGTTGTTCGCAAATAGCCACCAGATTGTGATGGGAAAGCATCACAGCTTTTTGTAGACCGGTTGTCCCACTGGAAAGAACAATGGCAGCGCAGGAATTGCGCGCATCCTTACCGTCAAGCACATATGCCTCCGACTCGATACGACTAGATTTGACGAGATCCTCCGGAAACTAATCATATGGTGTCAGTTTCGCATGTTTTATTGTTTTCTGAAAAACGACTGACCAATGGATATCTGCCTTCTCGCTGTATCAATGTGAGGATGGTGACCGAAGTGTTCAGGTCTAGGGTAGTGAGAGCCCCATGTAGTTTTTCGAGTACCACAACATCTGCGATGATGACTTTGGGCTTCAATATTTTCAACGCATGTACTAGCTCTTTGGGCGTAGACGAATGGTTGATCGTGCTATTTGAGGAGAATGGTGAGCATTTGTCTCAACGTCCCTAGCTGCCCTAGCTGCCACGACTAACCTCACAACTGCCCCCGCCGCCCAAATGGCATGAGCCGCCAGAATATAGTCAACCTTTCAAGAGTCAGTCAATACTATATTGCTTGTAGCAACGGAGTAACAAACGGTGCTTCTGGATATAATCGTAATGACGTCTCCAGGGGTGATGCCGTATCCATGTCGCAAAGAATGGGCTGCCTTGAACGCGTCGCTCCGCAGTCCGCCGTAGGTGAAGGTTTTTCCGGTCAAGGTATCTTCGCAAATTACTTTTGTCGGATCAGTGTTTGATGCATTTTCCATCATCAACTGCGTGATCGATCGGTCTGTGCGCAGATGCACAATGGTGTCTGAAGTAATTACGGCCATGATGATATTTTTCCTAGGTTAGATACGTGCAATACCAGAGGCGACTATTTCAACGAATCGATATATTTATCATTTTCTCCTAATATTGCTCAGAGGGGCGCGTTGTCCTAATCTGAAATTCCGATCCCTAATTCCGAGGGCGTTCATTGTCCCGCACCGGCCGTAATTTTATGCACCGGTTAAGATTGCCTCGAATATATCGAGAATCATTGGATCTTGTTAGCACAATTCATGAGTCTCAATAGTCAACTGTGGATAGATGTGTCTCTGCATCCTTTTGCCTCGGTTCTGAAATTCAATTATTCGATTTCCAGCTTGCCATTCCTGGTTGCTCCTCCTGATCCAACCCCATGATGGCCAACAAAGACATGAACTCCACCCCATTCGCCATATCGTCCATCGAAAGACAAATTGAAGTCACACCAGCGAGAGATGTCGGCCCATCTGTGTTCGCGAACAAATATCCTCTTTGGCGCCCCAAAGGTACACGAGGGATCTTCGGCGGTATCACCATTGCACAAAGTCTCAGCGCAGCTCAAGAAACCGTTCAAAGAGAGTTCGATGCTCACTCGATGCATTGTACATTTGTCTTTGCAGGCACTGCGTTTGCAACTATCCATTACCATGTTGAGATAGTGCGAGATGGGCGGACATTCTGCACGCGAACTGTCAGGGCAATCCAAGACAATCGCACAATATTCCTCGCGACAATTAGCTTTGCTCGTCCATCACCAGAGTCAATCATAAATATCCGGCACGCAGAGCACAATCCTGTGACTGTGCCAGTACCGCAGGATACTGGTTTTGAGCCCAATAGCAACGAAGAAACATTGGAACTCCCATACATAAATCAGAGCGTCGGCATGCTGAATTCCAATTCCCCCGATCCATGTGATAAACGCATGCATCAATGGATCAAAACGCGTGGGAAGATTTCACCCCAAGGTGGCTCCCGAGCGCATCTAGCAGCATTGGCATTCATGTCAGATAGTTACTTCCTCGCCGGACTCCCGCATGCTCATAATATATGGAGCTTTGTCAATCCTCCGATTACTGAGTCCTACGACTCCGAGGAACAGCTTGAAATGCCAACTCCTGTTCATACCAAGATACCCAGGCCGCATCTACAAGGGGGCGGTGGGAGTGCGCCAAACCAGTTCCATAGGGTTGGAATGATGGTCAGCCTGGATCATACCATTTACTTCCATCAGGCTAAGCAACTCAAAGCCGACGAATGGCTTTTGACCGAAGTAAAGACTGATTGGGCTGACAATGGCCGTGGCGTGGTGTTGCAAAAAGTATGGGCTCAAGATGGCACGCTACTTGCGAGCTGTATTCAAGAGGTCAGCCACACCCATCCATTCTCACATTTCATATTTGACTTATAGGTTTATGTACCAGGGTGTTCTGCGACTCGAGAAGCGTCCGAATGGGGTTCAGATTTCTAAGTTGAATTGTCGACTCTGATGATCTTGTGCAACTATATATATCCATTGGTCTTAAATATTGATATAGGGTTCTATGTGAATCATCACGCAGGGAAACCATGTAAAAAATAGCTATAACTTTACAATCGTACCATAAATTCCATTGATACTAATTTTCGGGCTAATATACTCCTTCATCCACTCCTTTGGACCACTGATATCCATGCAACGAACGGGTGGACGACAAGCCAACAATCGTATGCTTTCCAGTCATGTGGTTTCCTGTAAATTACCGGTAAAATTTAAGTATTCAACCCTTTCAACGCTAAACCCCAACGGGAGCCCGGCTGGGCCAATCACAGCTGCTCAGGGACACTCACCGTCCGAATGCAGTGGCTTTCTTTGTCCCTTAAAACTGTCCATCTCGACAGGAGATTATGGCGTGCTTGATTGCCGTATGTTGATTGGCTGTTTTGACCTTAGTGTCTGACGGAACTTATTAAACACACCTTGGCATGCCAAGGTCGTATTCCCGAAGGCCCAAAACCTACGGCGAGCAAAGGTTTATAACAGCACTGCTCACATTTGAGAAGGTCTTATCCTTCTAACATCTGTAATTGGCTGCATGATTCACGCCGTTGAATATTTTGAACGACCAAAAGCAGCATGCCACTTCTCTCCCCGTTTTCGCAATGCCTCTCTTCCCTCGCCCAGCTAAATCACAAATGGGGTAGCCATAGGAGTTCAAGGGAAATAGAGGGAACGGAAAAACATCTGCCAAGCCGTTTGCTAGATGTCTTTTTGCGTACATGGGATCTAGGTTTTACAGCCTTCGGAGGACCACCAGTACACTTCCAGATTCTACATGCCAGGTTCGTGGAAGGACAGGGCGGCAAGGAAAAATGGGTAGATGAGCAGACTGTATGCTTCCTCTTATCCTGAAGCAGGCGGGTGTCAATGTCATATGGGTAGCTAACAAATCTCACAGTACCAGGAACTCTTTGCTATTTGCCAGGGTCTTCCAGGTCCTGCTAGCACGAAGTTGGTATTCTGCCTAACCCTATTTCATGCAGGATTTATTCCTGCCATGCTTGCGTTTTTTCTTTGGAGGTGATCTATACCTTTATGCTATACAGCCCGCTATCTGTTTATCTTTAACTAACGGTGTCAGTCTTCCTGGCGCAATTGGCATGTATGCCCTTTCACTTGGTGTGCAGAACATGAGTGAAACCCTTCCCAAGCCCGTTTACTCCCTACTTTCCGGCCTAAACGCCTCCACAGTAGGTATTGTTGCACTTGCGGCCGTGCAGTTGGCCGAAAAAGCCATTCGCGATAAACTATCCCGGATTCTTGTGATATTTGGCGCATGTGCTGGCCTTTGTTATAATGCACTTTGGTATTTTCCCGTCATGATGATTATCGGTGGTTTACTCACGAGCATCTGGGATGGATGGCTATATCAACGAGTTTTGAGGGCAAAGATCGCTTGGAGGAACAGACATAGTGTTCCGCAGGAGTTGAATGTGACAAATGGGGATACCGCAGACACGGACTATATAACCCTGGAAGAGAATACAGCGCAAATGAGTGAGACGACGGGATCGAGGAAGACGGATCCTAGAATTGAAGGACTGCCACAGCATACAGTCAATACCACAGGGCCAACGCAGTCCGCCGAGGATCCTTCACAACAGCACGTTATTCGGATTCGGGTCGGAGCTTTGATCCTGGTTCTCTTTTTTGGTGTGCCCCCCCACCTGACAAACTTTCTGAAAGCCAACTCTAATATAGCTAGGCTCCTTCATCGGGATTCTTGTTGCCCGAAGCCAGCTCGCTGAACCCCCACTAGTCCTCGACCTCTTTGCCAACATGTACCTCGCTGGCACTGTTATATTTGGTGGAGGTCCTGTTGTCATTCCCCTTTTACGCTCCTATGTTGTCGATCCTGGGTGGGTCTCTAGTAGAGACTTCCTGATCGGTCTTGCCATTATCCAAGCTTTCCCCGGTCCCAACTTCAACTTCGCTGTCTTCTTGGGGGCACTAGCACTGCAGGGCTCGGGCTACCCGACCATTCTCGGTGCATTTCTCGGCGGTTTAGGAATCTTCTTTCCTGGAATCACGCTGGCCGTTGCAATTCAAAGCTTCTGGCGTGTATTGCGAAAGAAGAAGTACGTGATTGACTTTCTCAGAGGTGTGAATGCTACTGCTGTTGGGCTAGTATTTACGGCTGTATACCGATTGTGGGAGATTGGATACCTGACTCCTGAAAAAAGCGACGGACAGAGTCTGGGCAAGGAACCATGGTGGGTTGTTGTTGCGGCGGTAACATATTCAGGGAGCGCATGGTTCAATGTGCCTCCACCCGTGGCTATTGTAATGGGCGCTGTTTTAGGGTTATGCTGGTATGGAGCCGTGGGGCGGTAACATATTCTGGTAGCTGTCGTTGTTCAATCTATCTGTGATATGGTAGAGCGACGGGTCAATTTGTCAAACTACCTTTTTTTATAGTCTAATGATATCGCCTATGTCGAGTGTATGCACTCCGGGGCTTCTTTCCAAGCTTCCGGGTGCGTTGCTTGATGACTCAAGCGGTGTTCTCGATTTGGTGCATCGATAGCTTCTCGTCAGATAGCCTGTCTGTTAAGTTGATGTCCTTTACAAATAAAGCGTCGATTTCATCTAGGGTTCTCCCGGTCGACTAAGTGAGATTGAGTTAGCCAAATCACTCTCTCCGGGAATGTGAAGGTAGATAGCTTACATCAGGACACATGAAATAGACGAAGATAAAACCCAGCACGTTGAAAACAAGTGGCCAGATCCATATCGTCCAGCCTGATGTCTCAAGTCCGATTCCGCCCGCAATCACGGTCACAAAACTGAACAGCCATTCACCGAACAGACCAACTGCGGCTCCGATGTGGCGATACTTGAGTGGAGCAATCTAGAAATATTAAGTTAGATTAGGTGTGCTGAGCACAGCAAAGAATCATACCTCGGGTCCATATAACCTAGAAAGGTGTTAGCTTTGTTCAGTGCAAAGTTGACAGATTGGAATACTCACCATGGACAAGTAACCCAACCCCAGCCGTACATGAACAGATATGGGAACATCATAACAGCGGCTGCCCATTGGGTCTTCTCCGTCTTACTAGGCAGACCATTCAGAACCACAAAAGCGAACATACAGCAGGTTTGAATGGCAGCGGAAACAAGCATTATTCGACGCCGGCCAATCCTCTCAATTGTAGGAATAGTGAACAGTGAGCCAGTGAATTGCACTGTCAATGCCGCTGCAGAAATGAGCGATGACACGAAGCTTGAAAGGCCGACCTTTGAAAATATGAGGGGCATATAGTAAACCATGATATTGATTCCCATCATCTGCTGAATGGACAGGATGATAAACGAAATTCGTATCCGACGACCAACACGGAGTGGGGTGTTATCCCAAACAAGGCTTAGCCAGCTGAGGCGGTTCTCTTGTTCCGCTTCAACCTGGATGTTCTGCATGATTTCAGCTTTGACAAGCTCCATTGCAGCGTTCTCGGGTTGAGTGCTAGTGCCAGTGTGATAGACATTGTATAGTCTTGCCAATGTGATATCGCCTTCAGCATTTCGCCCTTTCGCATTATACCATCTTGGTGTGTCAGGACAGAAGAACATGCCAGATGCGGAGAGGAAAGCGAAGATGGATTGGATGGCAATAGGCAATCGCTATGGAAGTTTAATGATTAGTTCACATTTTGTTATAACGAGCACTTGATATCCTTACCCAGGATAGCTGATTTGACATTCGAGTGAATCCAAAATTCACCCAGTAAGATAAAGCGACACCTGCGAGGAGCGAAGAGCAGTTGATCGCTACTTCAGGGCCGCGCTCATTGGCATGGATACTCATCTCAGACTAGATATTTTATCAAATCAGGTTAAGTTTCAATAGGGGGGGGGGGGGAATTAGGCATACCATATACATAGGGACATTGCAAGTGATAAGCTGCAGTAGATATCAGACATGGAATAGTCTCAAAGGATGCACTTTTCTTACAGCGATACCGAAACCCTGTTGGTAGGGATATGTTAATTTTTAATTCGGGAACAACGACGAAAGAGCACAGACTCACACAAATGACCCGAGCAACGATAATCTGAGCTACCGAGTATGACGCCGCCTGAATGATACCACCGAAGAATATCAACACCGCGCCGAGCAGGATTGAATTTCGACGGCCCAGAGGCATTCCCACAACAACCACTACGATAGACATTACGGTGGCGGCGAGTGTGTAGGAAGATGCAATCATTGGTATTATCTCCGTTCCTTTTGGATTCTACCCAAAGGTCAGTGGAGAACATACAATAGTGGTTAGATGCAGTTTACCCCGAGTGCATCACGGTATGGTTTGGTATCTTGCACTCCACCAAGGATTCCAGCTTGTTAACCTTCGATGAGAAAGGCCATGCGCATCTTAATTAGGAGTAATTCTCATTGGGCCCAGTCGGATACGTGGATTGACACACTAAAGAGCAACTCAGCCGGGCAAGATGGCGAAGTCTTTCGCCCTGGATTGATTCTTCGAACATGGTATACAGTGTAGGCAATACTTCTATATCGATCAAACGAGTCCACTCAAATAATAAAGTGACGAAGTATATTTACACCTAGAAATGCGTGTGCAATTCTGCTTTATACATTCTGGGATCTAGTTGCGGGCGAAGAATCTGGAGTAGTTACGTTCCACACTCAAAATCCAACCAATGATGAATTCCATGAGTTTCATCATAATGGAGAATCTAAATTGTGAACTGGCAAGTAGAATAGTGTTGAGCTACCCTGATCCCCGCCTGATGCTTAGCTGGGATTCCGGGGGATATTTGAATTGACCGGATCCGGGATGATCAACTTAGAAACGGGATGTGAAGGCAAGTTTATATGTGCCCAGTTGGAATCTCATCTTGCCTCTTTCATCTTGATGATTTGAAGATTTGAAGCACCAATACCATACTTCGCCATTCTGGAGCTATGTAACTCTGCCGTAGGCGGGGACCCCACACCGGATCACCGGCTGGGAGTTTGGGAACCTGACTTTCCCAGTCATAGCTCGATATCAACTGTTCTATCATTTGAGCTGTGGCCTTTGTCGCTAGAACTCCTAGCTATTAGTAAAACTGGCCTAGGTAGCCAAAAAAAAAAAGGAAGAAAGGGAGAGGAGGGAAGACCCTGGGTGCCGAGGTCGGCCCCGCCCGATCACCTCATATTAATCAGCGTTCACGTCGAGACATAACAAACGTCGTCACCCCGCTATTTTCCAATTCAACTTCTCGTTCATATCTCTCTTCTCCAATATCCATATTCATCTCAATATGACTACCCTCAAGTCCGGTGACTCGTTCCCTAGCGACGTTGTCTTCAAGTGTGTAAATCCCCAACCCCCGCAAAGAATGACGCGCTGATCCCCCCAGGTACATTCCTTGGAGTGAAGAAAGTGACGAAATTACCTCCTGCGGCATCCCCATCAACTACAATGCCTCGCAGGAGTGGGCCAACAAGAAGGTTGTCTTGTTCTCGGTTCCCGGTAAGTCGACGTTACCCCCAACTGGAGTCCGAATGCTAACATGCGTGTGAACCAGGTGCCTTCACCCCGACCTGTTCTGTCAACCACGTTCCCGGATATATCCAAAACCTGCCCAAGCTCCGTGAGAAGGGAGTCGACATTGTCGCGGTCATTGCTTTCAATGATCCCTTCGTCATGAGTGCCTGGGGTAAGGCGAACAAGGTTCGCGGGGATGATATCGTGAGCATAACCCCACTTTCCACGTTACGCGCGACCGGTGTTGATTTTGGTGAACAGCTTTTCCTCTCGGACCCCGATGCCAAATTTTCCAAGAGCATTGGTTGGGCTGATGCGGCCTCGGGCCGTACAGCTCGGTATGCGATCGTTATCGATCACGGTAAGGTCCGCTATGCCGATATCGAAACTGAAAGGGGTGCTGTCAAGGTATGGAATTTTGTTATCCGTTTCTGGTCTTTTTTAGTGGCTAACAAGTCAATTTGTCTACAGAAATCTGGCGCCGATGCTGTTCTTGCTTCCCTTTAAATACGCACTATAGAATACCCTATGAGCACTCCGAATTCAATTGCAAACGATATTTAGAAGCATGTTTCTTTGTAACATTCTGGTACTCCTGCGGAAAGACACAAGAGACATCTTCGATCATTATAGCCTGTGTCGGTGTATCATGTTAAAAATGACTCGACCGTTGGAATTATACCTATCCAGCACTTAAATTGAGAATTAAGAATGGGAGGTTTGTTTAATCATCTAATCATCTAATTGAAATTGAAATTCCAAGTCTTGCGCCTAAATAATCGTGAAAAACGAAAGGCAAATCTATCTCACGTCTATGGCATGCAAAGCATTCAGGTGGTATCGTCGAAACAAATGCTGAGAAGTGCAAGCCCGAAGGCTGCTACCGAATGGGGACAGAATCAAGTAAGCAACAGATCACGGTCGTGAAGATGCAACTCTAACCCAGCATTGACACAGTCTATATGCAAAGGCTCCGCAGCCTGATATACTTTGTCCTTGATCACAGCTTCAAGTACTTCAGGTCCGGAGTTGGCAACCTGATCATCGTCATCTGAGGGGACGTTGTGGAATGCGCCCTCGATATCGACACGCACAAGTCCAGGGAAACGAGTCTGGCGACTTTTAATCACGGTCTGTAATTGCGAAACCAGCATTCCGAGATATCGCTCCTCGCATCCTTCGATGTAAAGAGTCTCAAGCGAGGATGGGAGACATTCTATCAGAGGCGTGGTTGGTTCGTTCTGGTATCGAATATCTAAAAGATTCGGCAGCCTCACACGCACTTCTTGCAAGGCAGTGAAATCAACCAGGGAGCCGAACCATTCGTCGTGGTTTTGATTCAACCCGGCAGCGGTGAACGGGTGGTGGCTGCCGTAGTGGTCTAGCCACAGTGTTTGCAGGCTCTTTTTGCTGTGGGTCAGAGAGCGATAGAAGGCGGATGGTTGGTAGCCATTAGAAAGAACGTGCGAGTCGGAGTGCTGGTATTTAAATGACTTCAGTTCTGCGCATGAACTGACCAACGTTTTCATGCCATGGTTCCCGCTACTTGCACGCAGATCAATATCGGTGATTGAAGAGAAACCAAAGCGGGGCTTCTCATCATCCGTCAGTTCCTCAGAAGATAAAGTAGTGGAGCTAGGATCCACTACAGAGTTGGCTGTAATTGCACGAACAGATGGGAGTTGGAAAAATGACAGGAGGAGTGTCGATGATAATTGAGTCTCGCCGCCCGCATTGTCTAGGTGCTCGCTGCGATCAAGATATTCCCGATGATGCAATGAGACCTTGCGTAGGTGCCGGAAGGCTGTTTGGACGGAATATGGCTTTTCGCAATCCACGGCTCTTTGCATAATCCGGTCCAAATGGGGAGAGTTTGTCGTATAGACCAGTGCAAGCTTCCTGAGCTGACTCAACAGTGGGAGAATGAGCGCAACCCAGGCGTCAGCAAGGCCTTGTCCGAGACCTTGGGCCCATTGATCACTTTCGCGCGTTGAGCATGAAATATCTCCCAGCCATGCCCTCAACGATGCCGATGTCTGAATTTTGCTGCACTCGTCGTCCGATACGCTTCTTGCTTGCCATTTTGTTAGGTCTAGTTCATGAACGGCCCGCGCCAGCGCAGGTCGTTTCAATATGGCATGCAGGAACGAATTGGCGTCTTGCCAATGGTGGATAGACACCTTTCGGTATACCAGCGGGAGGAAAAGATCGTGGAAGTGATGAGAGACAAAAATGAGGTTCCAGCGATCTGCGTTATGTTCCACCTGCTCTCCTATCAAGAGAAGTACGTCATTGGGTACCACCAGCTTCATGATGGCACTTTCGAATAACTTCAACAAATTAAGGCAAACAAGTACAATGGATGAAAATTGCGGGGAGATAGTGAAGGAGAGAACCACAAAATCAGTTCCAGACAAAAGCAATGAACAAATATGGAGCCCTCCGTATTTAAGATCAATTTTCCATCGTAGAGTTGGCCACCGGAGTTCTGGAAGATCAAACTTGGGTCCGAACCGGCCAATGCCAGGTCTCCATGAGGCCCTGTGGATCTGTAATCGGAGATGTGAGAGGTTGTAAATTGTTCGTTTCCACTTTGAAGAAAAATTCGACATAAACCGAAGAGACAATTGCGTTTGTCGGAAGGTTTGCCGCATTTGTGGATTCTAATTCCGGCTCTATCCATAAATCACATATGGCAGGTACGACGGAAATGATCATATTGAGCTTAATGCGGCATGTCCCGAACGTCGCATGGATGGGAGGGCAGCTTTTGGGTCTGAGGTGCAGAGATTGACAGTCGAAGAGCCACTTAGGTGCATGAAGTGCAGTAATTGCGACGATACTCCGTTCTGAAGATGATGTTCGGGTGTTGTGGAGTCATTGCGAGGCTGATCTCCTCCACATCGCTTCACATCGCTTCAAACCGACAGAGGGCCATGGAGAACAGTAACACGGAAGATATTAAATGCATATTGAGTAGTATAACAATACAAAATCTGACGATGATGAGGTGGATTAACCTAAGTGGGCTTGCGGGAGGTGGTGGTGGAGCGAGGGAGCCAGAGATCGTCCTAAGACACTAAGACATGACTCTTTCGGACTAGACCACGTTAGCGACAAAGTTCACATGCAATTACTATCAAGATGTGATGTTCGGTGTACAATAGCTTTGTTGATTAATAGATCGCCACCCCTTCGGAGATTTTAATCTTAATATCCGCTCCCGCGCATGCCGCCAGCTTCTTCAATGACATTCCTACCTAGTCACGTGCTTCAGGTTTTGCGTCGTGAATTCTCCTGTGTGATTAAATGCAGACAATGCAGAGGTGTGCTAGTCTACCACCCTTCCATTCCTGTTAAAGTGGAAGGAAACAACAACGATGACGCAAGCGTTGATTTGGCGGTGGGTATGGAGTAAAGGCACGGCTAACACCGCGAAAGTAAATGGATGGCTGAAAACCACTAATTAACACCAGACGTACACTATATCAGACAGGATCCCGGGTATCTATATGTGCGAGAAAACTTAAATCTCTTGACTGTGATCACAGCAAGAACAGTTATCGGTCATCAACTCATCAGACATTACAAGTAGCCGCAAGAACAGGAGATCGGCCTACTAACTCAGCAATATCAAAAAGAGTAGTTCAATTCTTGTTTTAACGTCTGACGATATGCGTGTAGCTGTGTCGGCTACGCACTTCCTAATAAACGTATCGTAGTGAAGTAAAAGAATCCTCCAATTTTGAAATACGAAGTGGAGTGGAATTGTGGGCGCGAGAATATAAGAAAGGAATGATATCGGGGGTGATGTGCTGTGTGTCGACCAGGTCGTTGTGACATTTTGTATAACTGATCCCGTAGTTCCCAAACCCTCTTCCCATCGAGCCGTTAGATTTGTAGTTTGATGAGCAAAAGCTGTGATGGTTATGATGTCCTTCCGGACATCACAACCATAAACTGCCGAATCCCATAGGTCTTGTCGGCCAACCCAGTCATTGAGTGTGGACTGATGAATCGGTGTGGGCTGGTTTTAATGACATCCAAACTTCGTATGCACTGGAGCGAGACTTGTCTCCAACTCAGCTTCATTTCTAGCAAGCTCTTTCTTCCAGTCACCTTCCATCGTACCGTGATCTCTCATCCATTCAGCATACTCTCCCTTCCACTCGACGTACCATTTTTTCCCACTCAGCGTACTCCTTCCATTGAGCGTAGTATTTCTTTCCACTCAGCATAGTCTTTCTTCCACTCAGCGTTCTCTCGTCCTGGTACACTGAGGCCCCGTACATTTCCGGAGGCCCTTTGGGTGGTATCAACCTCGACAGGCTCTTCTGTATTGAAGAGAGAAGAGAATACCAAGGAAGCAGCTCCTGACAACAAATGGGGGATGAGCAGGCCTTAGGCACTTAGGCAGTCGCCCACTGTTGTCTTTGACTACAGTTGGGGGTTGGCGATAGGTGGGGGCATTGCGGTAAGCTAGAGCCGCGCCGTCGAGACGACATCATCTAAACTGTTGCAGCACTTGCCGCAGCGGTTGTAGCAGATGAGCCTTGGATGTCTATGAGCCACATTTGGACAGCGGAAGTAACCACCACAATCTCCCAGTTTTCTCCCATGGTACCAGTTAAGCCAGAGCCCAAGAAGGCGAATCGAAACCCTTTGGTCATACTCCAAGAAGCGTTGTGTGCGATGATAGCGACAACCTCCAACCCATCACTTGTATGACCGTGATCGCGCTCCTTTCTGCTCCCACCTACACTGCGATTCACCGGTGGTGTTAACCGCACCAATTTCCATCCATAGGAAAGACCAGCAAGTTCTTTGATTTCATTGCCCTGGCTCTTACGCCACTCGAATTTCTCGGGGGTTGTTCCCTTCGGACCCACGCATATTTCGAACGCGTAGCTAGGTGATATATGCTTCAGCGACCCACCGGGAACGACTTGTTCCACGATGTCGTGTTTATGTTGAGATCCCGGACGAGGTGGGAGTGTGATTGCGATGGGCCTGCTCCTGCCCCACTTGTCGCCGCGTGCCGTTGCCATTACCGGGTGCTTATTAGTTGGACCATCGTGTAATACGAACGAGGGTTTGTTATTCAAAATAGTCGCCGGGGTTGACGCCGCGAACAACTTTTCTTCCGCTGTCGGCCCAAGGTGGAATGTGCTCGTAAGTTTCCATTGAAAGTATCCGTTCAAGAAGGGTGGAAATTTGGTTGTTGCAGATGTACTGCTAGATTCAGTATACGACGGTGTTTCATATTTAGGGGCTTCAGCCGCAGTCTGCGGGTCGCGCTCTGTGTAAGGTGGTGGCAACGCATCGAGTGCATCAGTTCGGTCAGAAACAGAAGACGACAAATCGGTCGCTGTGCCCATTATGTCAAATTCACGGAGAGAGGGATGGTAGGGGGAAATGAAGAAAAGAATTCGCGGGATGTAGCACCCCACATTTTGACCCCCAACGCCACGAGCGGCAGACTTCCCGATGTTGTCCCCAAGGGGTCACTTGTGAAATCAGATTCATGTCCACTCAACGCGTTTTTTGGTTTGTTTATGTGTTAGCGACGGGATTAGGCAGAGAACCAGAAAGACAAGTATTTCGGTTTGATTGAATAATTCAATGTTGCGCCTAAGCGGAGGAAAGAGACCATGCATCAATCCCCTTGGCAACATAACCTTGCCCATTAGGGAAAATATTATAGATACATACTTTCCTTCTTAGAGAATGTATAAAAAATTGCGTTCCTAGCATGTATTCGGGTAGACTCAAGCCTTCCCACGTGCGCCTGATATATTTACCTCGAAGCCTTAACCAGATGCACATGCGCAGGTATTCTGCGGGAACGGTGCACGCGGTTAGCGGCCACTGCAACCCTAGCAGCCTATGTAGAAATGTTACAATAATAACCCGATATTGGGACAACGGCATTGTTGGAAGTCGTATTTCACCCCAAAATGGGCGACTTGTATTTCTTGGGATCTGCACGACCATGGAATAAGCAACTGTTGGATTGCTTGGAAGGTTACATCAAACGCCATCCAATCAGGTGATGGGTTTTCTCGATACTGTCCCAGGTTATATATCATTTTCACAAATCAAGTCTCTTACCCTGTTCTTTCTATCATCTACCTACCTATAAAACTGAGATAGGAGGAAAAAGACATCACAAGGCCGCATAAGCGGCCAACTATTGTTGTAACCAATCATTTAGGAAACTATGATCGGTATACGGGTATATGCCGGCTATGAGAACCAGAAATTGAATCAGTTGATGGAAAGTTATTATTCAAAATGGATCGAAAACGGTGGGTTTGGCTTTACGAAATTAGTCCACTGATCACACTACATAGAGGGTGGGGATGATGCAGCCTAGAGATAGATAAGAGACGTAGATTTACATAGAGAGAAGCTGTGTGAGAGAGATGTATAACGATGTTAATTGAAGATATTGCTGGATATTTCACTAGATGAAGCCCCTTTATGATACTCGTTCGCATACCTTATTATGTAAATGCTCTCGGAGTTGGGGCCATTTATAGTCTGTGCGGGTTCGTGAAGGCCTCCTATAACGTTGCCATAAAACCCTTAGCGCACCATTGTATAGTGAGCTACATTTGGTTATATTGTGTAATATACATCCGCTAAGCGATTTCGGGTATGGCCACTGCTGGCCGCAATCATCAATCAGTTTGTGAAAAATATTATGGGCATGGACCCAAGATGTACGATACAAGTGAGAAGCTGGCAAATTCAGGGGTACATTGAACAGGGCTTAATCACATATTCTTCGGCTGGACTGGTCAATGTGGACTGCAGGGATTCTCAACGGACTAACGCTGGAAGTTGCAAATATGACGCATTACATTTTAGTAGCGGCCAGTAAGCTAGTTTCAGGAGTAGGATACGATAGTCAAAAGCTTACATATTAAGCCGTTAATTTCGTTCGAGGTTTTCGACTATCTACAACATAGCGGAACTGCGTGTGCCATGCTTTTAGACAGGGATACCGGGAATGCGTGGCGTGTCACCTGGGAGGGGCGGGGAAAGGTGATGCGTTGTTCCCATTATAGCTCCCCGAAGGGCTCTTCCCGGATCATTAATAGCCGACATAGAATGAAGTACTCAAGTCCTAACCAACCGAATCTTGGTGGTCAGCAATGGAGGTGAGCGAACCCTTTGATTTCGCGCTTTTACCCCGAGAGCGAAAGTCATGTGGTGTGATTAAACCTGGTAAGTGAAGCTATGGTCACCCGATTACCGCCTTAATTTACGCCTTTACAGGGTGTGCACTAACTATCCCAGCCCCAACCGTAATGTGGCGCTTTATAGGTGTGCCAAGAGACTAGCTCTGGGGTCTGGGATTTTGGTCTGGTTCACCTCGGGAGAGCCCCTGGGTAGAAATAGCCCCTGGGTTGTACGCCAGTCAGTTAATATTCAAATTCGCTTCCAGGGTGTCGTGCAAACCTAGCATCCCAGTCGGGTCGTACCACAGATACGAGTGTTGTTGTTGTTTTTTTTTTTTTTTTTTTTTCAGACAAACAAGCTCCGAGGTCGTTGGGTGATGCGTGTGTCGTATTGGCAAATCATAACAGGGGAGGCGTGTTGCCAAGGAGAACTTATGCCACCCGTCTTGCCATGACGCGCTGAGTTAAGCCTAGCGTCAGCCAAGATCGCAACTTCGATGTCAACACAGAGCGGATGTCGGCACTCGTTTGGATGCTTGGTCCTCTATGGTGGAAACTCTGTTTCGTGTTTCACTTCTTTCCCTCGTCTCTCGACAAAGGAGGGGACACCAAGAGACGGCCCCATCTATGGATGTTCCCCCAAGACTGAACAAAATAGGCAAATGTCCGACATGCGATGATACCATGTGGCTTGAGGCGGCACATGAAGTTACATACACTAGGGGGCTGACCGACATCCGACCACAAACTAATTTGATATGTAGCTGGTGATTGGTGATTTGGTTACTTACTGAGTCGATGAGTCGATGACGGCGTGGTTGCTTTCCTTTGACGGGGGCATATTGAAGTAGAAAACCTGGTCTCTTTGGGGTGTGCTATAGTATTTGGGTGTTACGTCCATCTGTAGTAATGCAAGTATCCCGGGGAAGCCATATGTCCTTTCCCCCGCATCTCCACAACTCCAGGTTTTCTGTTTTTGGGTTCGCCCCTTTCCTGTTTGGGACGTTTTACTGTTTTGTTGTTTTACTTCTTTCAGCTCATGTTTAAAATACCTCCTTGCTCCCCCTTTTCCTTTTTCCTCTTTCTCCTCCCATCTATGATCTGACTTGACTCCCTTGCGGAACTTCAACATGGGGTACAAGATCACCAACATCTATGTTATCACCACGGTGGCCGTCATCGGCGGTGCACTCTTTGGTTTTGATATTGCTTCTATGTCTGCCATGTAAGCCTTCTGATCACTTGATGAGAGCAGAGTGAGAGCTGATAACTGACTACTACTCGCAGTCTTGGCACACAGCAATACAAATGTTTCTTCAATCAACATGGAATAAATGAGGAAGGTAAATGCGGTGGGCCTACCTCTGCCAACCAGGGTGGTATCTCGGCTGCCATGCCTGGTGGCTCTTGGGTTGGTGCTCTAGCTTCTGGCTTCGTTACTGACTACCTGGGTCGCCGCGGGGCCATACAGTCTGGCTCAGTCATCTGGTGCATTGGTAGCGCCATCGTGTGTTCATCTTTCGGAATCGCCCAACTTGTCGTCGGCCGCTTCATCAACGGTGTTTCCGTCGGTATCCTCAGTGCCCAAGTCCCCGTCTATGTCGCCGAGTTGGCCCAGCCCAGTAAGCGTGGCCAGGTGGTGGGAGCACAACAGTGGGCTATCACATGGGGTATCTTGATCATGTTCTACGTCTCGTACGGTTGCAGCTTCCTTGAAGGTACCGCTGCGTGGCGTACCCCTTGGGGATTGCAGATGGTCCCTGCCGCCCTGCTCTTCGGCTTAGTCTTCTTGTTGCCTGAGAGTCCACGTTGGCTGGCCAAGAAAGGTCGCTGGGAGGACGCTCTCGAGGTTTTGGCTTCGGTCCATGCCAAGGGTGATCGCAATGCCCCCTTTGTGCAGACTGAGTTACAAGAGATCCGTGACATGGTCGAATTCGAACGCCACAATAATGATGCCTCATACCTCGACCTTTTCAAGGGCAAGATGCTCTACCGAACTCACCTCGGTATGTTCACTCAGATCTGGTCCCAGCTCACCGGTATGAACGTCATGATGCTTTACATTACCTATGTCTTCGGTATGGCCGGTCTCACTGGAAACTCGAACCTTGTCGCATCCTCGATTCAGTACGTCATCAACGTCGTGATGACCATTCTCGCCTTGCTCTTCATTGATCGTTGGGGCCGTCGCACTCCACTTTTGGTCGGTTCTACCCTCATGATGATCTTCATGTTTGCCAACGCTGGTATCATGGCATCCTACGGAAAGCCAGCTCCCCCGGGTGGTGTCGACCATACCCCCGAACAGTCATGGGACATGAACGACGTCCCCAAGGCTGCCAAGGGAGTCATCGCTTGCACTTATCTTTTCGTTGCCAGTTACGCACCAACTTGGGGTCCTGTCAGCTGGATCTATCCCCCTGAGCTGTACCCCCTCCGCCTGCGCGGAAAGGCTGTCGCGCTTTCAACCTCGTCGAACTGGATCTTCAACTTTGCCTTGTCCTACTTTGTCCCTCCCGCTTTTGAGAACATCCAATGGAGGGTCTACGTGGTCTTTGGAGTCTTCTGCTTTGCAATGACTGTCCACGTCTTCTTTGCATTCCCTGAAACAGCTGGAAAAACACTCGAGGAGGTCGAAACCATGTTTACAACCCCTGGTCTCGTGCCCTGGAAGACCACTGTGCAGTACCACCATGTTCGCAAGCTGGAGCAAGGAGCTATCCAGTCCGACAAGGCGGCAGACCTTCGCGCAGAGGAAGGAAGAGCCGATGATCACAAGCCCACTGAGAAGGAGACTGCCGTTTCGCAGGTTGAATAGGCACCCTCTCCAGGACCTGCCTGGTATAGCATCTCCGTGTGTACCTTCAACTAGACCTAGTACTGGTACTTTGCCAATTGGATGAGTTGCTTTGGATTTTTCCTAGGGTGCTGGGCTGTCTATGACACCCACATCCTCCTAATCATACGAAATACAAATTTCTATTGCTTTTATTTTGTGCAAATTGTAAATTATGTAGACTAAGATGGAATTACTGTAGTTAGTCTCTAGTCTCCATAATGCTCAAACCCTTGTAAATCCAGTTTCAACTGAATATGCGACACATCCTTCCCATTAACGGTTTGTTTTCTAGTTTTTGATTCTCTCACTTTGTACTCCTCCCCGCTCCCAAAATAAAAATCCATATTGCGATCCCAATAACTACAAAGGGGGACGAAGCAGTTTCATATGCCGATATACTAGACCGACGTTTCACACTCCATTAAATTGGTAGAACCTACCATGCAACGTGCGGGACTAGCTTTTATCCAAGATTTTGGAATAATTCCCTATTTTCCCAGGTTCATCATAGAGCATGAGGGCAGCCACGATATCTGGTCATGTCGCGAGGATAAAATCCCAGACAAGTTTCCATCACATCCAGTTTCTTTCTCGTGATCTGAAACACCTTGCACATAGTCATCCCTTTTTTTCCCCATACCTCCAGTGTTTCCTCGTCGATGAGGTTTCCGTTGGCGTCGTAGTTCGCTGGCAGATCCATTGGCGGAGGCACAGTATTTAAGAAAATATGAAACTCAACAACCTCCCACGGGACCGGTCCAGAATTGTCCCAATCAATGACATTGCTATGTTGGAAACCAGGGAGATCTCTAATAGACGCGATGATCTCGTCCTGCAAATTAGACGGCACCCAGGATCTAATGTCGGTTTCTCGAGAAGGGACTTAGGCTGCCTTGCTCCATGCCTTGGAATACTCCGCTGCGGTTTCAAAAGGCCTCCGATCCCAGGGATTGCGTCGATATCGTAAGAACTATTAGCGCTTTTTGTGATGAGACCAATCTTGGGAAATCGAATATTGGACATGGCAACCTGTTAATCAGTCGACATTCTAACATTCTAGGATGGCGAAGATTCAGTACACTTACATGTATCCTTACCATGCTACAGGTGAAAGCGCCCTTATATCTAGGTGGTATTCACCATTATGAGCTTTCCAACCTCCAAAAGCATCCATCGCAGTGCTACCAGAAATCAACTCCATAATTATGAGGCACAGCCGATGATATCTCCGCTGGTCTTATTGCCGACTATGGCATGCCTGAGAACATAGGGGCTCCGGGATTTGAAGACTTCTGAGATTAATGGCGTAGTCTATGAAAGCAGTCCAGTTATTTCTGGGTATTGATTTGCCATGATTGATATCCGTTTTCCAATTCATCGAGTCCACAACTTTCAATAAAACCAGTCGTCGGCAGATGAGACTAATTTGACAGTGGGTGAAAAACGAGCCTTTAGGGTGTGTAGGTAGAATTAAGCTCAAGTAACTTGAATGTTTGAAAAGGACCTCTTGTGGAGATGGTAGGGTAGCGGTGTGAGAACTCATTTCTTCCACTTGTTTGTTCTACCTGTCTTTCCCTTGATATACGTATTGTGTCTTTCTGATTACCGACTGCGTTGTCCTTGTGTGCGATCCTATGCTATCTGGTCTGTCCCACTAGCCATCAATAACTCGTGCGAAGAATGGACACTGGGGCATGTTTGCTCCGGATGAGACCTTTTTATTGAGCGTGGAAGCTAAGAAGGCAGAGTCAACTACCCATCCTTTCGAATAAACATCCTGACCCTCGACTGAATAATTTGATTCTGATAGTGAGCCCTATAGGAATAGCAAAATAGGAGACCTAAGGACCTCGAGGAAGCTTCATTACTCACAAACATAGGGTAAACTGTAATATTCTGGGGCCCGTCTGTCAGAATTATCCATGGATAGCCCCGGGTTGGTAGACATGGCTCATATAAACCTTAGAATACCTAGGCAACACCGAGATTAAAAAGGAAGACGATGAGGTTATTTATAATTTCTACTAATTGTTCATTACGCAATACCTATCCATTGTTTAACGAATATTAAAGGTGAAAATTGACAATTAATCGAAAATGTATTCATAATCACACTTGATTCTCAATACTATGTCCTGGTTGAGTATAACTTGTAAAAATAAACTGGGTAACAAAAGTACTAAGTTGAGCACCAGTTTAAAAGCATCGAACACTGCTATGGACTATATCTCAGCATTTAAGCACAGAATCCAACCCAGGGCATTGCTCGCTGCTCTCATCAGTGATTTCATCGTAAGGGGATGGGACAGTCCAAATGAGGTCGAAACTATATGAATGTTAGAGAAGTCGATCGAAAACAACGACACGAGGGTGAAACACTGACCTATCATCTGGATAATGTGGTGCATCATCGACTCCTAGTGTCTCCAGAATATCGGTGATTGTATCATGCTCCCAGCAAATCAGAATATTGGCCTCGCCCTTTCCATCGTATGAATCAATGACCTTCTTGACACAATCCGGATCATCCCGATCGCAGGAGATATCAACATCGAGACCTAGATCATCAGCCAGCGGCTTGACGGTGTCGCGGGGACGGGCACGTCGGCCATCTGTACCGTTCACGTTAGCCCCCTAGTCTGAATACTGCGGAAGCCGACTAGGTATAATCATACCGCTCTTGGGTGTTTGCGCCATGATATGAGTGATCTTGTACTCTGAATTCTTCCCGAAAACTTCGCGAATGCATTGGGCACGTTCGAGGCCATTCGCATTCAACCCATTTCCTCCATCCTCAGGTTTCTCTCCGTGTCGAATGAAGTAGACTATGGGATCGCGTGCTGTTGCGAAACCGGCAATGGCCAGTAGGCCGTAAGGCAAAAATCCGAGCATGACTGATGGGGGTAGTAGAGAGATGTCTAGATTTGATATTTATATAAACTCTACGATATTGAGTGACTTTAGGAAAACCAACCATTTTCGTGATCGGCCAGTCATGACACGTACCTGAGATGTGATTGGCCAATGATTGTGGCATTAGCCTTATGGGGCAAATGGGTCCGCGCCTAACAAGAGACCACAGGTAATCAGCCAATAGGAGGACAGTCAGAGTAGGATTGGGCTTATAGTGTGCTTCACTTGTTGTCAATAAAAGGAAACTCCTATTTTATGTATTGCATTCCGCATTACGCGCAAAGGGGAAAGATGAACGATATGGATAGCGCAGTCGCCCCGCTCCCACCCCCATGTTTTGAATGCTGAACAACGTTCCAAGGTAGGAAAATGGGTGGAGCGCATACTCCGTAAGCACTAGAAGATCAGATATATGCACTCTCCCTTCTACGTTTACGGTGGAGGTGACACATGTAGGAGCACTGTTTAGATTTAACAGTGGTGGACAACCAAGATTATTCAGGCAGCAGCCGAGAGTAGATACGGCTGTACAAGGACAATGAAGAACTTCTAAAGTTCAAATCTACTAACAGTAATATTACACGATCTACAATCGACAGATTCGTACTTGAATCAGCAGATGAACCTGATGGCATGCTGACTACCATGCACGCATCGGCGGTGCAGGACCCACAGGTATTAGTGCGAGGACTGAGGTTAGTACACACACCGGACTATTATGCCGAGTTTGCCAGGTAGCAACTCCAGCTAGATCCTGGATTTTAAGGTTGGTTAGAAACTTAAAGCAACACTACACTATCTGCATTTTGCCCTGTTCGTGCTTAAATTGAGACAGAAGCCCGAACAGCAGGCAGGCTGTGGACCAGTGCAATGCAGGAGTAACGATGGGGTATAGCAGTATTGAGTTCGTAGATGAACCGGTGCAGCAGGTGTGGATAGTCAGACTACACTTGAAATAATCATCTATTGGAACAAATGTAACAATTGGTTATAATGGACAGCACTTACAGTGTCCTTGAGGTTGACAGGTAGATCAAACACCTTCCGGAGTAGCAGCCATGGAGAGAACCTATACAAGCGGTAGCACCACAAGATTCACGGTAGTCAGTGTTAGTATCTGTGCAAACACCGGAAGAGTAAGATGAGGTGGTCTGAGGTGTATACTCGTAGCTGTTATTCTGGTAATTAAGATGGTATCGTATAAGTTGCAATGCGCGAATCTTGGAAAGTAAGTACAGAGATGGAAAGGGAATACAAGAGGAAGGAGCGAAGAGTGAGTCGGCTCAAACAATCTACGCGTTCAATATCTTTTGATGTCCAACAGAGTCTCAACCTAATGACATTCGACGGCTTAAAGCTAGAATATATACATTTCTTTCCCATAGACCATAGACAATGTTGACTTCACAGTTTAGCCGTCCTTCGTAGTGACTTCCAGTATTTATCCTTTAGCTGGAGAATCTCAAATCCTTGTTCCGCCCATCGGTCCTCCCAAGGAGGGAGTGTGTATCCACCCGTTCCCGGTGCTGGGGGACCAGCCAATCCTGTCAAGAAATCAAAATATTCCTTAAAATCAGGCTTTATTTCATGAAACAGGGCTGTGTGGCCTTTATATTGAAGGCGTTGGACTTCCCAAAGATCTTGCTCTTGTGGCGTTGGCAAGGACGCCGCATTTCTTCCGGCAAAATATCGTGCAACCGCAACCGCCTGGTACTCATAAACCCGGAAGCTGAGCGCAGCGCGGACCTGGCCGACGAGAGCCAAGGATGGGTCCCCGATCTTGAAAATATGCTGGTAAAACCCTGACAGCCGGTTGTTGGGAGTCACGGGGTTCGGGACGAGGAATGGATAGGACAGCTTGTACCCAGTGGCGAAAATGATCTTGCCCACGCCATCCAAAAGGCTGTCGTCGGAGAACACGACGCTTATTCCTTTCTCTGTTGCTCGGATCTCTTTAATCGTTGGCCTAAGGTTGACATTAGGTAGATCCCATGCGGATTGCAGTGCCTCGTTCTTTCCTCTCTGGGATACCTCGAGAGGGCCTTTCACAATCGCATGTAAATCTGCGACAAGATCTGCCGAGGAGACACTGCCCCCAACGACCACCACACGCTTGTTCACATAATCGTCTGCTGTTCGGAATGACTTTGAATGCTCAAATACAGTCGGATAGCGCGCAAAGGCAGCATCTAGCCCTGGAATACTAGGAACAGAAGGCACACTGTAATGCCCTGATGCAATAATCACAGCATCGAACTGCTCTTCCCACCAATAGTCCCTAGGAGTGGTACCATCCCCGTGCCCAGACTGACGAAGTGCCAAGGTCCACTTTTGGCCTCGCTTTTCAACCTTCTCGACTGTTGTATTGAGCGAGGCAAGATGAAGGTAGTCTTGGAACACATCTTCTAGATATTTTCTCACCACCCGAAATGGCCGGGTTGGGTTGGAATGTCCTAAGTGTCTGGTTGACCACGCGGAATTTATCTCGGGAAATGGAGTGTGCGAGAAAGCCATAACTTTGGCACCGACATTGCTGTCAAGGGCCTCATAAATCCCTGTTCGAGATGTCACATCTTCAGGAGAAGGAGACTTGAGCAGCGGAAGGCGACTTGGGATTTCGTGATTTTGTTGACTGGAAGACTCTTGGGATGGAAACCGATCGGGGATCTCATCGTATTGCCATATTCCTCCAATGTGACCTCGTCGCTCGAATAGACGAATCGTCTGGAAAATATTTTCTTCTTGCAAGGCTTTGACGGCAGAAATGCCAGATGGGCCCGCGCCGATTACAGCAACACTTTGGAACCGGGGCGCCATAACAAAGTCGTCTTGTTGGGTGTTTTCGATGTGGAGAGTATGCTCAAAAATGGCCTTACTATCTGAGAAATATCAACAATAGGATGTGAGCTTCTTTTAAACCGGGACTGTATTCTTATCGTGTACAAAAGTAAGCGATGATGTCAAAACACTCCACCTTGTCGGAATTGAAGCTAAGGAAATGATGGGTCAATATTGCTTGACTCCAGCTGGATGGTGATTTTTCATTGGGAATAGTCTGCAAGATGTATTTAGACTGGCACTGACGCAATTCGAGGTGGATATGGTCATATTTTCGATCCAATCAATATTCACAATGTTGGTGATATGGGTATCTATCGGCGTATATACATTCAACTAAAACGAGGTCCTCAGGCAACTTAGTAAACATTGGTGGGGCTGCGTTCTGAATAGGCGAAGTTGCAGCCCTGAATCTGAATTCCATGGCACACGATTTATCTCAAGATTCATTTGGCAGCACGCTCCCATTCCAGTTCACTCGGTTCTTTCCAGTAGTTCGTATCACTCAGTGTAAAACCAAGCTTTTGCAACACCTTTGCACTCCTACTGTTATCTCTTTCCGTCTCGGCAATGAACCGTTTGACCCCTCTCTCATCGACAGACCATTGCATAACGGCTTGCGATGCTTCCTGTACAATTCCCTGGCCCCAGAATTTTGGCGAAACACCGTAGCGCAGCTCAATCATTTCAAGCCATGATGGCAGCGCAGGATCACCAGGCTCTCGTGGCGGCATTGAGGTTGTGGTGGCATCACGGAGGCCTGCATAGCCCACCCATTCGGAGGCAGCGAGATGGATATTATTGACGCCTGCAACCCGAACATAATCATCGCCTTTGAGCATGGTGAAATTACCATCGTGCGTGGAGTTATTGTTGGACTCGAATGTGGATGGTCCGCGCAACCCCACAGCAAAATCACCTAAACCGCGCTTTTGCCAACAACGTCTGATATCACGCGTCTGCATCCAATCGCGCGTTTCATCGTCGCTCCATGTCCTCGCTGGAAAGTGATGCCCGAAACCCATTTGACAGAAATCCACATTTGCATGTAGCTCGGAATAAAGGGCCCGGTATGATTTGAAAGAGACTGCTGTGGTGGTGGGAACAATAATAAATCGAGGTGTGAGAATAGCAAATTGCTCAAAAGAGTCTCCGTTGTCCGAACCCATTTTGTAGACGGTCGAGCTACAGGTGTAAATTGAATAAAAGAACACAGTCCGTGTTGTGTATTTTGGGAAGAAGCAAACAAAAAGTGTGGATTTTGTCTTCCACACAGGTCACGTGTACGCCTGCTTCTTTTTGAAATGGTATTCCTCCAAGGCGTGGATTGTTAAGCATGAGTGTATTCTGGATGCGAAGAGAAAATTTTCCGCATTCTATTGCAGCCACAAATCAAGCAAACGTAAACTGTTCCTGTCAACGTCGCGATGATACCGAGGCACGGCCCCATATCATTTGTCTTAACGCAAATCGATCACGCATAACCACATATTTGAATGTGCCCTCGGATCTAGTAAATATTGGCTATATTTGGCTGTATCATACTTCCTCTATTACGAACTAGAGTCCGATATGGCCATCTAGTACCAGGCGAGGGAATACCCGAATCTTGCAACATACATAATGTAGTAGGGGACGTCGTCCTCACTACGCACTGACCTCACCTCTCCTACACCTCTCTGAATTCGCTCTTTGGACGTTAGTCCGAGAATCCTTTACGTTTCTTGGTAGATACAAAGTGAAATTACATTTGCTAAATCGACCCGAATGCCCGAGAGCATACAGCCTTGAGAGTTCCCCTCTTCAATATGTGTGTGACAAGGTTGCGATATTGTGATTCACAGATCGTTAGATGAGTGTGGGAGTAGCAGCGAGATTTTCTGCGTTACATTATAAATGGTATTCACAATCGCGGTCTATATAACGTGCGAAAATAACATGGTAAAAAGATGGAAAACTTCTTTCTATAGGTAGATATGCACCTTGACAGGGAAGATTGAGACTGCTATATACTCTGTACAGGCTAGTAATCCTCCTTTTCTATCGGCTATTCAGAGGATATTGAAAAACCTGTGAACTTTTGCAGCTGGCTTAAAAAGCCTAACATACGATGTAGTAGTAACTTAAATTCGAAAAATAAATCCCAAAAATTTCTCCATGCAACTAAAGCGGACTAGTTCAGTAGTAACTAACCTTAAGTGAATCTCACGAGCCCGCTAATCTCCCTTTGTAAACCACCTAAACATCCACTCTCCACTTTTGCCCAGATGATACTGTGTCTTATCAATACTCAATCGCGTTTTAATATTTGTCTCTAAACCCTTGAAATTTCAGAACACGCCATTACTCGGTTGCACCAACTGCCCCTCGATCTGCTTTGTCTCATCGCAAAAGGGTTGCCCGATCGAGTCTGCTCACCAGCTCAGCTAAGTACCCTTCTTCATTGAGCTATTCGTTCTCGCAATAATTAACTTGCGGAGCTAATGATCAAGAATCACGCCCCTCTGGACCACACAGGCGATGCTATATGGGCGTTATCCGTAGTAGACGTTGCCGTTGTATCGCTGAACGACTTCATTGCCCCCCCCCCCGGGCTTTCGAGAGGCAGGAACAAAATCAGGTGATTCAGAATGGCCGAGCCCTATCGCAAATGCTATATTCATCAATCAATGACCCGTCGTTGAGCTCCCTCTAAAATAAGAAGAACGGATGAATTCTGACGGAGCTCTAATGCACATTGCATGCAAAATTGACCATGATCTTTGTCAACTATTGATTAAATATGATGCTTTAGAGATGGACATTTTTGGCACTCAGGCGATATTTGTTGTAAACATGCACGGGCATTACGATACGATCGAATTATAAATTTGGCCGGGCAGTGTATCCATCAGGATAGGATCTACTAGACTCGTTTGTTTATAGCACAATAGGCTTCGCTCTACATTTTGGCCACCTTGAGATTGTAAAACTTCTGCTGGCGAAGGGTGTCCATCTCGAAAAAATAAACATCAAGCTCACCACAGAGAGAAATTACGAGGACATTCCTCTCCTATCGGAATTCTGCTATGGCAACTTATCTATGAAGGCGACGTGTCCAATCGCATTTAATTTGACAGAATGGCCAGGTCAGATAAGGGTCTTGAGGCTAATGTGATGGCAGGTGAGCCTTGGACCTATGATACTACCGAAGTGGAAGGTTTAGAGGATGCAGCGTAACCTAATGAACGAGACAAATTAGGACAGCACGAATTCCTGATATTTCACTATTGAGGTATATTTAATATGAGATTTGCGCATATAGTAATATATCACTTTGTTTGTCTTCCCTTTAATCTCCCACCCTTGAGATATACTTTCATCTGTATAGTCTCAATAACTACCATGGTGGGACGCACTGTCCTGCATCTTCAATCCTTGCTTCCGAAAGGGGTCGTGTATCCCTTTCTTGCGTGCCCCACAAGACAACACCTGATATCACATAAATATTTCGTTGTTGTTTGAGGAGTAGCGATGACCGAAGCTCAATCAACTTTCAAACTGGCTGGGGAGATGGAAAAGTTCCAAAGTCACAGAACTGAAATTGATAATGCTCACATCGACAAGTACCCTCTTCCCACAGAGGCTGAGAGCCAGACCTTGCGCCGAGTCGCAGGGACTCCGCCTCTTGTCTCCTTCTCACTTTGTCTCGTGAAGCTCGCCGAGCATGCATCCTACTATGGAGCCTAGACTGTCTTTTCCAACTTTGTGCAATTTCCGCTTCCTGGAGGGTGCGTGATAATACATTGATTATGGTATTTGCTAGCCGCTGAGCAGTTATGTATAGGCAGGCGGCAATGGAGCTGGCGGTACACCTCGGGGAACTCAGCAACTGCCGGGGCTTTGGGAATGGGGCTCCAAACAAGCTCCGGCTTTACACTACTGTTTGTGTTCTTGACCTATGTGGTTCCCATATTTGGTGGCTGGTGGGCCGACGTTTACGTGGGCCGGTATAATGCGATCATGGCTGGGGTGATAATTTGTGGCCTCGCCCACACAATTCACATCGTCGGTGCTTTTCCCTCGATTCTTCAGAAGGGTCCATCCTATGCCTCTCCGCCCTTCATCCTCGGCCTACTGTAGTAGCTGTCGGCGCTGGAATATTCAAACCGAATGTTTCACCCATTATCCTGGACCAAATTCGCCAGAAGAAAGCCTACACCAAGCAGCTCAAGTTTGGTGAAAAGGTCATCGTTGATCTAGATGCCACGACTACAAGGACCATGTTGATCTTTTACGGTTTTATAAACATCGGTGCTTTCTTTATGCTTGCTACTACATATGCTGAGAAGTATGTTGGGTACTGGCTGTCATCCCTGTTAACGGGAGTAATTCATTTGCTACTCCTAATTCTACTTTTAGCGGTTCGCAATATAACTTATAAGGAACCGCCCAGTGGAGGATCTGAGCTCAGCCGAGCATGGAGGATCACAACGACCGCCTTTAAGGAGAACAAGTTTCAAGTATGGCCTACGAACTTCTGGGATGCAGCAAACCCCATCACCCTACGAAGTAGGGGTATCACAGTGGACTGGACAATAGATGTAGTGAATGATGTTGCGAGGACCCTCGGTAAGTCTATCAGGTTATAGTTTCCTTGTAATCGGCTTTGAGTTTGAAGACACATCTGTTGTAGCACTGCTGTGCTCTAACATTTCACGTCTGATACCGTCCGTTACAAATAGGCGCAAGCGATGTGTTCTTGTTTTTCCCCATCTTGAACCTCAACGTCGGTGGTATCGGCTCGGTTGGGGCGAACCAAGGAGTAGCCATGATCACCAACGGAGCCCCGAACGATATTCTAAACAACTTCAGCGCATTGACAATCATTATCGTGATCCCATTCTTGACCTTTACGAACTGGGATATGCGCGATCACCTCCAAGTATGAAAGGCTTGGTTGTGGTAGTCTTCCTATTTATGAATGCTCTGTCGCGCGCATTTGGTGAAATTTTGATTCCAGTTACGAAGGATCCTTGGCTATTATGGATTTGGGGGGCACCGGCTGTCCCGCTGGCTCTCCAGACAATCATTTTTTGGGTGAGGTTCAAAAGGTTGAACAATGACGTGGATAGAACAGAGCATCTCTATTACTCTGAGGGTGAGGTGAAGGGTAATGGACATGCACCGTTGGAAACGCGGTGAATATGTGATCTTCAGGACCTAGTATTTCGTAGTTTCGTCGTGATGCAAACTATTTACTCAAAGTTTGAAGGTCTTGCTGTCTTTCTTGGAGATATTCGTTCCCTCAAGATATACCTATCAAGTCTGTATGCAGTCTATATGGACGGCTAGTCAGATTGTACATTTGTGTCCCTTTTTCGCTTTTTCATCACCATACACCCCTCTGCCCAACATCCGGCCCCCAATTTCAAAGCATGCTCCACCGGTTCTCAGGGTTTAGCTTCCCGTGTCCCGGTCCCGGACTAGGCTGTAACCAGAATTCGTGAAAGAGCAAACCAATAAAGTGACTAGGATTATCCTGCAGATAGTGAATTATCACACGTGAGCCGAGGTGCTCAATATGATACAAAGATAACACAAATAAACACATTGTGATTTAGTAAACACTGAAAGCAGACACTTTTACAATCTCGATCGAGGGTCATGTGGCATGTGATCAGGACCCACTCAACAGGACAACAACGAATAGAACGATACCGATACATACTTTCGTTTTTTTCTTTTTTTGAGGTGCGGCGGACTATATTATTGGATTGAAACAACCCCGAAAGATGCTAAAATATAAGTTCCATAGATTTAATATATCCAAAACTAGCTGGTATGATATATCACATCTACTCCGTACATATTAGTAGAATCTGCCATTGCCTCGAGTAGGCAAGTTGAGCACATAATCGGTGTAATGGTTTAAACGAGATCAAAGATAGAGCAAGTGGGACAAAGTATTGAGGACCGCCAATGGGCGTTCATCTCGTGCGACCGCAAAATTATTGATGTGATTCGGATTGCCGTGAACGCTATTAAATAGTATTCTTTGACCACATGCAATTTAGACACAACCACATGCAAATCTATGCTCTCATGTGATCCCGAGTGTTTTCCGAACCGGGCGGTGAATTACTGCCATCACGTACATCTACCCAGATCCTGGAAAGTTTGAAACTTTATGTAACTCTAAATAAGGTAGTTACGGGGTATGGAGTATTGAAGGCAAACAAAACAACACCGGGGAGTTTGCCTGGCCCGGGAGGTCATTATTATTATTATTCGCGACATGGGCAGTCCAAATGCCCTACAGCCTTGGCTCATATTCTATAAATATCGTATTCCCCCTTTGTTGGATCTAGGTACATATCAGAACTGCGCAGGAAACGCTCAATTAATACAATCGGAATACAACGACCCGGGTGACATGATACGTTATTACTGACAGCTTCGTGATGAGGCAAATGCGAGGAATAATGATAGGTCATTGTTAATTGCTATAATTGAGCAATATATGAAACTTCATTGAAGCCAAGACCAGCATCGGTCCGACAGGCCGCGTATGTTACGGATACATTGGTATATTGTACAATGTTGGACGGAAATGAGCTTAAAATAGAGTCCAAAGCAATTCCTCCATGGCCAAAGTAAGTGTTGACCATGTATCTAGTAAACACTTTTCATGTTATGTCGGATGATAAAAAAAGCGCTTGAGAGATTAGCAATTGAGGGCAGTGCTTTCGCTACCCCTGATAGAGCCAGTAGGACAACGAGATAACCGCCAAGCCGTTTATTGACTTTTTTTTTCCCAACCTTTGCTTATTAGTGGATCCCTGGATTCTCCCGAGGTCTAAAAAGGGGTGTACGAGACTTCCCGTGTGCATAATAGAAGGCAAAAGCCGAAATATGCTAGTAGCGTGGATGGGTTTTGCTGTAGGGTTCTAGTAGGTAAGATTGTCCCATGGCATTCTAAATCGGTTTCAATGAGGCTGCTGGTTGTTATTTGATTGTATTATTCAAAAAGGATCGAAATAAAATTCCGTTGGGCCCCAGAAACGTTGAAAAAAAAAAAAAAGAGGCTAGTGCATGTGAGTCCATGGAACAAGCGCGTCCACCCGTTACAAGATTAGCCAATGAAAAGTCTGCCCCTTTGTCAGTGCACCCAATTTGACAGTCTTCTGGAAAAGAATTGGAAAAAGGGGATTGGTCAATGTATTTTTGAGTTCCGACAATCTAGAGCTCCTTTTTTTTTTTTTTTTGAGACTAGGGGATACTCCATGGGGGCGAGGGGGGGGGGCGAAGGGAAAAAAAAAAAAAAAGAGGAAATAAAAATACACCCAAATCCTCGACGTCTTTTCTTATCTTCTTCTTGAAATCTATAATTCACTTTCAAAATGGCTGTGACACAAAGACAGCCTGTCAAGCAGGCAGAACAGGTATGGAATACCAAATGTAGTCGACAATGCGCATATACTAACGTTCCACTACAGAAGACCGAAGTTCCTAGCTTGCAAGCCCTCAAGGATGCAATCCCCAAGGAATGCTTTGAATCATCCCTCGCCACCTCCCTCCTCTACCTGCTTCGCGATAGCATCTACTGCGCAGCTCTGATTTACGCTGCCCTCCACATTCACCTCCTCCCTTCTTTGCCTCTCCGCATTGCTGCCTGGGCCATCTACGGCTTCCTCCAAGGCTGTGTTGGCACTGGACTATGGATTCTCGCTCACGAGTGTGGCCACGGTGCCTTCTCCAAGCACCAGGGTATCAATGATTTCATTGGCTGGGCTACACACTCCTTCCTTATGGTCCCATACTTCTCATGGAAGATCACCCACGCTCGCCACCACCGTTACACCGGCCACATGGAGAAGGACACCGTCTTTGTCCCCTGGACAGAGGATGAGTTGGCCACCAAGCGCAATGTCAGCATTGAGCAGCTTAAGGACCTCGCTGAGGAGACCCCCATTGTTTCCCTGGTTCAGCTCATCGGACACCAGTTGCTCGGATGGCAGATGTATCTCATCCTGAATGTGACTGCTGGTACTAAGAGTGGTCCTGAGGGATGCGAGAAGGTTGAGTTTGCAAGCCACTACAACCCATCCGCCTCCATCTTCACTGCTGCCCAGTGGAAGCTCATTGCCTACTCCGATATCGGTTTGCTCATCATGGGCTCTATCGTTTGGTACACTGGAACCATCATCGGAGCCTGGAATGTGTTCTTCCTCTACGTCGTCCCCTACCTCTGGGTTCACCACTGGCTGATTGCCATCACATACCTTCAACACACCCACCCCGATGTTGCTCACTACACTGCCGAGGCCTGGACTTACACCAAGGGTGCCCTCGCTACTATTGACCGCACCACCGGCTTTATTGGTCGTCACTTCTTCCACGAGATCATTGACTACCACGTCGTCCACCACCTCTTCTCCCGCATTCCCTTCTACAACGCTGAGAAGGCCACCAAGGCCATCCAGCCCATGCTCGGTGAAAACTACCACGAGCAGAAGGATGAGGGTTTCTTGTACTCGCTGATGATGACCTTCCGCAAGTGCATCTATGTCTCAGAGGCCAAGGGCCGCGCCAATGGACAGTCTGGTGTCCTGCACTTCGTTCTCTCCGAGGAGAGCAAATGAGCATGGTACTGTGAAGTACCAGTAGAATAGCCATTTAATAAAATCATAGACTAGATTTCAGTTATAGATTTTGGTTATACCACAGGAAGTTTGTCCAAACAAAAATATATCTCTCTGCTGTGTCTCAATCCTCATTTACCATTTGCAATTAGATACAAGTAGTTCCACTAGTGGAAGGTGTTGATCAAGACTAATCCTATATATCCTTATATAGACGGGTCTTTAAGAACCAAAGGTGGCGTGTTGTAGTCGGGTGCTCTATCATATCCACACGTATGAAATCTTGCATGGCATTGAGAAGGGATATGGTGTATAGTCCGGGGATAGACCGATGTTTTCAAGCATCGGCTGTGATGAGACATATCCTGCTATATTTACGCATTATGATCAGCAAGAGAGGGCATGGTGATTGTTGTGGCAACTGAGAGAGAGGGAGAAGAAGAAATCTCTGGCATTCAATCTATGAGAAAGCAGGGTATTTATACCCTTGTGTCCAGGCTCAGTCTGCCAGAAAGCAATCAATGGGATATGGGGTCATCTAAACAACGATAGTAGAACTACCTACTGCCGTAGAGAAAGGTCTGACCAATTTGCAAGCAAGCAAGATAGGCACCGCCTTCATGTCTGAGTACACCAGGTTAATATGTGATGGGTGTTTGTACATGGTTCCTTAGATTTGACTGGGGTTCGGGGCAGTCGAACAAAGGCGGCCGGCGTAGAGGCATCCAGATACGACCGAGGCGGTTCAGAGTATCTAGGTTCGTTATTATACCATCGAGGAACCTGAGATCGATAGTGTGGTTCGCAGCGATAACGTGGATGAAGACGACAATACATGGGATAGATGGTACGTGCAGAAGAGCCCTAGAGTAATCGAGAAGTCAATACCAATCCAAGAGATGAGTGAAGATGAACAGCACAAAGATGCTTGCTTGTATTGATGGTCGCGGAAGAAAGGATTGTGGAGATGTTGGAGGTTTGTCAACCGAGTTCCCCCGTAGTATCCAGGGGTTGAGAGATCGTTTGAGTTGTGCGAATTTGTACAAGATGAAATGTAATCCGAAGTAGTAAACCAAAAAGTGACGACTTCCCCCTCCGCGTCATTGACACACATGAAAGGCCCGATATAGGACTGTTGGATATTGTGTTGAGGCTGAGTATGAGGCCTGTTGCGACTGTAATTCTTGGAATCTATGGTAGACTGATCGCGTTGATAATGACTAACTTGGTGTAGGAACCGTCAAGTAGGTTGGAAGGTTCCTTCAACTCAAGGTAGGGTTGACAATAGCAAGGTGTGCGGACACGGAGGTTGATGGATACAGAAGAGCAACATAATATTACGCATGTACTCGATCTTTCGAACGGATAACAATATCTCATGATGAACTAAAGAACAGGGACCGATTGATGTGATAGTTGGTGAAAAGATATTGGGCATCTCAATAAGTCAAAAAAAGCTATACGTTAGATGCATGGGCTCGTGTACATGCGTATTTAAATAGGTAACAAAAGTTAACATTAATAAGGCCAAGTCAAACATCAAATTCACTCTTCCTCCTTCCCTCTTGCTGCCAAACAATCCACCCCAATGTAATTATCAACTTCAGACCCATCGCAAGCCATATACTCGACGCCATACTAGTGGTCTTTGAAAGACCACCAGCGGTCATGGCGCCTAGAAACAACGCGAGAAAAGCCCCTATCCGACGGTTGCGCTTCGGATTGAATTTTGCAGTCAACTTTGGATCGATAATCAGATCGCACAGCATAGCCGTCACAACAACAGTTGGGATTTCATCCAGGGCCAGGATTCGGGAAGCACAAATCTGGCCTCCTGCTTGGAAAGCTAAAAGTGAGATTGGCAGGGCTTGCATCCATTCGATCGGAGCTCGGGGATCCTCGGGCTTCGGGGTGATAACCTCTAGCTGGATGAGAATTGCTGTCACTAAAAGGGCAATAGTCTGAATGCCAAATGAGAGTATCATAGTTGAACGGCGTCGTGGGCTCAAGAGTCGATGCATGCGGATAAAGAGGATATTGCTGGCAAGGAAGACGGTGAGGGCGATCAGGGACTTTGCCCAGAGATATGCTGGGAATGCAGGCTGGCCGGAGGGACCCAAGGCTAAGAAGATGGTATTTCCTATGTCATTTGCCATTAGCCTGTGTGATTTGCACGGGAGCAAATTGAATTGTCTGGTAACTCTAGCCTGCACTAACCTGTTTGCATACTTGAAAAGCTTCCCCATGCATTAAATGACAAGCCATCTACCAAGCCACCGACAAACCCGCATATTATAAGAGGAATTTCGGTATGTGTGGTGTCTATGTCTGCTCGGAAGTGGCGGGAAATAGTTGAGTACACCGTATTATCTTCTGTCTGGTTGCCAGAGACAGACACTGCGGTGCTGCCCCCAGAAGACCAAAAGCCTGGTGTATATTTGATTTCCTCATTTGGCCGTTCCAAGCCAAAATTGGTAGTTGTTAACTCGTGCTGATAGATGGAAAGGTTATCAGGGGCGCGGTGGCCTGTTGGTGCAAGTTGATTGATATCTCCCGACGGGGAAGAGGGCCGTTGGTGCATGGTGGGATTATTGCAAATATGTATGTATAAATTAAGGTCGGAGAAGCTTATTATGAACAGAGTCAAGCCTGGAAGGTCCCACTTTAGCTGTGTCAATATGAAAAGAGATAGATTGCCAAACAAGACACGGACTCAGCTTTCTTTAATACTGATCCATTTTCCGGGTTCATTCCGATCCTCTCCACGAAAGAAGTACACTAGATCTTCGCCAAGAAAGATAAGAAAATACCCCGATGACATGAAACAGTATTACTTGCCCCATCCCTACTCGTCTCGTGTATGCGTTACACCGCCGAGGGATGCGTTGGGAGCCGGACTACTTAATCTATATCTACTCCATACGGCTCTTCATCTCGCATACACTATGCGTATGCAAGCACTATAACGTGGATTATCGACATACCCAGATTATATCACATAGCCAATCTGTATAAAAATGAGTAGCCCAATATGACTACCCATCCTGAAATGAGTTGATCTCACAGATCCCATCTAGCCTAAATCTCGGCGTTCTCTTGGCACCCTAATCATTTCCGTTGCGTGCGTAATTCACCCCCGGACTCCATTAGAAATCAAGCTGTAATACGACCTCGGAAGCTGGGGGTTCAGGATTCACCTTGGCTCGGTGGAGCCTGTAAAGAGCCGATTCCTAGGCTTCTTCGTTTCCCAAGAAGCAATCCGCAGCATTTCCTCACATTATTTCTTGGCGGCATGGTTACGCTTTAAAGCATTGATTGGCTATTTTTTGCACAATCGCTACGCGGCGGTCGACCGAATTTAAATTTGGAATCATTGTGATTTATCAACATCAGTTAAACTCGCATACCCCTGTATTTGTACGCTTTATATGCGACTATGCGTGTAGCCCCTTAGGCTAAGATGACGTTGTTGAGTGTTATAGCCTGTTCTGGCCCCTGAAAACGTCAAAGGTGGACTTTATTGGCTTTATTTGCCAAGGGATCGACGTATCCACTGACACTAGTCAGTTCGGGGCCGCCAGGCGCTGCAGTAAGACTAGTCGCCAAGAAAGATCTCCGGCAGCATCAATGGTTCGTCACTAGTGTGGTTCATCAGCGTGTCTTATCTATACCTGTCAACGGCTGAGTTCCGATAACACAGACACAGCCTCGAATACTGAATCTTGGCGTTGACTACATTGACTAGCAGTTCAGGCACTGAGTCTCGCTGAAGGGTCAAATCTTGGCATGTTCTGCTTGAAATAGATACATGGGCTGCATGAATCCATGCCCAACTCAAATAAAAATAGTAGTCCACGTCGGGGATTCTATGGTCGTCGCAAGGTGCGATTTCGCAAAAAGAAACAAAAAGAGCAAAAACTACTGTTCCGGGGTCAATGGTAAGATTATTCAATATTTCCATCCGAAAAAGCAATACTATATGCCAAGGTGTGAGAAACCCTGCTCCTTCCATCATGTTATCTTCAGACCACGCAAGGTCAGTCGCTATATGAAGTCGCCAAAAAATATGCGATAACGCCAAGGGGATGGATGTGGTGGGTTCACACCCAATTGGTCAGCCCGCTGACTGGGCGGTGTTTTGGCTTCAAACCAGATTTAACCAATCTGCCTGCTGGGAGTGTGACATCACCACCTGATCTAGGCTGAGCTAAGATGCAAGTGAACACCCGGTATACTTCGGTTGCTGCCAAGTGGACATTAGGCACACTCCGACTGTTTTCGATGCTCGAATCAGGTCGTCTCGATCTAGTCAAAGGTTTCACCGCATCAACGGAGATATAAGTACATATGTAACATATTGTACGAAGTAACACATAGGAGGTATAGCACGGTGTGTAGTTCAGCTTCTGGTCTTGGTATTCTTCGTTTCCGAACAATAGAACCTGACAGCAAGGGTGGAGGATTAAGTGGGGATCCCGATGCCACTTTGGCTGTTGTCATTGCTGTGTGTCAAATTCCTTATCTTGAAAGGAGATCCTAACTTTAAGCATTCAGAATGATTTACCGGGGTACCCCAACCCCTGTCCATTGAAGGGATCCGCGCAAAATTCCGTTAACGCTGCGCCACTCTGAGAAGAGTTGGCGGCGTGGGGTGAATGTCGATCCTTGTCGATCATTCCATTCCTGATGTCCCTTGCCGCAACCAGAAGTTCAAATGTCAAGCTATTGTGTCAGTTGATTGATGATTTCCGAGCCTGGGGGCGTTGTCGGAGGAATCATCGGGGAAATTCGGCTTGCATTGCATACAGTTTTGTCTCGTGTTTGCCATGTACAGTGTCCAGCCCCAGCCTTTAGTTCTCCGCATAATCAAATTACCGACTGGTGCTTGGCCGAGATGAAAATGAGCCCAAAAGTAACGTGAAATGTACGCCGTGGACCTTTGCTGAGGTCTAGGCATTCATAGATCACGTTGGGAATATGTGCAAAAGTAAAATCATACCTGTTAGCGTGGGATCCCACAATTGTGTCTGCAGCTGGCTCCGGGGATGTGTTTCTACCACACCCGATTAACTAAGAGATCAATGTTTAGTTGTAGATATTGCCATTATTTTAGAGATTTTTTCTGGAATGTTCATATCATTGTTTAGCCAAAATCCGTGCTATTGAACGTCCCAGTTCTGTTCGAATCCTGAGTGAAAGAACGCATCAAAAAGTGTCGAGTCAATTGCTTTAATTGACTGGGGTAATGTGGCACCATAGGTATCAGGCACTTGTTGTTCCAATGGACTCTCGGCCTGTAAGTCGTGACCAATAAGTTCCAATGGAATCCTCAAGGCACACTTTTCCCTCACATTGTTTGATGCACTGTGGCAATCTCCAAAGTCCATGAAATCCAGGTTCGGTGCAGTATTTTCATAAGTCATCTGCTCCGTTACTCCGTTGATGTATCGCACTTGGTTCTCCATCATCACGGAGGGGTTTGCAGGATACCCAGGAAATTCATCTGGTGACGAGTTGTAGTTGATTTGGACCCTTTGCGGGGTGAGATTCTTCTCTAGCTCGGTCTCAATGTTGATGGGCTCCAAGGCATCTATCCATTCAATGGAGGATGAAAACATGCTTGTAGGGTAACTCTGCCGCTGTATTTGGTTCATACGGCTTACAAGTGAGTTCGTGGACTGCGAGAATGGAGTCTCAGATGTCCAGGGGAGTCTAGCAATAATGCCCATTGCTGGAAGGTCGCGTAAAATTTCAGGAAGAACATTTGCGGATGGCAGATTCCCAATTGCCATAGTGTAGTCCACAGACGTTGATATCAAAAGATATGCCCTCGGGCACCGAATGAACGCATCTTGCCAGCTCGTTGGGTGGTTGGTTCTGGACGACATTGGTTTATTGAATGATCTAGCTGAGTGTTGATTGCTGGATAACGAGTGCTCGGTCACAACGTTGTCTGAGGAAGGCAATTGGGGTGGTTTCTGTGCCAGGGGGAGGTTCTGTGTTGTCACATAGGCAAGCTGCAAGAGGTAGTTGGTCGCGACGGCGACGCGATCAGTGACATCGTACAATGTCTCTGAGTGACGGATAATTTGACTCAGCGAGTTCAAGCGTCGTTGTCTGGCCTCCGTCTCCTTCTGAGAAGGGGAAAGTTTGAGGTCTATGGCTGCCAGTACGAGGGGCATGCTAACGTATCCAAGCCTGCCGTCCATGTTAGCAAAGTAGTTCGTCTGGTAGCAAAACGTCGAACACTTCTGTAGGTGAATGATGAAAATAAAAGAGGTACTGACACACTCAAGGGAAGAATATCAGCATATCCATTGATACTGAAATGTTCCATCACGAGACTCAAGCCCTCAACCCCATCCCGCAAGTCATTGCTGATCTCTAGCACCATATTGTTGTATTTGTCTCCCGCGTAAAATACGTTTTCTTCCAGTATAAATGCTGCATATTGAGCCAGATTCACTTGTGCTGCACTAGAAACAGACAGCCACTTGGTTAGTCTCGAAGGCAGTGGGATGCAGGGGGCCCACGAACTGGTAGTACATATAAGTCATGTTGGTCAACCTTTCAACTGCGTCATTTCCTTCTGACCTTGATCTGTTGCTTGGTGCGCCTAGAGGCTGTTTTGGTAGTTCCCACTCATTGAGGGACTTTTTGATTTTTTTTATACTCAACAAGAGGCCCTGGAATTCAATCATAGACAGGAGCCGTCTTGGAGTCTTTTGGTGGGTGAATGCCAAAGTCACCAGATCTGTGAGTAGCACTGCTAGCTCACATTGCTTTTGAAGTGCCTCCAGTAAGCACTTTTTTGTATCATAGTCGTAGACTTGAGATTGATGCAACTCTTCACTGAAATCCTCTGTACTCAGCCAGTCACTCCATCCATGTAAGCTGGTTGATGTCACCTGAGGACGGCGGCGTAGGCCAATAGACAAGCTTCGGTCCCGAAGAAGGATAGACCACCAAAGCCGTTTCTTCAGTGATATTGCCACATTTTCCCCCAAGGATGACTGAGCGTCAATGAGCATAGCGTGTTCGATGGCCCTTGTGACCCACAAACTTCCGGACTGGGGGTCGTCCGCAGAGGTATAATTTGTAAGCAAAACAGCGCCTTGCGCGTTCGCATGAGACCGTTCTTCGGTTCGCTTTTCGAATAATATCTGCACCCAGCGCGATCAATACCCGTCCATGGCAAATGTGACATTGAATTTGGGGGTGCCTACTTTGGCTCTGTTGTACAGCTTCTTTCGTGCTTCCCTCCTATTATCAAATCCACATTGGCGCAATATTTTCAAAGGTACAAACTACTATAATTCAGTCCAAACGCAGGAGTTACCAGAGTTGTACCATGGCACCTACCGGACAGCTTGCGCAAAGCAATGATTGCAACACAAAAAGAGATATTTTCGGACTTGCAGATTGGTTGTTTCGATAAATGCGCCAGAACTCAGCCTCGTCTAGGACAGGGATCAGTGGATGCATGTGCTTAAAGTACTGTTCAAAGAACTCGTCGATTACATCGGAGGGTGGCAAGCTTAAACAGTCTTTCGATGTGAGAAGTGCTATATCTTCGGAGGGGAGCGACAGCAATTGCTGAGACTCGACAAATGGGTATTCGGTGTACGGAACATTGGGGGAATCGGGTGGGCTTGTACTACGTTCATCGGAACTGAGGCGATGTTCACGGAGCTGTGAGGTAAGAGTTTGATCACCCTTTGACTGGCGCCGGTCGTCGGAATGCCGGCCGGTGCTTGACGTTAAACTTCGCTGCGTGGGAAGCCCTGGGTGTGCCGACTTTGGTGACCTAATAAAAGTTAGTAAATGGGCCTTGACATAAGTTCTCAATTATAGTCTCACTGCTTAGGATTCTGAACGCGAAGAACACATTCACTGCGACCGTCTTGTCGACACCGGGTACAAGGAGAGCCGAGTATTGATGCATCGCAGCGCACTTTGCGATGACGACACCAGGAGCAAGCCGTTGGCGATCTTTTTGTGCGTCGCAACATTTTGTTTATGACATCCAGTTTCCTTGATATTTGCGGGGGGATGGAATCGAGATATCTTGAACGCGGGGTCAGCAAACACTCAGGCCTGGGGGCCTGTAGTCTGGTATGATCAGCGGTTGTGCCACTAACTTTGGAAGAAGCCGACTCGGTTGTCTCATTGCGAACCCGCTTATTCAAACTCCACTGCCATATGGATAATAATGTCCTTAAACTGTAAACCCTTGTTAACTCTCGATGGTTGCAAGTATTTTAGCTGGGATGTACTCTGTAGTTCATAACTATAATACTCTACTCACTGTACCTAGGCTGTGGTTAGATTGATGGGAAACGACTGAGCATACTAAGACTGACCTACTAGGTACCTACCGCCATGCCTACTAAGAAATAAAATACAATGTGTGCACCCATTCCACAACCACAAGCTACTGGTTTGATTATCTAGCAATGGCTTTCAAGACCCAAATACGAACAGATCAAGATATTGATCTAATCTCATGGCTTTAACCATGGTCCCTTACCCCGCTAAAGCTATGCTTAGCCGTGGAACTCGGCTTCTCCGCAATTCCCCACTTTTGGATGCAAATCAGACTTTCAGTAATCTAAGTAGCGCTATCTAAGGCAGACGGTACACTCTTGCCAAAGAAGGTATCAAAGCAGGACAGCTCAATCTGGCTGTGAAATTTAGTGTGTCACAGCCTAAAGAGAAGTTTGCCGTGATTGGAGGTTAAGTCACAATTTTTATTTCATGAATGTTTTCATTTCACATGATATATTGGACTACACGGCGTGGATGTTTAGATGGGCGAGCAGTTGGCCAAGCGATTGTCTTTGGCGATATTTGGCGCACCGCTTATTTGGAACCACCCATCTTGAGCTCGAGTGCTGTTTGATCTCGAGCTTCCGGATTGCCCCCAAGCGATGAAATTATTCTTTATGCTTTTTTCTTTTTTCCTCGTGCTATTCCTAGTGCTGTAGTACTTCCAAATGCCTCTGAGTGCGCTCAACATCAAAACCTAACAAAGAATATCCCGAAATTACCTAGTCAAGTCTGTCCATGTTGCGTGGCTGGTTATATATCATGTCATCTACAGCGTCAGTAATTGGAGTTTGTTTTGCTAAAACATTTATTGAAAGAATTGACAAAAAGAGATAGTTCACCCGTGCTACCGAGCTATTCTCCCTCTATATTGAGCTTATAGCTTAGCCTTCAGAAGCCCAGCCTCAATTTCCTCCTTGGCATCCTCACGCAACACTCTCTTCAAGATCTTCCCACTCGAATTTCGTGCAACTGCACCGACAAATTTCACCCCACCTGTAAGTGCTTTATATTTCGAAAGGCGAGTCAAGACATATCCTTGAATCTCAGCTTCTGTGAGCTTATACCCTGCATCGCCAGGTCGTCGAACCACATAAGCACGCGGGTACTCGATATCAACACCGGGAAAGGTAACTCCTATGACTGCTGCATCCACAATCTGCGGATGCGACAAGAGCGCTGCCTCAATCTCCAGCGGGGCCACCTGGAAGCCGCGGACTTTGATCAGTTCCTTCCTGCGATCCACGATATACCATTTGCGAGTACGCTGGTCACAATACGCTATATCACCCGTTTTGAACCAGCCCTCCGAATCAAAGGCCTCGGCATTAGCTTCGGGATTGTTGAAGTACCCGGGTGTAATTGTCGGACCTCGGACACATAACTCCCCACGAACATCAAAGGCCGAGATATTCTCTCCGTTTTCATCGATGAGTCTGAGCAAAATACATATTAGTCGCAGACTCGACACAATCCTACACACCCGTCAGATGTAACGCACTTAGCTTCAAGGTTTGGGACAAGCCGGCCAACAGAGCCCGTATCATCGTGCTCGGGATAGGGAAAATTAGTAGCGATACAACATGTTTCAGTCATACCCCATACCTGGTTGAATGGCTTGTTGTCACCCATCAGTGAGCGGAACCTGGCTTGGACATTCTTATCCAAAGGAGCCGCTCCACAACCTGCCATTCGGGCCTTTTGTAGATAAGGTTTCCTTTGAGAAAGAGGCGACATCAGGATTGCTATCACGATGGGCGGAACCAGAGCAAGATCGGTGACGCTGTACTTTTCGACCGTAGTGAGGTAAGTCTCGAGATCGAACCGACGCATCATATATACGACTGCGCCAGCTTTCAGTGTCGAAATATGCGTCACTGGAGCTACAGCTGCATGGAAGATGGGTACTGCAATGACCCGCGAAATCTATTCGAGTATGCCAGGTGTCAGAGTGATACCGTCGCACTCATTGGCTTAAGATCTCTCCAAGCTAATATGGGAATGGAACTGACCGAGTAAGGACGCGAATTCACGCCATAAACAACCTCATGCTGTGCAATGAGATTGTAGTGTGTGATTGTCACGGCTTTGGGCAGACCAGTGGTGCCACTACTAAACAGTCTTGCCGCTGTAGTCTGCTGGCAGGTTTCTAGATCGTTGAATCGCACCCAATCATCCTCGCCGACTTTTAACAGCTCTTTCCATGATCGCATTCCATTGGGAATAGATTGTCCAAGGTTGTCAAAAACCCAAACATTTTGTTCTGGTACATTTACCTCCCCAGCCACCCGTAGGAGAGAATCCGAGATCTCGGGCTCGGAGAAAAGGAACTTGCTTTCGGAAGCCCGGATATGGTGAGTGAGCTCATGTGGGGTGCAAGATGGGTTCGAGCCCGTGTAAATTCCCCCAGCTCCGATAATGGCTAACACAAGAATGCTGTAGCTTATCTAAAATAAGTTAGCATCCCGTAATTGCACCTCAACTGTATGGTGAAACCTCGTACATCATTGAAAGAATGAATGAGGACGCAATCGCCTTTTTCCAGACCAGATGCGCGTAGGCCAGCGATGAGCTGGCGAACGAGCTTTCGTGCCTGGTTACAGGAGATCGATCGGGTGGGATTGCTGACGTCGACGTAGATCTACCGGGGTCAGTTCAGCGGCCGGTTGATAACAAGGTTGAAATATTGATTTTCACTCACTGGCTGATCTTGATTATATGTTGGTTCGTCAAAAATATAGGACAACAGGTCGCTTGTTGGAAGCAGAATCCTTTCTGCCGGTTCGAAGATCATACTGTGCTGAGCGATAAACGCCGACAAGCTGTAGTGGACTGGAAGGAACGACCGGATACAAGATTATCAGGGTTTATTGCGTTATTAAGAAACAGCTCGAGGAAGACGACAGTTTTAATTCTAATAGATGATATATCTGAGTCCCTGCAGCTTCGGCTGAGCCCGAGGTGTTGTTAGCTCGGAACTCGGTCGCTTAAATGGAGGAGCATGGGCTGCAATTTTAATTGGGACTGAGACTGTTAGGTGTTTTCATTGGGAGACTACATACAGCCAGCAGGGCATTTTATGCAGTCCAATGTTGATCTAACCATGCTTAATATCGTGGAATCGAGGTACAAGTCCAAAAAATATTATTTTATGCATTTTCTCTTACCCCGCTCCCCCGGGTTCACTGGGGAATCATTTTAGTGAAATTTGTATACATTCCTCGAGTTTCCCCTTATGACAGATCAGAGTCAGGCCGCTTAAAGCCTTTTCTATTGGAAATAGAGGAAGATGAAATACCAAACGATTCGCCGCGCATGTCGAGCCTATCCATCCACACACAACTGTACTCCTACACAAGCTACCAGTTGAGCTTGTTGTCTAACAATACTTAATTGCCTACTTAATATATCTAAAGAAGAACAAGAACAGAGGCAAATAGGAAAACATGATGTTGATAAATTATAAATTATATGTAACTATGAAGTGTGAATAACAGGGCGTTCAATATGTTTGTCTTCCCACAAATGTCGTATCAAAAAGCGTATGATATCTTATGCCGGGCTGTATGTTTGTCGCTGAGATAATTGGATACCTATCAGTTTCTGCAGCAAGAGCCGAAGCACATATCGGCTGCTGAACAATATTTTTCCATTAGCTGATGTGGCATGTCATTAGATCAGGGTTGAGGGGCTTACCATTATAATTATGGGGGATGTCACGCTTCTTGTAGCTTTTTTTCTTTGTCTGTCTAGAAGGAATTAGCTTGTGATATTCTTTCCATAGTTGGGGTGGTCTTACCGTGGGACGAGTGTAGATTCGGATGTTGCATCGTCCTTGATCTCGCGCTCTTGGCTAGAAGTCCTGGAAAAGATAGCCTTGAGCTGATCGTAACGGCTCAATCGGTTGCTTTCTGGCATTTTGTGGGTATAGAAATGGATATTCCCGAAGCGGTTCTGAGATTTGGTTTTAAAATAACTAAGCAATGCTTGCGTGGATATATATGTTTTAACAACGCCTTTGAATGCTTTTGAATATGTTTTAAATCTACATAAACATCTACATCCCAGATACCCAGGCCATTTATATACCTCTTTAGACATTGCCGAGCAGTGAAAATTTGCATCGACCGAAAGAATTAGGTTGGTTTATGCCGTTGAACGTATGCTGAAGTTGCCACCGGGTATCTGCGTTCGCCGATGCGCCGTGACAGCTCGGCGGATGACGTCATTGGTGTCCCATTGCGAATCGATTCGCCGGCTGGCAACTTTCGGCCAACCTTATGTATCGTTTTACTCACTTGCTGGAATTTTTTAGTGTATACCATCGGCCATTCATCTCGGCCGTCCGCTGTTCTCTGTTCGCCGGTAATTTCTCCACTGGCTTGGCCTGATAAAGTGCGCGTTAGCCTACATTCCTTGCGTTCGCCGATCAACTGAAACAAGTCATGTCTTCTCCTCTTTCTGCTCGGCCATATCGATCAAAACGTCAGCGCCCGTGTGATCAATGCCGTGGCCGCAAGCTAGGCTGTCAAACCGATGGCGGAGGCGCCTGTCAGCGATGCCGATCGGCCAAACTGGACTGTACCTTTGATAATCCTCCACCGAAACGAGCGCGAACCGTGGAGAATTTGTCGCCTTTTGGTGCCCAAAGTGTTGATGGGAATACATTTGCCCCGCAAACATGTGACAGCAATTTCACCCGCGAGTCCAGCTTGGCAGGGAGTGTAAGACAAAGTGTCGAACCACGATTCCCAAATATCGGCCTCGATCCAGGTAATCCTGGGTTGTCTCCAGGGTCCGGTGTTCTAGGCCCCGGAAGAGCGCCGACTCAGTTCGTGCAGAGCATTGATCAATTGGAACATGGTCACGCCCAGCTTTTCGGCGCATCTTCTGAATCAGACCCCTGGCTGTTAAGACATTGTTGCTTTGACGATTCTGGCATGAAGTATTTCTACAAAGTGCACTTTCGCAATGCCGGAGGTGTCCCCACAACACAGAGAATTCCAATACACTTCATGATCTCATCAGAAGAGCTCACCACCTCCATTAAGCATGAAACTAGGGCCGGAGTCGGCGAAGCAACACGGGAACACTTGGACTATCTAGTACCCCCTGAGTATGGAAGGAGGCTCGTGGCGTTGTGAGTACTACCCCTCAATATAAGACTGAGGCATCACCGAACTAACAAAAGGTCAGGTTTGTCAAGTATGTCTTCCCTGCCCTGCCAATCATTTCCCGTTCCCAACTAGGGTTGACTGCGGCGACATATCAGCTACCGGAGTTGTCGGCATTAGAGAAGGTCCCGGTGCACCTTCTCGCGGCCATCTATGCATCGGCATTTCCATTTGTTGCCCATGACGACTATCTCTGTGTGCTGAGCACGTATAACGCGTCACCAATTGAGGCCTTGTGGCGAATGGTCTATGAACTCGTGACAGAAGAGATACATAGTCCCCGTTTGGCCGTGCTACAAGCAGCGTTGCTATATATACATCAAATGCCAAAGGATGAAACCCGCCTCACGACCGCCGATACCCCGTTTCTGTGGTCCTTCATCGGCCAAATCGTTGGGCTGGCCTGTTCCCTCGGCCTTCACATCGAATGCCGCATGTGGGGCATTCCTGCATGGGAGAAGCGCCTCCGGCGGCGGTTGTGGTGGGCTGTGTATGCCGAAGACAAATGGCGCAGTTTGCTGATGGGCCGTCCGCCATATATCCACCCCGCAGAGTGGGACGTGAGTGAATTGGATGAAGGGGACTTTCTAGTGGGTCCACGACAAGGATTCTCGACTAGCTCGTGTGATACTGAGATCCCGTTCCGATACCTAATCAATCTCGCACGAATCGGCGAAGAAATCCATGATACATTCTAGTAAGTTTCGACTCTCAAGCCCATTTCTCGCTCGCCGGCGAAGAGCAATCTTACTAATCCTGATTCGTAGCACGCTCCGGGCCTCCCAAATTTTGAACGCAAACTTTACCGCCTCTGCCGAACTAGGACGCGGGCTGCTTGAAAAGTTGAATGCCTGGTATTCCTCTCTTCCTGAAACGTTTCGACTCCCTAATTGGAGCAAATCCGTCAATGGGCTAGCCCCATACCCCACGTCGATCCATTTTGCTTACCTGTTGCTCGTGGTTTATGTTTACCGTGCGATGCTTAGACCCATGGCACGATCTTCCGACCCGCCGCTTATTTTCGACTTGGAAGACCTGTCTACCACATCACCATTGCCCGTAGATGAGTCGATGCTAGACTTCATGGATCTCCCGGAAATTGGATCATTACCAGAAATAGCCATCTCCGATGAGTTTGGTACTGGTGACGCCACTTTACAAGCAGCAGAGAAGTGTGCCTCCATATTGGTGAACTTTGCGAGACGACTGACGTCTAGTGACTTCACGGCATTTTGGTATTCCTGTAAGTTACTCTCCTTGCCTTCTACTATCTCATCTGACTAAGTCCTCACATTATAGGGTCCCGAATCGGTTTTGCGACAATTTCAAATTACCTCATGTTGCTATTGGTACAGGCTCCGAATATGGCACATGCGGTACGGGGAAAGCATTTAGTAGACTCGTGGCTACAGGTTCTGCGGTGCCAAAGCCAAAGCTTCCCACTCGTGAAACTTGGACTTGCAAGACTTGATGCGCTTCACTGGGCGGGACTGGGAAATACCTTTGTCCTCCCTATGCATGTTCAAACGGCTATAGTAAACCCGGATATACCATAGCCTTGAACAGGTGATCCCCGACATTGTTTTTCCAGTGCGTATTCACTTCCATCTAGTGTTCCTCGTCAACTGTATAGTGAGCGGGTTTCTTCGATGAAATTGAAGAAGAGCATAACGATGTGAATAGGAAAGGAGGAGACAATGAGCATACTCCAAAAATAGGTTCCGTTCCAACGCTTGAAGGAGATGAGTCAGAGGATGATAAGTTTGACAGCGTTGTGCCAGGCTGTAGCGAAAGCGAAAATGCCTGTGCGGAGTGTGCTGGAGGTGCCGTATTTGTGTGTTGCAATACTGGTGGCGTATTGATCGTGTGGTATACGTGGAAGAACCTCTTAATTACATTAGATTGAGCATTTCACTTCTTTAAGCAAGAACTATATGAGCTTAGCCTATGAACAAGCTAACTAACTAGTTACAGTTTTTGAAGCCTGTTATGTAATCATCAAATAGTCAGCAGTTAACTAACTACTTGCCGATTTCCATGCCGTATTTCCCGTGTTTTCAGACACGCCTCGGTCTGTGGGGCCCCACACGCCGGCCATTCCTCGGCATTCCACGAATGCCGGGGTATAGACCCCTAAAAGCCGTACAGCAGCTGTCGATCCGGAGACCGTTATATGCTATATAATTCACATCGACGCTCGTCATACCTGCTGGCAAGAAAATAGAAAAACTCTGCTCCACATTACCTCAACAAATAGTGCATATTTGACGAAGTGCGACCACAGTCATCACCATGTCGATACTATCAGACGACATCAAAGCCAAATGGCTATTCGGCTCAACGGTGCCATTTGCAGAGCCCGCATGGGCCCGAGGCTGTCCCAGCCCGTATTATAATGATAGTCATAGACGCCTCCGGGCGGCAATGCGGTCCTGGGTCGACGAGGTGACTACTTAATCATCACTGCATGCTTGACTGGGAATATTGATCCTGACTGTGGCAGAACCTCATGCCCCATACCCTGGAATTAGAGAGCTCAGCGGCGCTCCCAGATTCACTCTATGAGAAGGCGGCGAACGATGGTCTGATCATGCCCATGGCATCTGGAGCTACGATTCCTCAAGAGTGGAGAGGGAAATATCCAATCATCGGCAACGTTTCCCCGGAAGAATGGGATGGATTCCACGACTTGATTATTCACGACGAGTTTGGGCGAGTCGGTGGAATTGGGTATGTGACGAACAGCGTTGAACATTCTGATGCTGAACCGCGCTGACCCTTTGAAGTATCGAAAATGGTCTAGTTGGTGGTGCTGTAAGTTTCATAAGCTGATATCCGCGTCAATTCTCTGGCTTACGATCCCTCTAGGTTTTGTCCGTGCCTGCTCTTCAGAAATACGGTTCGAAGCAGATCAAAGACATGTGCGTTTATCTCCCAAACGTAGTCATACTAGCTAACGGAACATAGCGTTATACCTGATATCCTCTCCGGTCGCTCCAGAATAGCCCTAGCCATTACTGAGCCTGGAGCTGGCTCTGATGTTCAAGGTGTGCAAACAGAAGCGAAGGTATCCAGCGATGGGTCACACTTTATCGTTGACGGAGAAAAGAAGGTTTGACTGCCTTTGATCAATTCGCATACTGCCAACGTCAAGTATTAACCAATATTTCAGTGGATCACATCTGGCATGTATGCGCATTACTTCCTAACCATGGTTAGGGAAGTAACAGGCGAATTTACACTATTGGTCATACCACGAACGGATGGCATTACTACTAAGCATATCACGCTCTCCGGATCGGCAGCTGCTGGAACAGCTTTTGTGGACTTTGAGAATGTCAAGGTCCCAATGAACATGGTTGTTGGCGAACGTGGACAGGGACTCAAATACGTTATGTCCAACTTCAACCACGAGGTTGGTGCATCTGCTCTGTCATCGAAGACCGTCGCTAATATAAGACAGAGACTTTTCATTGGTATTCAGGCTCTGCGATGTGCTAGAGTTTGTTTGGAGGATTCGATAAGGTTCGTGTCTCGGTACCCATAGCCATTGCGCGCGTTAACAAGATGTCAAGCCACGCGATGAACCGAGAAACGTTCGGCAAGAAGCTTGTTGATCATCGTGAGTCTCCCTCCCTTCATGTTAAGGGTGTTAGGATACTGATATGAATTACAGCCGTTCTCCGGCTCAAAATTGCCAACATGAGTCGAGAGACAGAAGCCCTACAGGCGTGGGTCGAGGTAAGTAACCTATGTGAACATTACGTTGAACGTGACTAATGATATAAATAGAGCTTGATTTACCAGATCTCGCAACTTTCTTCCGAAGAGGCAGTATTCCTTCTAGCTGGTACAACCGCCCAATTCAAGGCCCATGCAGGTATTGTTCTGGAGCATGTCGTGCGGGAGGCAATTCAGATCATGGGTGGCATTGGATTGACCCGTGGAGGTCGGGGAGAGCGTGTTGAGCGTATTTGGCGAGATGTCAAGGCCATCACCGTCCCCGGAGGTAGTGAGGAGATTCTTCTAGACTTCGCAACACGGCGGGCGTTGAACGTGACTGCAAAGTTGCAGGCCGAGGAAACCAAAGTAGGAAAGAATAAGCTGTAGCTTATACGTCTAGTTTCATAACAGAACTCGAATTTGATAGTGTATAATATTCAATGTTTACATCTGCCATACTCCGCTTCTATCACATATCAAAACCCCACAGTATCGACTCCACGCTTCCCCGAAACCCTACCCCCCGCATCCCACGTCACCCCACACTTGGAGAATGTAACGCTGCCAGATACGGGTACAATCCCTTGCTTTGCATAAAAGGGCGAGTTCACATCGCAGCAAATCCCACAATATCCAGTCATGAAGTGGATTGTCCTCTCCCTTACCGCAGTCGCGTCCGCGTTCCAGAGCTTGCCCCCGGTGCATTTTGATAACGCTGACTCAGGTCACCACAAAGGCTTTTCTATAGCAACAAGCGACCGGATAATCTACCTAAATGCTGATTTCGCTAGCTGGAAGGATCAGAATGGATTGACGCTGCTTCCACCGTCGGCATCCGACTTCGCCAATACGTTTCGCGACGACTTGCAGGAGCTGACGAACAGTTCCTGGGAGGTTCGCACGGTCAAACAATTTCCCAAACACGCATCGGGGATCTTTCTCGGTCGTACAGACTACCCCGACCGGTTTACCTACGAGAATGGACGCGAGACCGAGGAGGGATACGAGTTGGAGATCCAGGATGGGAGCGTCTTTATTCGAGGCTCCGGCGCGCGAGGTATGTGGTGGGGGACACGAACGCTCCTCCAACAGCTCGCTCTGACGCGTTCATCCCTACGACCCGGTCGCGTCGAAGATGCACCCGCCTATGCGACTCGTGGATTTCTGCTAGATGCTGGTCGCAAATGGTATTCGCTGGAGTTTTTGAAAGATCTGTGCACGTATGCCTCCTTCTTCAAAATGTCCGAGTTTCAGTACCATGCAACCGATAATTACCCATTGAGTCGCGGCCATAACGAGACTTGGAACGAGGTCTACTCGCAGTTTTCTTTGCACCCTGAAAGCGAGGCTCTTCACCCTCTTGTCCAACGTGCCAACGAAACGCTGTCCCGAGCTGAGTTTGATGACTTCCAACACCACTGTGCTCAACGCGGGGTTACTGTGATACCGGAGATTGAAAGCCCCGGGCACTGTCTCACTGTGACGAAATGGAGACCTGAGCTCGCATTGGACTCGAAAGATCTGCTCAATCTTTCCCATCCAGACACTATGCCTTTGATGAAGTCCATCTGGGCCGAGTTCCTCCCTTGGTTCCATACAAAGGAGGTGCACATCGGCGCTGATGAGTATGATGCTGATTTTGCGGATGACTATGTTGAGTTCGTGAACGAGATGTCCCGCTTCGTGCAAGAAACATCTGGAAAGGCCGTCCGTATTTGGGGCACATACGAGCCATCCGACATTACGATCGATAAGAATGTGACCATTCAACACTGGCAGTATGGACAATCAGACCCAGTTTATCTAGCCCGCAACGGCTACCAGGTCATCAACTCGGAGGATTGGTGGGCATATATGTCGCTGAAAAGCAACCATGTGCCTATCACCCCAGCCCCCTATCCTCAGTTCTTCAACAATGACCGCGTCCTAAACTTCGCCGATCAGGATGGATGGCAGTGGACGCCGGAGCTCTTCAATCCGGTAAACACCACTGAACAACCAGATGCAAAGGCTGTACCAGGTGCTCTCTTGGCTGCCTGGAATGACAGTGGTCCGGACGCCACTACTCAACTGGAAGCCTACTATGCAATTCGTGATGGCATCCCGGTAGTGGCTTCACGGGCGTGGTCTGGTGCGCGTGGACCTCGCTTGCGCGAACAAACTTTGGCCAAATCTATCGCAAAATTGTCCTCTCAAGCTGTGGGGCAGAATCTCGACCGACGCCTCCCAGGAGAAAGGAGCCATAAACCAGGACCTTTGCTTTTATGGACAAGGCCAAGTACAGAGTCCAACCAGGACGAGCATAATCTGGGCCATGGAAGCAAGGGCATGGATTACACCCTCCAACTAGACGTGACGGGTCCTTTTTCTCTGCAATGTGCTGATGCGACACTCACCTTGTCATCAGACGGTAAATTGACATTTGTTTCTGATGGATGGCCATACCCACTTCGATCCGTTGCTGAAGCTGACGGCTTTGGCCGAGATCAGCCTGGTCGAATTTGGGCTAACAAGACCACCTCAAGCCACGAGGTTGTGACGATCCCACTCAAGTCACAGGTCGTTATCTCCACAAACGAGATATATGGAAGTCGCGTCTGGGTAGATGGTGCCTTTGTTGGCCGCTTTGAGGTCTTTATCTATGGCGGGAAGAATACGGTTTTCTCGTGGAGTCAGATGGCTTTTGTGGCACCGTTGGATGTTTTAAAAGGCTTGGGCTTGCAACATTTGGCTGTTTTCCAGGGCAGTAGGGATGGTTGATATCGAATCTCGTATACCACAGCCCGTAATGCTAGCTTTTCTCGCATCCCGTTTAATGTAAATCACCATGCCAAATTGTGTGAAGCTTGCTACCACGGGTTATCTTGCGTATTTCATCACAAAGAAAGCAAATACCGGGTTCTGATTGCTAGCCATTTCTGTCTTCTCGAATATGTTTCAAAGCTAATTTCAAGGGACCAAGTGATTAGGCTTGCAAAAAGCACAGCCACGCCTATCATGGTCCAAAAGTCCCGTCCAAATACTCCATCTTAACACATAACTTTCGTGGCTTGCCGGAGTAGAATTCAATAGACAAACTTCACGCTCCCATAGGAGACACCATTGAATTGTAGGTCAAACGATAACGATGCAGAAGCCGGCGTTAGAACCAAGTCGAAGTCGACATAGTAAAACTGGGTCCCCCTAGAGTTCACTTTCTTCGGGAAAAGCTCTTTAGGGATTCTGCTCAGATCTGCCTGCAGCTCACACAGTTTCGTGATACCTTTTCAAGTCAGTGAAATGCCCGTCACATATGTTGTCGAAATGTGGACATACTGGAATCTATCATTTTGGGAGCTGTATCCTTCTGGCAAAACATCAATTGCTGGTGAAATATGAAGGATGTGTCAATGCCGACCACCCTCTAGCAGGGCATTCTGATTGGCTCACTTTCGGCCAAGGAATCTCCCTGAAAGTCTCTTCAGTTAGCATTCATAATCTCCAAAGAATTGTCGGTGGACACTAGAAGTTACTCACTTTGTGGATATACCATGTCATACGATTACGAATCTTCCATTCCTCCTCATAAGGACACCATTTGAGGTTTGGGTCTGAGGGGTGCTTGCTGGGATCGCATTTGTCGAGCGTGTTAATGCCGTAGCTGCATCTGGCAATACGACCCTCGACCTGGTTCCGTTCTTGACCACGGATGACAGCACCGCTGACCCTGTTAGTATAAAATGAACGTTTAGAATACTTTAGGTACAAACCGAGCAACAGCAGACCATCTGCTTATATGTAAGTATCGGTTTGCGTTATGTAGCAAGTGATCGAGGACTTACGCATTTGGGGGTTGCATGATTTGAATTCCGTCAGAAACAGCCTGTAGGCGCTTGAAGAGGTATCCTGACGCACCAAGACCTCCGACCAGAATAATTGCCGAATAGAATTTAATTGAGCTTCTTTTGAAAGTGCTTTAGGGGTTCACCCTAGTCGCATGACCTGCTGCCTTCACGCTTGTTCTCTGCTCGACGACGAGATTCTCGATCTGCTCAATGATAGGATCGAAGATTTCTTTCACTTGGTCTCTATATATGGATTAGAGACGGCCGTGGCTGGGCCGACGAAGTAAAGTTCAACATACGTACCTGTCTAGATACAGGTGTCCCTCGCTGAGCTCGACGTTCAAGATCCCTGAAACCCCGGGAACCGGGATCCAGTATCCAGGCTCACACATGTCATCATCATCCAGAGGACCTGTATAACCAGGCTTGATGTAATCTTGCCAATATCTTCTAGCAGATCTCACTGTCGATTGGGGGATTGGCTGACCCGACTGTTCCTCGATGATGCCTTTGATAAGTGTGTCGAATCTCTCATCCAACATCACGGAGCCACAACCAGCACCTGGAAGTTGTTAGATAAAAACATAGATGTAGGCCTTTATTAATTACCAGTTCCCTTCGTTGCTTCCTCGACTCTGAGCGGGTCGGTTTGCTTGACGCGATAGGTAATGATGTCCTATTATGAATGTCACTAGAATTTGTCAAATCAGTTCGATACAAGAAGGACTTACGACTGTTCCACCCCCAGCATCACAAACAACCAAGCAGTCGCCTTGCTATATTTTGTCAGTGATTTAACTCCAAACTCCAATTTTTTGGGAATGAGATCCATACCGCAATTGCATTCGGTTGAATTGTTTTGATTGCACACACTAGAGCCGCCTCCGGTTCAGACAAGAGTCTCAGACTCGCAGGAGATATACCAGCCCGGTGTGCTGCCTTCATAGTCAAATCATTGGCTTTGTCTGACCAAACAGCGGGGACAGTAAGGATGTACTCCAAGTCCATTGTTTGCAGCGCACTTCCAAAGCGACGTCTCAAAACCTCTCGAGCGTGGGCGACTAACTTTTGCAAGTAGTCACCAGCAACATCCACCGGGGTTTTATTCAGCTCCTTGATAATCTCCTGAGATTCGGTAGCAGGTGCGTAGCGGAATTTCTGACTTTCATCTAGCAAAAGCTTGACACCTTGGATCAGCCGATGTTCGTTGCCCGGATGGCTCGACTGGTCAGTCTGATGACCCCATTTCATGCTGTTGTTCTCGTAGGAACACAAGCTTGGCACTTTCTGGCTTGTGACTATCACATTATGTATCGGTTTTGATGAACTTGAGTTGTCTTTTGTGAGAGACTCACTGTTACCACCACCTGGCCAAGTCTGGATGAGCTCAATATCATCAGGGCAGTCTTCCAGTCCCCAGGCAACGATATCAAGGTTAGCTCACTACCACGCCATTGCGATCACAAAAGACATATTCACCCGCTAAACGTTGTTCCAAAATCAACACCCACTATAAGTTTGGGTCGCTCCTCTGTGTTCGCCATGTTGGATTTGTATCCCTCAGTTTCCTTATTGAGTCTTGGAAAATAGAAAAATAGAGTAAGTGGGTAAATCTCTGCGTAAGGAAAAAGACTGGTGTGGTGAGTGATATTTATTCAATGAAAAGTTTGCTCATTTCGCAAGTTTGATATCATGACTCTTGCGCTTATCGGTGTGAGGCATATATATACCTCAGCTCATCCTTGTGTCATCAATTTAGAATTTGCGCCATGGTAAAAATTGTTAACTCTCTTATGCTTTCAGACTTCCCATCACTCCAGTATTGGTACGCAATGTGGAAAGTGCGGCCTCCTGATGAGCCTGAGCCGGAGCTCGGCCAGGAAGACAAGAGTACTCAAACCCCAGATTTATCCTCGACATGGGGGCCAGTTACTAGTCGTTTGTTTTTTAATTCACGGCTAAAATACAATTTACTAATTCTATTAGCTTACGCGGATGATAAGGCTATTCATGATGAACTTGAACGGCTGCGTCAGGTCTGTGATGAAGGTCCCTATCACGCTAATCTTTATTTAACGAATCAAACAGGGACTCAAAACCGCGAACGAAAATGCAGAGGTCCGTTACAAGGGTAGGCTTTTTGCAGAGGAGCAGTCTCGTCAACGAGGCAAGCTGCTCGAAAATACTATTCAGGAAGCAAATGCAGCTAGAAAGGAGAACCGGATCCTCATGACTAAAATAGCAAGCCTACAAGCTGGAGCTGAGACTTTGTCCGACGAAGAAGCCAAGCGAGAGATGTCTCTTCTCTATCATGATCTTGAGTACTGGAGATTTACTCATTTTACAGCAAAGCCATCAGCTGAACAAAGGAACGATCCCACGCCAAGACCAGAGAGCCCCGATATCTTGACATTGGATATTATCCAATCAGACATTGCTGGGCTGATTTATGGATCATTTTGGAATCGATTTATGGTTGGAGCTGAGCATCCTCGGAGCGATTATCTCCGCACGGCCGACTCCGAAGTAAATAAACGATGTAAGCGACCAGAAAAGGATCACTATTATCACTGTTTTCTAACACCAGAAGTTTCTAACCACATTTACCGCCACTGGCGATGTGCGATGAGCACTGTCATGCTATCCATGGAAACCCATGGTTTACAAGAACAGTGCAACTGGATCATCGAGCAGGTAGAATTCTGCTTCGGTCGCTACGCTGTCACCGACAAACTAAAGCGAATGCGACAGCTACACGACATTATTGCGCGCTGCATCACACTCAAGCATAGATTGGAGTGCCAGAAAGACACGTACATCTTCTGGAGCAGTCACCAATTCGGGCCATTCCGGGATGAGAACATGCGTACCCTCATAGAGGAGGATGACTCGGATGGACTCGTTGGGTCTAGCCTATGGCCTGCCTTATGGAAGATTATTCAGCCAGGCAAATGGTCCATAGTCGAAAAGGAGATTGTGAAAAAGATTCCCCCACTGATTCCTTCTATTGAAATGATCGATGAGATGGAATCTCATCAAGGCGACACAGATTTGGATGAACTTTAGAAAGATTTTGGCTTATTTTGGGGATTGTATGTTGCTAATATTGCTTCCTATTTGAATATCTGGCGATATGATTTAGTTGAGAAAACACGAGGATAGCTATAAAAACTCCGTTGCTTGTCCAATGCAAAACATTTATATATCCATACTAGTCGCCACTTCCTAGACACCTTCGGCAAAACCGTCATTTCCGGATTCTGTGTCAATCTTCATGGAATCCATCAACCCACAGACCTCGAAAATTGTTCGTGGTCCTAGTCCCTCGGGTACACCGACTACTCCATCAGCCTTGAGGCGCTCCAAAGTGGCCTTGATGCCCATATAAGCTGGGGTGATCGTGGCGAATGAAAAGATCATGATTCTGAAGCCCATTTCTTCAGCCTCCTTGGTGGTAATGAGAGGACTCGCCCCATTCTCCACCATGTTGAGAAGAAGAGGCCAAGGTGCCAGATCCTGGACTGCTTGTCGGGCTTGCTCTTTCGAAGTAAACCCCTCGAGTAGTCCAACATCCGCCCCGATATCCCTCGCAGCCTTCAGCCGATGAATGCACTCCTCGTAGCCATGTTGCTGGAGTGCGTCGGTTCGTGCAATCAGAACAATATCTGAGTGCAAGCGATCCTTGGTCAGCTTGGCGGCACGAATACGCATGAGGTATTCATCCAGGCTAACGACTTTCTTGCCATTGAGATGACCGCAACGCTTGTTTTGGATCTGATCTTCAATGTGGAAGCCAGCCACACCCGCCTGGATGTATTGCTGCACAGACTTTGACACCATCAAAGGACCTGGAAGAACGTTAGACTACTTTTCAAACAAGCGATAAGGATCTATTGGTGTCGGTGTTGATTACTAACCTCCATAGCCAGTATCCATGTCTGCAATTAATGGAGGTCCAAATGGATCCAAATTGGCGATCATTTCAGCGTTGGTCTTCATGTCATGTAGCTGAGCTAGGCCGAGATCAGCCATCCCAAGGCGTGATGCGGTAGTTCCAGCACCAGTCTGTGCACTTGGTCAGTATACAAATATATGGTACCAAGAATTAGAGTTCTTACCATGTACAATCCCTTGAAACCGACCTGCATGGCAATGCGAGCGGAGAGGCCATCATACACACCAGGGCATACGATGAGGTCTTTGGTGTCTTTCAGCATGCGGCGCAACTTTGAAGCTGCGGGAATCACATAGAGAGAGACAGTAGGCTCCTGACGGGTCCCATTGACCTCGTAGTATCCATCCTTCTCGACGGTGATTGTGATGGTCATGATTAAGCTTTGATAAAGGAGATGTGTTCTGATTTGGACACTTGAGTTCTTGTACTACAGTTCAATCTGCGAGGGACAACCTTGGTCTTTATATTTTCAAGATCTATACCGCGCAACTATTTTTGCTACATCTGGGGACACCAATCCCAGAGAAACGTCTGCCTGCTCGTAGAGGACAAAAGGCTTTAGTTTCTTGGGGATGTAACATTCCACCATCCGCCAAGACATCCGCAGACGCCTATCTTCCTTCGCGTCGTACTGATCCTAGATGACCTCAGCTGAGTGAGTCCAGTGAGTCTATGAAGCAGAGTTATTGCGGAAGATCACCGGCGCTAGTCGTCGCTGGACAGATATCCAGATTATTCCCATCAATCAAGGGTCACAATAGCGTTGCATAGATATATCTCCGAATGCATGCGCCAAGATGAAGATAATGCATGTTTATATTGGACTTTCCAGGTTGGTTGGGATAGGTCGGCGGCGGGGAACTCGACCCACGATCTTCATGATGACAGCTTCCTCAGACAAAATTAATCAATTTGAAATACCTTGGCAAGATGACTGCATATCGAAGGCGGTGCATTTGCGCTCTTTTCGTGGGAGAGATCTGCGCGGCGATATCTTCAGAGGGGGCTGCGTTGCTTGGCCAAATGCACCGTTCCACAAAGACCCTCGTTCGCCAAGCTCTTCAAACCGGGAGATCACCCAAAAAAGCGTAGAAGGCGCCATTATCATACTGTGTAGCAAATCAACGCGTACCGTGGTGCAATGTGTACCTTGAGCACACCAGGGCCAAGGGTGAAGTGAGTAGACATCTCTAGTCTTGTGGGGCGCTCGAAGTGGAGCTGAGTCAGCCATTGAGTTCCCCTCCGGGTCGGGACGTCCTCCTTCCAGCACTGCACTCCGCATCCTCAGACCAATAACGGGCACACCCCTGCTGCTTGGAAGATCTCTTTTTTAGACTCATAGGGACAATCTTCTTTCAATTTGACCAACCTCAATTACGTTTATCATGGCCCTCACACAATCGACCAATCCCGAGTTCCCTTACTCACTGTAAGCCCCTCAAACCCAAAATGGCGCCGAAAAACAAGACCCGACCAGACAAAGCAATACTCACCCCTTGGCTCAGCACAATATCCCTCCCCCTCCCAACAAATCGCCTCGCATCATCCGCTCTACGTGCCTTGGAAGTTGACGCCGAGCTATCCCCTTTCGTGCGACGGAGTTTCACCCTTGAGACTCCGTCGGTTGAAGCACCATCCGAGCCGCAAGAAAAAAAGCAAAAGCAGGACCCTGAAGAATTGAAGACTGTGTTGAAGATAACATACATTGCGACAACGAACCGAATGCTACGCGTTTCTGTCAATGGATTTATGGAGAGTCTAGGAGTTGTGCTTGGGGTTATGACCGAATTAGATGTTGACGTGCTGAAGGCTGAGATGGAGGGTTGAATGGTGTATTTTCCCTGCAGCAACCTGCGCCATAAACCTGTCATTCTTGGCCTCAACGTCTCTTGTATCGCCCTGTCGGGGGTCTTGTGTCTGCAAAAAATCTGAGACTCTTGGCTGCCACAAGGCCTGGAGATCATGTGCAGCGGGTCGTACATCAAATCCCTCAATGAGAACCCTCGGTGACACAGGCCTGCCCGCGGATAGAGCCCAGGAAAAGAAATTTGCCGCCAAGCAATTTGCCAACACCCATTCCACCGAGTCAGCCTTGGCACTCTAGGCACGCATCGGAGACTAAGTTAGCGTGAAGTCGGCATGGTCTACGGCCCGGCCCAACAGAACTCTCAATGCGATATGCATGAAATGTGATTGTGACTGTCCTTATCTAGCTTCGTGTTCTGCAGATTTCGTGGATTTCCACGGAGTTTCGGACTTTTCACTATCGCTTGGCTCCGTCTTAGGGTGCATCAATTCGGTGAGATAATGATGCGATTGACCAGGGGAAGGGAGGGGATGGACATGTTGGCAAATCTCATAGTTTATTCGCCCGTCCTTCGATCGCCGCGGAAAAGAAAATGCCGCTGTCAATTGTGTTTTTATTTCAAAAGTTTCCTGTGCCTCTTTGGCAGTTAATCCTCTTCATTTCTCTCTCATTGTAGTCGATAACTTCCAAAATGAACCATGAAAAGGGTGCATTCGATGGGCTTTCCACGTCACTGAAGGCTGAACTGGAGCCGCAACATGCCCATCTCCTACTTTACGCTTGTTGTTTGACATCGGGACTTGTGGATAGCACAATCTACCGCGGTAGGACATAGCCCAAGTCCTGTCTACTTGCGGCACATTTAACATTTACAGCCTACAACACTTTTGTCTCTATGCAAACAGGTAATATCGCCCACCCATCCACAATCCCACATCAGGGTCAGCTAATCACCAATTATTCATAGGAAACACGATCTTCGTCGGACTGGGTGCATCGCACCAAAATCTCCGTCCATATGGCTGGGCACGCTCGCTCACTTCCATCGGATGTTTCATCCTGGGATCATTCATTTTCTCACGATTACATCGCGTCCTGGGTACTCGGCGACGAGGGTCGTTGATGCTGTCTTTCACGTTACAGGCCAGTATAATCCTGCTCACGGCTGGATTGGTTCAAGGAGGTGCCGTTTCTAGTGCGCTAGCTGGCGAAGGGTCCCAGGAAATACCCCCATGGGATCAAGAAGTCCCGATTGTTCTCCTGAGTCTCCAGTCTGCCGGTCAGATCGTAGCGAGTCGTGCCTTGGGTTTCAATGAGATCCCGACCGTGGTGATTACCAGTCTTCTCTGTGATTTGATGTCGGACCCTCAGTTGTTTCTTGTGAGAAATGTGAAACGCGACCGGCGAATCATTGCATTTGTGCTGACGCTGGTGGGCGCTATCGTCGGCGGATGGGTCACCAAGGTCACTGGAGCGATTTCTCCTATACTCTGGTTGTCGGCTGGTATTAAAGGCTTGCTGGTCCTAGCCTGGGCCTTTTGGAAAGCTAAGTAGAGGGTATACTCGTGAGTTCCTCTGTTTAGTCTTGGAGCTATCAAAGGCAGACTTGACACCACCGTCTGGAATGTTAGTGCGGTACCATTCAACAGATTAACCCAATACAGGACACAACTAGAGTCTTACGCTGTTTATCTCCATCCATTGCGGTTGCTAGTCCGTCGCCATCTTCGAAAAACGGCCGATACACACGATGAGTCTGGTCAGATTGGGGAATGATGCTACGATGAACGCGCCCTGTGGAGGATCATCTACGGGAGAATGTCCTGCGCTTCAAACATTTCTGGCCTTATGCCCTCTCCTGTTCACTGTCTCAGCCAGAAGTTATATCAAAGATTGCACAAAAAGGAGCACCCTAGAGGCCGTTTTCGTTCATGTACAACTACAGAGTATACGTACGGCTTTCCTATTTGAGCTTCCGCGCACCAAGTGTCAACAGGTGTGTAGCGACTGATCCACGCTGTCCAGGTGAGTGCCCAGTGCTCATTGAATGCTCGATACTTAGTCTCAGTCTCCAAGTTCAGTGAGCGACACCGTCAACTTGTAGACTTGAGCCACTTTTTCGGCGTATCATCTACGACTACCTACATGTCTTTAACAAACTACCACCTATTATGGATAGTACCATTAAAAACGTCATTTACACCAAGCTTGCACCTCAGGCTTGTTCCAAGATTGAGTCATTTTATTTCTAACCCACTCGTCCACGATGTTTACTTACGTCGTTCCCACTGTGCCTTGCTTTTTAGTTGATTGCCGACCATCTATATTCCATTATATACTCTCAAATCTTCCCGAGATCTAATAAACAATGTGTCTAAGCCTCGTCCAGCATCCGACCCTCTAGAATCATATCCATCATTTCGCCCCCAAGCAAGCTCTCATATATCATGCTCACCGAGCTTCCGATGCTCCTTTTTCCTTTTGTTGGAAAGCCCTTCTGGGCGTTATACAAAGGATCGTCTTGGAGGCCACAGTTCATGGGGATATTGAGTTTCGAGCGTACCCAGGTATAAAGCTGTGCAGTACCCCCACCAAGCTGTCTGGCCACGTCATCGGGGGAAATAGTCGGGCTGGGATAAAACATTTCCTCGGCTGTGCTGGACACGATGCCATGGAAACGCGTCTTAAAGGTTATGATCGTTGACACTGAACAGTCGGGGTTGTGAGTGGCGATAAATTCGTTCACTGATGACATAACGGCATCAACTACAGACAAGACACGGGTTTTCCAAGTATTGGTGTTTGCGCGATACCAACTTGACTGCACGATGGGGAGGAGTAACCCGCATAGGATCTCAATCTGAAACCCCTTCAATCCGAGTCCATGTAATGCTCCGCTTGCGGTGAAGTCCTCCATCTTGATGCGGAGTGTTGAAAGAAATAGGACGTGGTTTGCGCGGATCTCCGCTGCCTGACACGAGACATATATATGACAAGCACTCATGTGTGCCAACAAATCCACAGCCTCTAGAGTGCGCCGGGCGGAAATCAGAGCCAGGGAGTTGATACCCTGATTATGCATCTCAGCTGACATGACGTGAGCAGAGACTGGGTGTGCCAGAGCTGCCAATTCAGACATGTACGCCGACATGTTGATGTCGATTCCCTTCATGGTGAAGTTCTCTTGTGCGGTAGCATTTAGGTTGGCCTCGAGTCCGTTGTTTGTAGCAGGATTGATAATCTCAGTAACCTGAGACCAAAGCATTCGTCCGATCATCTGAATGGCCAAACGAGCCTTGTCCATGGCCGACGTGACGGCAGCTGCTTGGAAGTTTCCACCGGAGTATACTCTCCCACTGGAACCATCATCTTGCATGCTAGTGTCTACCAGAGGGTTGTCCGATGTGGAGTTGAGCTCGACTTCGAGCTGATGCTGCGCCAGGAGAAGGTCCTCAAGGTAGGGCCCAATCCATTGAGGAGCTGTTCTTGTCGAATATCTATCTTGACAGAGTCCATCGCCAGATGTCTTCTGCGACTCTAACCCAACAACAAATTTGGAGCCCTTCAAAAAGCGCCGGATATTGCTTGCCACCTCGATTTGCCCAGTGTGGGGTCGAGTAGCGTGAATAAAAGGGTGAGCCCACTCTACATTTCCAGCCAAGCACTCAGAAGCAAAAGCCGTCAGCATTTGAGACAATAACGCAAGCTGCTGTGTATCATATAGTGCCAGGCTTGCTACTGCCACAGAAGGGGCAGTGCCGTTGATTAGCCCCAATCCCTCCTTTGGGCCGAGTCCGGACGGGGAGAGCCCGCTCATCTTCAACGACTCTGAGGAAGGCATAACTCTGGCTTGTGCGCCCTTTCCCACTTGCACAAATACATCTGGGTTGCCCATGATTGCTCCAGCAATGTACGCCATGGGCATAAGATCCCCTGATGCAGAAATGCTTCCCCTAAGTGGAATTAGGGGAGTAATGTCGTTGTGCAGCAGGTCAATCAGGCTCTTGAGCACGCACTTGCGGATGGCACTATGACCCCGGAGATTCTGATTGGCTCGAGCCACGATGGCGGCTCGAACCCAGGGGAGAGGCATGACATGAGATGGTTCCCGCTCCGAGTTGATGGCCGGATCTCGGTCGGCGGCAGTGATGATTCCACTTTGGATAAATTGGAGCAGGTGGGTCTGCAAGTCGATGAGTTCGTTGGTTCTAGTGTCGGCACTACCACCGAAACCGGTGTTGACACCGTAGATGACACATTTCTGAGAAATCACATCGGCCAGAGTGTCGACAGAGATCTCAAGTCTCTTGGTCAGAAATTCATCTGTGCTGATGGTAGGCTCAACTCCATGACGGGCGACAGCAACAACGGAAGCAATGTCGAGGTTTTCGCCATTAAGAACAATGTGCTGCTTCCTGCTCCTCAGATCACGTAAACGTCCCAAGAGTTGCAGCGTTGCGCACATATGAGCTGATTGGTCGTGCCTCGTCATGGTCATGATGAGGTATAGACAGCAAAGTATATATGCCTTGAATCCAAGTGGTGTGGTATTTATTATCTGTCCGATTACCAGAGATTCGAATGGGCAACACAGAAATAAAAGAAGTAAAGATGCAAAGAACAAAGATGGGCTTATCTTTAATTATCGCAGTGGTTTAGAAAATCATGGACAGTGGACACTGCACATATAAAGGCCTGATGTCTTTAGCTTTCTCTGAAGTAGATCTGTCTCCCGCGTTGGTCGGTTATACTAACCGGACCTCTTACATAAATCAAATCATTACCTACTCTCAATTTTGGTAAAAAGATAGAAAAAAGATAGAAGGGCCTCTATGACTGTTAGTATGTGGTAGTTTTCGTTAAATATGAACTTTGAATGCGTACACATCCAGTTGATTGGCACCGACAATTGGCTGATCATGATGTTATGGGTCTTCAGCTGAAACCCAATCTGGCGCCCCACAGCTACGCAGGTTTTATCAGCCATCGCGTCCAGGTCTCGATTTTGACTGGCAGAAAATTGGCAAACTAGGCACACCCGCCAGGGGGGCCGGGCCCTCTAGAGCTAGAGCCTAGTCGATTTACATATAATACAATAGATGCTCGTTAATAACAACTTAATATCACTATGCTAACAACCCTAAACGTATAAACATGCATGTCTTAATTAGGTTCATATAGCCTTAGAGGACCTATACGGCTAGGTAACTAGGGAGAAATTGATAAAAGAGAATTTTCACTAAGTTCCTAACCCGTGTTGTCTTCTCTATCTAGTATGTATAGTGTGGCGGCTTACATAGTCCTAGAACTTATATTGTCGTGGAAATTTTCTTCAAATAGTACTTATGTACGGAACAGTAGGTGCGCTATATCCGTAGACCTATCTTAGAAACTAATTTGGTAGGGACTAATGTACGGGGTGCAGTAGTGCTCCGTAGAGATTTTCTGTTCCGTATAGGATCTCCACTCTTCGTCAAATACAGCTATCGATTGTATCTCCCGAAATACAGATATTTTTTCCTCACACGTCTTAGCGGGGTCCTTGGCGTGATACATCATATACATGTCTCTTTTATAAAAAAGGGTTATGCCATATTGTTCTTTGGGGCCCAGTCGGAAAATGAAGCCCAAGAACCCAAAGCAGAAATTGATGTGTTCAACCGGTCTAATAACACAGCTTGCCATCCAGACTCCTCATTGCCTCACTCCCCTGGAAATCTGCCTGTGCTGTGAAATCAAGATTGCGATAGGATGTCACTTCGGGTTGAGACGGCTGGAGGACGACTCGTTTGCTCTATGTTGTCTACAAAGCACCGTATATCCACATTTCCCATGGCCTAGATCCTTGAATATCTGCAAGAGGGAGGAAAAGCAAGACTGCGAAAGGCTACTGGTATGAGTGATCATGTGACACAAGGCTCTCCAGGACGGTCCTCATTCTTCAATTTGTTGTAGTCCTATCTCTTACATTCTCTCACTAGGGCAGAAGGCACCAAAAAGCAAACACAATTGCCGAGACAAAAAGTCCCACAAACGATACGGGGAAAAAACCAGCCAATAGCCGCGTTTATTCACTTCATTCCAAGTTCTCGTTTGCCCTATTCCTTATTGCTAACGGATGCGTCCGTTGGAATCGGCTGCATTTTGTGGAAAACGTTCTTTGGATCGTACTTCGCCTTCACCTCTTGCAGTCTCTCGAGGTTGCCGCCGAAGATATTGTTTACCACAGAGTCACCGGCTAGGTAAGATGTTAGTATTTATTGAGATGTAGATATTTTTGGGTCAAGTGTACTCACGTTCTGCGTAGTTGATGTACTGAGGCACGCTCGATTCCACGCCCTGGTCTTTGGTTCTGGCATCCAACTCAACCTTCCACTTAGCCTGGACTTCTCGTGCCCAAGCACGGTGCGCCAGGTCTTTAGATGGGTCGGTCCATCTTAGATAGATGATACCATTCTGGGTAGTATTTCGGCTTGCCAGGGCGGTTGCGGTCAACGGCACTTCACAAATCTTCCGCATGTCGGTAAACTCGAGAATGATGGCAGACGTCTTGAGATCGGGTTCACCCTGGATCTTGGCCATGAAATCATTGAAGATCACCCTCGCAAACTGCGGATCCAAAGGCGGCTCGTAGAAAATGCCCTTGAAAGACTTTCGATCACCGTAGGTCGCGCTTGGGTTTTGTAAGGAGTTCACCACAGGGTATGGGATCATATCAAGGGTGTTCATAACTGGCTCGAGGGCCGTGAAGTTGGCGAATTTCTTTTCGCCTTCTTCGCGTGGGCCGTTGAAGAAACCAATCACGATGATCATCGGCCCAGATCCATCCGGTGCCAACGCAAAAATGCTGATTGCACCGAAACGAGTGTCGGGTTTGGCCAGGGATTCATTCAGTGCATCCATAACTCCTTCCAACTTGTCGGGAGTGAATCCAAGAATGCCGGAATACACCGGATCTTTCTGGTCATAGCCCTGGTAGGTGAAGTCTACCACAACACCAAAGTTATAGCCTGCACCTCGCAACCCCCAGAAGAGGTCGGGGTTCTCGATGGTAGAGGCTGTGACAATTTGACCATCGGCTAAAACAACGGTCGCCGACAGGAGATTGTCAATAGTGAGGCCATACTGTCCACTCAACCAGCCATAACCACCCCCTAAAGTGAGTCCTCCAACACCAGTGTGGTTCACCGTGCCCCCTACAGCCGCCAAACCGTGGGCTGCACCGCCTTCGTCGACTTCCTTCCAGGTCGCTCCACCCTGGGCGGTGATAGTCTTGCGCTCGGTATCCACCGTCACTTTGTTCATGCGCGACAGATCAATCACCAGGCCACCATCACTCGAGCTGGTGCCGGCGGTTGAATGACCTCCGCCTTTCACGGCAAGATCGATAGTATACTCTTGTGCCCAGGACAGCGCGATCGATATCTCGATCGCGTCAACGGGTTGGACTACAACGCCCTGCAACTTATCAGTCGGTCGTCTTGTTTGTTATGTTCCTTTCCGTACCGCATATTTCATTCCCGTGTCCGACCAGCGGATGAGAACTTCCTTGTAACTCTCTGACTCGGGTGTATATATAGTCGTGGTCTTTAGGCGGCTCCGCAGAGCCTCGAGGGCTATAGCATTAATCTCAGACATGGTTGAGAGTGGGAAAATGGTGGACACGAGAATTTACCCCGCGTGTGGGTACGACAAAGAGGACCTCGGGAGCTGAACTCGGGAAATTCTCGTACAGCCTTCAAAATTGTTTGTATTTTGTATTTGGGTTTCAACCAGCTCAGACATTCAAAGACTTTGGGTTCACACGTCTGGGTTCTTGTTCATGGGTCTTTGATATATATATATTATATATATATATTCAAGTTAAGTAGCCTTTGCTTCAAGATTTTTCTCCTAAACTATTTGAGGACCTGCTGAGAGTACTTTGCATATAGCTCAGGATACCACCGTTGGCCCACGTCCGGATGGCTGAGGATACGATTTCTCAAATGAGCCTCGCCGAACTGCGATCTGTTAGCTCCATGCATGAATTCGGTAAACCAGAACAACTTACGCAAGAATACAAAGGAGACAGGAATTCACTCGGCACATCAACTGCCCGCTTCTTCTTGTCATCAGAGGTTGGAATGCGCTGCACGATGTGAGCAGCGGACTCCTTGAGCTGATCCAGCGTCAAATCTAGTCTCACGGCCTGGAAGAATGGGATGCTGTAACGCGTCTTAGAAGTGGGCGCCTGTGACAGAAAGTTAGCATGGTCGTTCAGTGACGAAGGATATGGTAAACATACGATAACTCGGTGTGTTGTGGCCGCGCAAATTCCTCCAGTGATCGCTTCGAATCCCTGTTGGATATTCACAACAAGACTTCCCTCAATAGGAGGCACGTCGATCCATTCTCCATTCTTGTTGAGTACCTGTAGTCCACCTGTGTTATCCTGGGACAGGAAGGTAAAAAGACCCGCCGAATCCTTGTGAGGGCCAACACCCTGGGAGTTTTGCGCTACCTGTGGGTATTTGACAAACTTTAGTCGGCTCATTTTACCCTTGAAGTTATCGAATGTCTCTCGTGGGAGAGACAAGCTTTCTGCCACAAGGCGAATGAATGCTCCCGCCAGGCTATCAGTCTTCGCGATATATTCATCGATTAGACCCTGAGCACCTGGGTAATCTGGGTACTATTGAGAGTTAGTGGTTGGCACAGGCCTACCAAGGGGGTTTGACTTACCTGGTTAGGACCTTCAAGCCGTTGCCAAAAGGGATCCTGTTCGGTCCAGGGTTTCATGCCAGGGGTGCCAAAGTCAAATTGCTACGGAAAATTAGTGCCCCGAGAACTGCAGCACATTCTCAAAATGGAATCTCACCTCGCGGAGATCTGTTTTGGTCGCAGTGGTTTCGGCACCGAGACGAGTATACCCGAGGAACGAGGGCGAGTTGATCATGTTACATTTCTCCTTAGTCTCCGTCGACAGGGCAAAGAGTTCGGGTAGTTTTTCATGGGTATGGTGAATTAGGCTCTACCTCTTTGGTTAGCATCCCGGTCACCCACATTCCTTGTCGCTCGCACCTCTAATCCTGTGTTGGTCAAGTATAGGAACCCAACGACGAAGATGGCTCGACGTAAATTCGAGAGCTCATCATCTTTGGTCGCAGGGTCGTTTAGCCGAGCGAAGTCGACGATTGGCACGGAAGAAAACGTTTCTGTCATTCCGCCCGTTGCAAGTGAAGTGATGATTGGATTTCCCCGCAGATGCAGATGCAGACGCACTGGGATTACTCAGCGAGTGAAGAATATGTGGGGAATATGCCAGGTCTTATATATCCTTCTCCCGTCGCCCTACCTAAGGTTGTATTGTATAACCCCGGCTCTATAAATTCCCGGTTACCTGTTACGAGCCAGTTCTTAGAACAAAAGAGTGCATTCAACGGAAAATACTAAGTACAGAGGGGAGAAAGAAAGGAAAGGAAAGCAGTGGAATGATGGGATTTGTGGGTCCCTGTCCTCGGCAGTGCAAACCATGCAAACAAATAGCCTACTTGAGACAACAACCCGAAGAGGAAAGAAGAAAGACGGTCAGGAACGGCAGACCGTCACATTACCAAGCTAAACGCCCAGTTGTCGTTATCGTCGGTCTCTCCGGTCTCTCTCTACGCAGTGGGTAAAACTCGAAATTACAGCTCGGTTATATAGGCTAATAGCGAAAATACCACATACGCCCTGGACCTTAGTCGATACTATATCTTGTAGTTAATACGAGACTATAACTTGTAGGCTGTGAACCTAGTATAGTCTAGCGTCCTCGACTACAATAGGTTGGGTTGTAGGATCTAGTTAAGATTCTCTACTCTTAGTAGAAGAACGATTCTATTTTCCGGATCTCCGTCGTCGTATTTTAAGAGAGAATACAATTCTACCAATATAGCAAAACTAGGATTCGAATTACCACCAAATTCTCCTCTTCGCCTATTCCCTTGTTCTCTCCCAGTTTCTTTGTTTATTGTTTATTCCGTATAAAGGGGATATATCGCCTTTTAGTACCCGACGGTTACTGAAGCTATTTAACCGGTGAATTCGACGAAATCTACAAGGAAAATAGATCATACTAATCCATATACCTCTACACTCCTCTTACCTTTTACAGCCTCTCGATATCGGTTGTTTTACGGTATCAAAACGTACGTACGGTCGGCTAGTTGAATCAAAAACATGGGTCGGGATAAATTATATCGATAAACTTAATTTCCTCGAAGTATACCCCTCGCATGAATTGAAGCTTTTAAATCGGAGACAATCAAATATAGCTTCGGGACAGCTAGTTTAGTCCCTTTTTTTACCAGAGAGAATGGTTTCAAAGCTTGATATTTAGGTTCGAACCCCGACCCCCAGGCGAAGAAGGCCTTCGCCATCTTTGCAGCCAAGAACTAGGGCTTTACCAACTTATGGACTATGTAAAAATCAGGGTCATAGGAGAGATGCATATCCAGATAGATAATGATTTCGGTTTATCTAATTTAATGACGTTTTGGTTGAGATAAACGCATTTAAATTCAATGGATCGGGTGGGGTACGTGGCTCGTCCAGGATATACGTTATAAGTCTTCGTACACCGACTATAATTTTGCCTGTTGCACCCAGGTTTCCCTAACAACTTCCCACTTCCAAAACTTCATATGACTCCGGAATGGGTCAGTTTTCACCCTTTGTCAGATATTGTGCCGCGGACAGACCGTATGATACTCCCTGCTACCTACATAACAAAAAGACCAATTACTAAGTCAAATAGATCTGGATCTCCCCGCCTCACTCTTACTCTCCAAGCAAAACTGGATCTAGATATCGAAGTTGAGGCGCGGTACTTTATCACCATCACAATCACGCGAGATGCGGATGACCCTCAAAGACAACCATGCATCTTCCACTGGGACCCCATCGAAGATGGATTTGGCCAGTCGGGTATAATACTACTCCGGTCCAATTATCCATACACGAACAAACTGCAGCCCCTTCAACCCGACCTGGAGCAGTTGCGGGCAAAATCCCTCCACCCACGAGAAGTGAATACGTCAGACCCCTGCTTCAAACAATTGAACCTAGGCGCTAGCGTTTCGTGGGAGGCGGTCTTACCATCTATCTACTTCGATTCCTTCCAAGCAGGAGAGTTTTACAATATCTTTTGGTCAGGCGGCCAAATTCCTTTGTGGGACTGGGGAACATTAGCGGAGTATAGTAACCGCAGTCTCGGCCCTAAGTTCCCCGCAGCAATCCTACCTGGCGGACCAAAACAGTCACTGGCTATTGCCGCGGAGGAAAGCGATATAGATGATATAGGCCCATTACCGCCTTCGCCCGAACCTCTGTTAGCACCTGCTAGGATGGGTGGCGCCCCAATCTTTAGCCTTAGCATCGCCGGATCTGCTACGCTATCGTTGAAAGATCGTACTCGAGCAGGCAGACTGCGTTATCCTATCACAGCCACACTCTCGTATAATACAGCTCCGGGCGCCTATGACAGAAAGCCGGTTACATTCCATACGTTCAAATTCGAAGGTTTTGATCGCCGCCAGGACGGATTCCGGCTCTACTTTCGAAAAAAGGACAAGGACGACTGGAGTCCACATGAACTTGGGGGCCTGTTTACACACCACGATTACAGATTCTCTACTACCACTTTGATAAATGTTGGCCGTAACGACCAGAATGATTTTGTAGCCTTGGTTCCTGGTGAGTCGTGGTCATTTAAGCGGGAGGTGAGTGACTTCCCGCAAAATGCAGCGCCCGGTGATAAGTTTCGGTACAGGTTCAAGGGAGCTTTCATTGATTGGTGGGATTGGGGAAATCTTCATGATCATCAAGATACTGTAGTGCGGGTTAATGGCACGGTCGATTCGCAAGATAATGGACGCCGGCCTACACTCGTGGTGCCGGCTAGTAACTGGGTCGAGTTTACACTAGTTGAATGAGATCCTTGTCGAGGAAACAAAGAGACACGAATACATTTGCGGATTAAAAGAACTAAAGAGCTAGACGTCTATTCCTGTGCCTCATGCCCTAAGAGCGGCTCCGTCTCGCTTCGCCGTTGTTTAATGGCTTTGCTCGAAGACGAGCGATGCAAAGCTAATAATAGTACCACCGCCTGGCCGAGTGCGAAGACAAAGCTATCAATAATGATCCAGCCGATAGCTCCGTACCAAAGAGAAAAGCTGGCCTAATTAAGATCCGTTTGCCGTCAAACTTCTCATACGGAAATGGAAGACTATATATCCATGTCACCGAGACTAGCGTGAAGACGATAGATTGCATAGCCAGACCCTGCAAGCTCAGCGCATTTGAAAAAGGTAGAGCCAAATTCTCACGAGCCTGATGGTAGATTCCCCAAACGCCTATAGCCGTAAGAATTGGGCAAACCAGCATAGAGTGCAAGGCATAAAAAACTGCTGACCAGAATCTCCGAGCTTCATCGTCAATCGGTAAAATAGCATCGCTAATCAAAGGAATGATTGAGACGAGGAGGAAGCTGGTATATCTGGCGACTAACATGATCTGGCTGCGCCTGTCGCTATAGAAAAGAACTTGTATGAATCTAATGGAACACATTAAGTTCTGTACAGGTTGCTTCTGGAAATTATAACACGGTCTTACAGTGTCAGGAAAAGCATTGTAACCACGGCACAGTGCCAAAGGCTAAATCTGTCCCCTGCACTTGGGGGAGAGTGCAGAAACATGCTGCCATCGGGTTCGGCTTCCGTAAAAATTGCGTAGATATAGATAGTGAACTGCTCAGTGGCGTGGATCAAATTCCACAAGACGTATAGCGAGGACACTCCATTCGTGGTCTGCTTCGTCTGGAAACGCAACATCTGAGGCAGAAATGAACAGACGGTGAGGATCAACAGGATGCTGATTAAGTCAGTAAAAAATTATGGAGGGGTTCATTGAATTCTGCGTACCCACGACACCATAGAGGTGGCTCCGGTAATGACATGTTCTGTATTGTGGTCCGGGAAAAAGTTGGGAAGTATTTAACATGTCAGGCCCATGTGCGGCAATTCTCTAGGCTGACAAGTACTTATAGGAAATTTTGGGCTGTAACTAAAGGTTGGTTGGTATCAGACCAGTTTGAAGACGGAAGAGAAGCGAAGAAACGGTCACAATCTCAAGGGATAGACTTCTGTGGAATCCAACTTTCGACCCAATCTTGGCATTGTCAATCACCGAATAGCTTTTTATATATAAATAGTATGCCGTACTAATCTATGCAAAAAACCAGGTTATATATTTTGAGATGACTGGGTTTTGCGGAAGTCTACGAACTACATATTATAGTGGGGCGCCCTAAAACTCATGCTTGCAAGAACACTTAATATAAATTAACTAAAATCAAGTATATAGCTAACCTGCCTAACACGTGTGTACCAATAGGTGGATAAAGTATAGGCACGACTGATTTTTGCGATTACTCGTCAATTAATTGAAGTCTCAACGGAGGCGTGGAAGCGAAAGTATCCCCTGCTTCCATATTTCTACTTATATAAATTGCACTAGTACGAGCTGTTAGCCCCCACGTTACATCGGCCTCTTAGACCCAACGGCTAAGAGAAGCTTAAGTAGAAGTGGAAATTATATGATTAGGGGCTATCATACGAAGAATTAATTAGTTATTGGTGGATAGGAATTCGATTAACTGTAGAATTTGCCCCTCTATAGAACCCTTTTACGTTAACTGGTTGATATTGCTAAAGCTGGATCCAGCGTGACCCTGGCCACTATGCCCCATTGTATTAGACCCATTTGCTAAGCGCGCATCTACGACCGTGTACAGTGCTCAATGCCAAATGCCTGGTTTTAATGCTTATGTGCCTTAGTTTGGCCTGACTTATGCCTGAATCAAGTCTTGTTTTAGACCGCTTTTAGGCCTCTCTATACAGTGTACTGTAACCAACTCGGCATGGAATAACGATAGCACTGTTGCTTCTGGTCCAGGGTTAGAGATCTATTCTAGATGTCAAGACGATTTCGATAACTTTAATGCTTGGGTAGGAAGCATTTCAGGGGGGTAATGAGTTCCACCTACTACACTGCATACCACCTAGCTGACCAGGTGTGTGTCCAAGATGCACTTGCGAATGAATGGGACCCCCACGCGATAAGCCTAAGCCAACGGGAACAATTGGCTTTCCCGCAGAGGGGAAGGATTCCAACTTCCTCGGTCTTTGCAATTTTGCCTGTAATCTTGGCCATTATCCATCCAAGACATGCGATACTATAAAACACCCGATGCCAGTTCCAACCATATCGGACTTTCTGCCACCAGCCTGTGTTGCAGGCTTAGGAGAGGGCCCAGTTGCCGGATTATGCTCGTATGCCTGTGGCTTCGGTTATTGTCCCATTAACTTATGCATGTATACCAAGACTGGAGCCCTCGTCCAGCCCCCAGCTCAGACCGCGTCTGGTGGCGAGGGAGACCCTGACCAACATAAGATATATGATAATCTCTGCGATTTCACTTGTAGCCGAGGGTATTTCCCATCTGGAACATGCATGTCCAAGGATGATATCGCAATCTCGCATATCAATCCGGAATTTATATGGGGTGGCACTGGCAAAGCTGTGTGCGATGCTGACCAAAGACCGAAAATATTAAGAGAGTTCCGATTTGCAATTTTGATGGCAAAACTAGCACAGGAAAACGTACAACCGTGGGACTACTACGAGATTTTCTTCTCGGAGGGCGTGCGGAATAAAGAGAATTTTGCCCAAACTGCATCTGTTGTCTACGAGGCAGTTGTTTCGATGCTACAAGGCTCCTCTAGTTTTGGTCTCCAGGTTACTTATGACAACGGTGCAAATCCATGTAAAAAAGTAAAAAGCCCCGATCTAACCTACACGAATGCCGGCAAAAAGACAGTGAACATCTGCGAAGGTTTCTTTCAAATGGAAGAGACATCCTTGAGATATATTCATCCCCCGAAAAGCATCAAAGATGCACACCGTACAAGAGCAGCCATTCTTGTTCATGAGATGACACATTCCATGTTTGCAATGAAACCGACAGCTCAATCACAGGCCAGGGATTACGCGTACGGGTGGGAGAGTTGCAAAGAGCTTGCTGCGGGTACTTTCAACCGAGGATGCCAGGAGTACGCCGGTCTCATGGGGATGCTTTGTGCGAATCCAACCGACCCTAAGAAGGATGGGGTTTGTGATGCCAATTTTTCGGAACACAATGTCGATACGTGGGCCGTGGTCGCGGCTGGTACTTTCTTCAGTGAAGCGGCTGGCAAGGCCATCCCACTATACCCTCCCACGGCGGTGTTTACTAGAGCTGATTCTGGGTGTATACAACATGACGACATTATGTTTGATCAAGGATGCGGATTTTAGATCAGCAGCATGGTTTCATTTGATGATTTTTCGTCGCGGACATGGGTACCGAACCCAAGACGACGACCGACAAATGCCGTGTTGGTGGACACAATTACGGTGATCTTATTCATCAACATCTCGGTGATGATTCAGTGTCTATGGAAAGGAAGGTCTGCTCTGGTGACACGACAATCGGCCTTCACCGTCAGATTGGGGAATAGGCGAGTGCATCTTATGCAAACCTGGCGACATTGACCATGGGAGGAAATGACCTTGGCTTCTCCGATATTGTTTGGTACTGCATTATAACCCCGAATACTGCTCGATGGGGATCAACCGACCGCAAGAACTGCGTAGCTGCAGAAGACAGAGCACGCGCGTTGATGAATGATCAAGGAGAAAGTGGCTTGCGCTATAAGCTTAGTGCTCTCTACAGGAGCATTCTGGACAAGGCAGAACAACCTGACCTTTCTCTCTTCGTCACTGGGTACCTCTGATTTTTCAATCAAGACACCACTGACCGTGAGAAGAGCAGCTTTCATTACTTTTTGGGCGGCTACAAGCCTCCTAGTGATGGATGGTGGCCTAATCGAATCGTTTATCATACATCATCTCTACGCACAAAACTCAATCTTTTGGTCTCTCAACTCAATGACCTGATTAAGGCTGCCGTTCAAGATGTCAATTCTCAGGTGGGATCAACCAATGCTTACTACGTTGATGTCCAACAGAAGTTTGACACGCACCGCTGGTGTGAGCAAGAGATTCATGAGCCTGATTCCAGCACTGCGAACACCTACTTTTTCTTGGGTGCCTGGTCAGACCTTCGTCTAGGCAAAAATGGTGTCACATCGTCCGATCCTGAAGATATGTCCTCTCTTAGGCAGGCTGGAATCAGTCTTCCGGACGCGTCAAATTGTGAAGAAACACTAGGCTCGGATCCAGATCCTTACGACAAATGGCTCTGCCTGGCTTCTATTGCGATCAACCAAGACCCCAATGGACCAGTGGCTTGGTCATATGGGAATGCAACACAGGACATCAAAGATGGATACATGAACACGCAACATGTTTCCGACTGGTATCCTACTCGTCAAATCAAAACTTTCCGTCCACGGAGTCCCGGGATGGCACTTTACCGCGATGCTATCCTCGAAAATAATGATGCTACAATTGGGGAATAAGCAATTTTGGTGACTATTGATCATGCCCTGCCAACCAGAACAGAGGCACGTCTCTCTCAGCATACGCGGTGAGTTGTTCTCCACGCATGCACTATGTTTTTTTGCAACCCAGTCAAATCGGGCTAAATTCCGGTCTGATAACGGGCCGAGAAACAAAGGTGAGTGCTGAAGGGGAAAATCTTCCGAATTATACTATACTTAAGGAGCTGTAATTCCATTAGTAAATCTAGCCTGTTATTTCCGCTTCAACGCTCCGCAAGTAGACTAAAATGTCGGTTAGGTTGGAAGATTCACCCATTGTATTTGATATGAACAGACTTATTCAAGTGGTGACTACCAATCTACGTAATGTATAGAACATTAGATACGAAAAAGGTTTACTTCCCAGATAGGGAGCTTCTAGTCTTCTTCAGCGGAACTATCAGTATATCAGATTCACCGAGAAGTATTTACTTAATCTATTTATCAACTTCAAGTACCAGGGTATTATTAGAATAGTCCTTTCTAGCTATCTCGCGAGTTTCGATCAATGTTTTCCGAAGTCTAGCCAGGTCCTTTTTGACAGTCTTATGCCCTTAGAAGAAACGTAGAAAGGTATCACGGGCCTTTTTAATTGTACCAGCCACGGACTATATCTCTTCCATAAGCTCTCTTTTCTCGCGTCTTGGTTATAGAATTCAGGGTTTTGGCGAATAGTACGTTTGTAAGCTTGGGTAGGATCAGACAGTACCGATAAATCTCTCTTCCTAAGTATACTCCTAGCGAAGCATACCAGACCTGCTTAGGGGGGTCGGAAAAGAACGATATCCTAAAGGTCGTGCGTAATAAATTGTAGACTGTCGCAGGACCTGGAAATGGGTCCAACCTTCAGACCCAGTATCGACCCGGACCCAACCAAACTGGGTCATGCGACAGTCTAGATAATAGAATAGGAGGCACAAGGATATCGGAAGGGAGGGAAAGCGAAGTATCTTACAGGCGCTCAAATGGACTGGGCGAAAAGGGAGGGGACGAAGATTTAGCTGAAGGGGAGCTATTTCCGGCGTCTCAGTCAACGAGGGGAATAATTACATACAGTGGCCTTTCATGAGTATTTGCACCCCAGTACTCCGAAAGGCCCCAGGCCACCTTCCTTTCTGCCTGTTAAAACTTCATTCAAGCCCTTAAGTAATAAGCCGTAACTAGAAAGCTCACACATACGCTCATAGATTTATGGTAGAAACTCCAGCTTGCGGGCTATAATACAAGAGAGTACAGGGAAAGCATTAGGTGGAAGTACTCGGGTGCAAATACTCATGAAACATGACTGTAAGTCGAGCGTTAACATTAGGACCGAGGGATGACTAAAAGTGCAGAATAGGAGCGGCTGGGCATCCAAAGTTACGGGTGGAAAGGCAGCCGTTTTGGCCTCAAAGGTCATTTTCGGCGTCAATCCCACAGGTCCTCATATTCTAGTTGTAAAAAAGTGGCAATGAACTGAATACCCGAGGATCGGAAGATGGAGGAATTCGTTAATTAATGCGATCACGCCATTCGCTCCATATTGCTGAAGCCTCCACCAAGATACACAAAAACATTAAAAACATCATAACTGTGAAATTCTATGGGATGAAGACTTCTGAAACTGTCGAGTGATGGAAACCTTATAATTCTCCCCCTTGACGCTTGAAACTTTCTTACTCTTGGCGACTTGTCACTCTTGTTTCAAATCATTTGTGGAAGTTATTCCGGCGAAAATATTCCATGAGGAATAGCGATGATGATTATTTTCCATCCAGAGGGTGTCCATCCAGCAAGGTATACAAGGGTGTGATTGGGCCCGAAGGTCTATGGTCTCGAACCCATTGTTGACTTGGATCTCCCTCGACTAATGCCAAGCTTTCTGTCTCAGAGGGGAACTCTTGACTACCAAAAGAACACCCCTGAGGTGTCAGGATGATACTCGACATGTCGGAGAATTAACTTTCATGTCCACACCGGTAAATCTTCGGGTTGGCCAGGCTAGAGATTATGCAGCGGAAATTCTCCAACAATCAGGAGGATGGTGGATATGGCTTGTGTCAGATGTGCGCATAGCTTCGAGGAGCTCTGGGGTGGTATATAGTCCCCCCAGTCGACCATGATATGCTCTTTATGTTTTGATATCAGCTCATACAGTCCAGCAAAGCATTCTCGAGACTCAGCTTGCTTTATTCCTCCAAGATCACTTTCTGTGTCCACAATGGCCCCTTTCAACTTGATCGCAGTTTCTCTGCTCGGCTGCTTGTCCAGCCTTGCACTGGGAGCTCCTACTGCAACCAGCAACGAGGCAAAGCTCCTAGGAAAGCGCGCAAACGTCAATGATGTGAGTGTCAATGCGTAATTCGTTCAAGAACCTCCTGATCAACATCCTAACCTGGCTCTAAACTAGGTCGCTACTGGTTATGCTAGCCTGAATGGAGGCACCAAGGGTGGTGCTGGTGGCACGACGACCACTGTCTCGTCGTATGCTGCCTTCACGGCCGCAGTTTCCAGCGACGATGCCAAGGTTGTCGTTGTGAGCGGCACCATCACCAAGGCAGCTGATCAAGTTCGTGTTGGAAGCAACACTAGCATCATCGGCAAGGACGCGAATGCCATCTTGAGCGGCTTCGGCATGTACGTTTTCACCCCTAACAGAGGTTTAGAATAATATTAACCCAATATAGTCTGGTCAAAGAAAAGACAAACGTCATCATCCGCAACCTCGGCGTGAAGAAGGTGCTTGCCGATAACGGCGATGCCATTGGTGTCCGTGAGTACATCATGCAGGATACCTATCTAAGAAACAAGACAAAAGCTAACCTCGCTTAGAAAAATCAACCAACGTGTGGATTGACCACTGCGACGTTTCATCCGACATGGATCACGACAAGGACTACTACGATGGCCTCATCGATGTAAGTCCAGCCCACAAGTAAAATCCCAACAAACCACAGACGCTAATATAACCCCTTACAAGCTTACCCACGCCGCCGACTACGTCACTGTCTCCAACACCTTCATCCACGACCACTACAAGGCCTCCCTGATCGGACACTCGGATAGCAACAGCGCCGAGGACACCGGTCACCTGCGCGTCACCCAGAACAACAACTTCTGGTACAACATCAACTCGCGCGGTCCTTCCTTCCGCTTCGGCACTGGTCATATCTACAATAACTACTACCTGGACGTCGCTGACGGTGTCAACACCCGCCAGGGCGCCCAGCTTCTCGTCGAGTCTAACAAATTCGTTGGTAGCAAGAAGCCCCTCTACTCTACTGACGCTGGCTATGCTGTGGCCAATGACAATGACTTTGGTGATGCGTCTAACACTGCTTTGGCTGGAACGCTCAAATCGGTTCCGTACAGCTACACCCTGCTTGGTTCGTCCAAGGTTGAGGCTGCTGTGTATGGTACTGCTGGTCAGACTCTTGTCTTCTAAGCGAGGTTCAGTAACTAGGGAATTGCTGTCTGAGAGGTGTTTTTTTGTTTTGTTTTGTTTGAATTTGTTGCAGTTTAGGCTCCAGGAAATATATTATGTTGTCTGCTAAAATACCTCGTAAACTTAGTGTACACAAAATCATGCGATTCAAGATATACGGTGGAGCTCATCAATCAAATTCTAGACCGAGATAGAGAAAAAGATAGAAAGATGGCTGAATTCATGGGATGGATGGCCCATATCCAATCTGTCCGGCATCAATTCAATAATTCTATTCAGATAATTTAAAGTCATTTGGCAGATTGGGATCGCCCTAGGTAGTGCCTATTCCGTTCCCAGGATCAGTGGAGTAAACACTAAACGTGACTTCATCCTACAAAAGCACCACAAGTCCAAAACAAAATTTTTAATTTTTGCGGAAACATCCACAAACATATCAATTTAGATATATTCGGGCCAATTGACCGGGTATCCATTCAACCGATCCACGCTCCAGTCCATGCAACCTAAACTCCGCCAGTCCTGTAAAATGCTAATTCATAGAGTACGGTCTCTCAAAAACGAATTCAAGGAAACCAAGTCTTCGCTGGGCGCTGGCGTGGGGAGGGCAATTTTAGTTGCGTCAAAAGCCCATGCCTCCTCACGTGCGTGTTCGTTGCTCTTGAGATGGAATGACATCATCCACTCTTTCAGTCTGCCTTCCAGCAAGCCCATGTCGCGGTTGCGTTCCCACATACGACGGGACTCTTTGAATGCGTGGTTGATTGTCTCGCGACGGAGACCCTCGTATGCATCGAAGACCTCGGTTAAAGGCTCTGAGCGATAGCTTGCCAGAATTCGAGAGAACAAGATTGCGTCGTCTAGTGCGTATGCCGCGGATTCATCACGCGGGGGCATCTAGATAACGTGTTAGAAATGAATAAATAGCAGGGTATTAATGAGTGAGCCATACCGCATGTGCTGCATCGCCCAGCAGAATAACTCGATTCATGCACCAACGTCCTCCCGGGGGAACTTGATATACGGGATAAAGCATCCACTCCGCATTGCTCTCAATCATTTCTTTGATACAGGGAATAGCACATTTGCGGAAGCGATCTCTGATCTCCATACGGAGTGCGCAGCGAATTTTGTTCTGGGTAGCCCAGTCCTGACCAGGCTCGAGTCGATAGAGACTCAGGGCCTCGCGACTAAATTGCACGATAGCAGCAGCGAAGATCTGCTCCCGATCACGGTCACAATAACTCGCCAGCATGGAGCCATGTCGCGAGATATTGAGCGATGATGTACGGAAGTGAGGGAGGGAAGAAAGAGAATTCGTATCAATGGTAGCCTGCAAGAACGACAAGCCCGTGTACTCAGCCGGCCGGTTCACGTCGACAAATTTGGTCCGGACCGCCGAGTGGACTCCATCACAGCCAATGACCAAGTCACCCACAGCCTCAGTGCCGTCCTGGAATCGTACCACGGCTCTATCCGCGAATTCCTCGCCACCGACGACCTTCTTGCCGAAGACGATCTCCACATTTCGGGTACGCTCCGCCACGGTCAACATAGCTACCGAGAGAGCAATGCGCATGACTCTTCGGCCTTTATATCCGCCAAATCCTCTTCCTTGGTTGTCTGTGAAATTGATGGCACCGATCCCGCGGCCCGAACGCATGGAGAAAAGCTCAATGGCATCGACATCGGCTCCGCCCTCGGGGCCCATCCGATCCAACTCATTAAGCACGCCCAGCAGTGCGAGATGTCTTTGGGCAACGGGTGTCAAGTTGATAGCACCGCCGGACGTGGAGAGTACATCATGTCGTTCGTAGACTGTAATTTTCAGGTCTGGTACGAAGGGAGACAACTCCCGGGATATGGCCAATGCACAAGCGATGCCAGCGATACCAGCACCGATGATGGCGATATTTTGTGGGGGACGAATTGGTTCCATCATGTTGAGTGTAAAAGGTGAAGTATTCCAAAAAGAAAGGAGCGCCCAAAGGAGCTTGGCATGAGCTTATACAAAAAAATTTCATCTGACGATTCCGGCTGTTTCTTCCAAGATTAATATATACTATGCACCTAAAAAAACTAACGGGCAGACTAGAAGCTCGGCCGGGGCAGGAGATCCCTCGGCAAAATCCATCCGTGGATTCCGAAGTGGAGTCTCTTAGGTGTAGAAATCACAAATTTGAGTTGTTATACCTCACAATGCAGTGAGATTCGATGTATCTAGAGATCTGGATGTATCTAGGTAAGCATTGGGCGAGTGGGCGTGAAGTACGGACAATCCTGGACGGTTCGTGGAATGTTCGAACAAAGAAAGTTGATGGCTTCGAAATCCAATACGGAAGCACCTCGGGGAAAGCTAAGAACGGAAGGAACCCGTTACACCGGAGAAATTGACAGCACCGTTCTTTCTTTGGCTTTTTTTGTCCACTTTCAAACATCAAAGGACCACTTAGAGGCTCTAGAGCCATCTGTTGGCCTATTAGCTCCATTTTCTTGGTTTTTTTTTTCCAGATTCGAATTCCCTTTAATCTTCCAACTTCTTCCAACTTTTTAATCTGGGGTTAATTGTTTTCGTTAATAATATATAGTATCTGAGTATATTATACCTCGGTAAGAAGCAATCTAACGGTCTTTCAGGTCCCCCTTTTGGTCCTTTTGCTGCGCTAAGCTTAAAAATCCGGCCAGTAATTTCTGTATTTTTTTATAATTTATTTCTGTCGTTCATTTTCATTTTTTTTTTATTCTTTTCTCCCGACAACCTTCCAATCCAAAACACTAGCGAAATTTGCTCAATATAAACACGGCACATTCGTTAGATCTCATTTTTAATCTCCGGATTTCGATGCATCAAGACCGTTGGGGCACAGACGATTTTAAATTCCAGAAGGCGGTGAAAGAACAAAGTCCGCACATCCCCGCTGGGCTGGCATTAGCGTCGACCTTGAAGAAATCAGGCAGGGGGCCATACGAACCCAATACACAATTCATCCCATAATATCCGATTTGTTCCGTACCATATCCTGAGATAATCGGTCCAACAAACATCCCCAGTGTCCAACTAATACTGGAGACGGATACCGCCCTCGAATATCCACCATTCGGTCCAAAGATTCCAGGATTGTCGGCTTGAATCTCATCAACAGCTTCTGCAAACCCGTTATTACCTATCGAATGTAACACAAACTTGTAAAAAAAAAAAAAACAAAAACTTACGAGTCGCTTCCATCATGCCCACTCCGTTGAGCAAACAGATCACAATCCCAATCGCTGTGACAGCTGCGCTGTATACAATCCAACCAACATTCTCTTGGCAAGCCCAGGGAAACCGTTCGTCCCCAGGAATTCCGATAATCCACATTAAAGGTACCAGAAGCGCAAAGCCTATCGTGGTCGGGTATCGCGTCCCCACCCGATCCTTCAGCCATCCGACTGGAACGCTAAAGAACACCGCGGGACCCTGAAAAGCCGCAAATAACAAACCCGCGGGGAGACTTCCCCAATGAAAAGTATCGCGCACATGGAGAGGAAGAGTTGTGTCGAAACTGGCGGTTAAAACGGCGTAACAGAAATAACTAACCACCCCACCCACAAACCGACCGTTGTTACACATGCATAAATAAAATTGCATGCCCGTTTTCTCCGATACTGGAGTGCTTACCTGTTCGGCATCATGCGATCGTGGCAGAAGTGCCTCTGTCTCGGGATCTGGTTCCCTATCGCGAACGGTTTCGGTATCACGCGGTCGCTCAAGCATCAGACATCGCAGAACCACATCAAAAATAATGATGAAAAGAACGCTAGACCAAGCTACCCAATACCCGCCGATATCGAACAAAACACCAGCCACGAGTGGTCCGCCCGATGTTCCTACCCCAATCGCAACAGTCACGAACCCATACATTTTGCCCAGCTGGTCAGCTGGAACGTTATCCGCCAGCGTAGCAAAGCCGACCACCCAGAGACCAGTGCTTGCAACGGACTGGATAAGCCGACCGGTAAAGAGAGTGAACACTGCATTGAGATTAATTGTCTTACTAGAAATGTCATCGGATGCTTGATCACTTACACGAGGTTGCCAGTGCGACTATCAAAGAACCCAGCAATGCGCCCGCAAGTCCGAATAGCAACCAGCCACGTTTCGCGCCCGAGCGATCAGCATGAGACCCGATCAGGGGGCTTGCCACGACCATGACGAGCGCGGTCTGCGATAGCAGCGCTGTGCTTGTGCGCTGTGTGAGCGAGACATCAAGTCCCAGTCGATGTTCGAGCACGAACGGAAGAATTGGAACGAGAAATCCATACAGATACATGTCTATGGACTGGGTCAACAGATACGTTTACCCCTATATTTGCCAAAACTTACCAGTAAGCATGGCCACTGCCATTGTCGCAACAATGAAATAAGTGGATGATCGCCATTTCTGGCCCCATGGTTCTTGGTACTTTAATGAAGCTCTCATACTGTCGTGTCCACTCATCGTTCCATGAGTTTAATGAATGAATCCAAAAAAATGGGCTGTTCTTGGGTTCGACATCAGTTAATTACCTCGGGTCTATATACCAACCTAGGTCGCCCCGCTTACCAATGGTTCGCTTGAATTGGATGCATATATTACCCCTGTACTGGGATTTCGAGACCGTTCTGTATGACTCATCATGCAATGGTCTGATGTCGGCTGGCAAGCTAGGCTGACAAGCTAGACCGGGGTGGTCGGCGGTTGCGCTATTGCTGTCAGAATCTGTCGGCACACAAAGGGGCTTTTCCGGCAAAGCAAGGAGCTTGCATTAGTGAATTCAAATTAGGAAACTGCGCCACGGCTAAATTATTGGATATATCAGCCACACAGCCACAAGGATTCAATCAATAGATAACACATTTGCAAAGACAATCGAAAAAGAACAGTCTGGACATTGAATATTTAAGTGTGCGGAGTAGATCGCATCGAGTAGATCTCAGTTAGATCTCAGTACGGGGTATGGAGTAGAGATCATCGCATTAGCTGATCACCAGTACTCCGCTAGAACACTTAAAAGGCCACATATCTACTCCGTACCAAAAAAAAGGCTGATAGAACTTCAAATAAATTCAATCATGCTTCATGACATTAAAAGATTCGTTGACTCATGATACATTGGCATAATATCACTTAAAACACACATTCGCCGCTCGCCGGGCTCAGACATGTCCCCCGCATCGCCAAAGTACAGAACAAGGTGTATAACAAAAAAAGGCAGAATCGTAATCTTTCATAGTAAGGTTTCCTGATGACATGCAAGCGTCCACTCGCCATCCGAACCTTGACTCCAAGTCGTCGAGCCCGAACAGATGTATTCTTTCTTCCCGCGCTTAGCACGGACCTTGTATGTAACGACGCCGGCCATCAAATCGACGATGATAACTCGTACCTCCTCGAACTGGTAGGCATCGAATCGGTGGAAGGGTGGTCGCACGGCTTTCTTGAACGCTTCTTCGTCCTCGAGGGTGATGATTTCCTTCTGAGGGAATAGGAAACAGGCTTCAGGGTTGCTAAGTTTCCAGATGGGAGGTGCTGGATCGGCGGATGTGAGGGCTGTCCAGAGTTCGCGCTCTTTGTGGAGGATGTCTTCGCGGATACGTTCGTGCATTCCAGGCATGGTGGGTGGTTGTGGTTGTAGTTGTTTTAGTTGCGAAGTGGTTGGTTGGTGGGTATCGAGGAAAGATGCTGAAGTGCGAAAATATGTTGCGATGTGAATGTGCGAATTCAAATGAATGGTATGTTAAGAAGGAAACACTGGAAGCAAATGAGTATAAACACTTAGACTTTGAGGGCCCTGGCCTTGATTTTATTGTTTTGGCATCCATGGTATCTAAATTAAAATGACGTCAGATGACGTTGAGGCAAACAATTTAATCTCCGGGGATCAGCACATCACAACACACATCACAGCATATGGCAGCGCTCTATTCTAATAATATTGTACGCTTGACATGCGTCATGATCCACTGTTTGATGTCTGCAGTCGGTGGCTTAAAAGCCCCAGCATCACTGGCCTGGCGCATCCACAACCCTCCCGAGTTCATCCATGGAAGTGCAGCCACGCGAGGTTTGATTTCTACTTGGTTTTCTGCCAATGAGATTATTACATTTGCCACTTTTGGTGCCATACATGGGCACACATGTATCTGCGCCGGACTTTCCTAGGTCTTCTCCTATCTGAACCGCTTTAATGACAGCGCTTATTTAGGCTTCGGGGGTATATCAGTGATAGGCTTGGGTGTTCAAATGCTCATTGGGTGCTCTTTACTAATACTCAGTGTCCAATGAGTAGCTCTGATCACTCAGACCACCATAGACTACATGCATGTATGTATCCGTATCTTCAAAATAGTACTAGCCTTATAGTGTAGTTTATATATAATTGTTGGTTAATAGTGTTGCCCCTACGACATGTATCCATGTTCTGGAGTACTTAAGTACTTATTTCATTAAGTATCTTGCGGCTTGATACGTTGATATAATATTGTATCCTTTGGCTTCACATACATATCGGATGGACCAAGCTACCTATGTGCCACCTAGGCCGTTATGGACCGTTTGTTTTTCGACTAGGCCTAGAACATGAACAGCGGTAGTGGAATGTACAATACACCCTTATTGGTAGCTGAATGACTGCCAGGTTCCTAGGACGCTGGTACTCTAACTCCTTAAGCCGATGTCTATCCAGATGTACTAGAAGGAGCCACATCGCAGAAGGAAAAGCCTTGTCGAAGCCTTAGTATAGAGTCCTCTAGACGGCGTTACGAAACATGCCAAATTAAGCAAGAGCCCCGTGACTTGTGCGGAGAATGGACAATTTGATATATGTGTGGTTTGCTTAGGGACCCGTTCAGCATTTGAAAACGAGGCGTTGATTGTAGACGGTGATTCTCTATGAGCTAAAGGTACAGCTGATGAAGAGCAATCGCCCGATAAGACTAATGCATCTGCGTTAGAATCCAAATGAACTGTTCCAACGAGTTCACGTCTAGTATACCATTGCCTAGCAAGGGTGAATCCCACCGGCCATTTTCAGCTGCGTGGTTATACCGGTCGTTCTCGGGTGGATAATGAAGTTCCGGAGGAAGAGGAAGTGAGGGAAGAGGGAGATATATACAATAGCTTCAGAGGATACACTGTTGAGACATGGTTTCTAGATACATTGTTTGTGAGGCGCCCGCTAGCTGCCCATTTAGCTATCTTCTGTTGTTTGTAGATAATCAGTTCCTTCCTCTCTTCCCATCCATCTTCTTCTCTCTTGTCGCCCATACTCGTTTCACTTACTGGTTAGTTCCCTTCTAACCAGACGACATTCAGCGTGTTACTTACTGATCACAGCAAGGTCAGATAGCATGAGTCTTTGGACCCAGCCAGTCCTCTAGAGCCAGTCAGCTATCAGAGCCAATCGAGATTCACAGCCAGTGGGTAGTCCACAGCGAACCAACCCGCATGACTTTTTTTCTTTGCATTGTCTTCCCATTACTTTTGCCTAGACATAGAATGACAGGTTTCCTAGCTGTGATCCCTCTCTCCCTAGAGGTAAGCCTGTCTTACACTCTATTCTTTTTATCATCTAACAAGCAGGAGGCCATGTACCAGAGGGACCCTAGACACTCCATAGATGACGATTACCACGAAGACGACATTTCGAGGAGAATGGCGACGGGCAGCGATGAGCCCAACTGGCACAACACAAGTACCAAGTATCCTTCGGCAATTTTCAAGGACAAGAGGGCCAGCAACATGAAAATTAACTGACCTTGTTCATTCTAATTGAATAGCTTCCAACAAGATTGTTTATGCTGTGACACATACCACTGCCTAAGGAAATATCCCGCGCACTGTCTATTCTAAGCCTGGTGCCAATTTGAAGTTTTCAATCAGCGGATGAACCAATATTCCCCATTTCGGCCTACATATTCGAATGGAGAGCGTGTAGAAAGCTCTATTTGATTTCGTCTTGGTATGGACTACCTTGGATCACGATGGTTACGAAGCCGAGAGAACCGAGACCGCGGGGACATGCCGGGAATGGACTTACAACTTCTCGTATGTACGATCGATTCCATCGTGAAAACAGATCCTGAAAGGCGGCTTGGAGTCACCCGAGGACTCCGATGGATATCAAAATCTGCCAATGAAGGATGCTGCTCGTGTAGCGAACCTCATAGGCGTGTTTCCCCAAGGCGTTATCGTCTATAAACCCAAAACTCTGGCCGACGTCGACCGGGCGAGCTGACACTACCTTCTATGACTTCAAGTAATACGTCAAGCTCATTGTTGACGTGGTGAAACCTTTGATTGCGGCAAATGCGGGATATCAACGCACTGGCCCCTGGGGTAAGATGCGCTTGATTCTCTAGCCCTCTAACGATAGAAGAGGCACATACACCTTTAAGCGCCTAGGTCACATGATAGTGAGGCTTAGGATGGTGCGTTTGGCAGATCAGACGTTTGATACCACATACAACTTCGAGTGCGCGTATTATGACTTCCACATCAGTTGTCTTCAGCGGCAGCATAAACTCGGGTACTCAGGTGGGAGTTAATTACGGATCTATCCATCTGTCCCAAGGTAGGTTTCACGAGGCCATCACCAAGGTCAGATTAACTAATCATTTCTTGCAGGCCCCGAGGGAGAGGGAGGACCAGAAACCCCACCTCCCCCTGTATCGACCGTTCCGTTCGTTCGTGACCCAGACTTTGTCGATCGTGGAACATTACTCGGTCAGGTATACGACAAAGGAACGACACCAGGGGCTCGGATAGCGCTTGTTGGGCTTGGGGGCGTGGGGTAAGTGGAGATGGTCTGTAGATTGGTCATTGCTAATACATGGAAAGGAAATCTCAACTTGCGATCGAATGCTCTTACCGAATGCGAGAAGAGTCGCCTAATACATGGGCTTTCTGGATTCACGCAGGTAATGCCGCTCGTTATGAGCAGAGTTGTCGAGATATCGCCGACCGAGTCAAGATCCCGGGGCGGAGGGATCCCACCTCGAATATTTTCAAACTCTTTCACGACTGGCTTGTCGATGAGAGAAATGGAAAATGGGTTCTGGTCCTTGATAATGTGGATGATAGTAGTTTCCTCCACGAAGTTCAAAGTGGTCACAGTGGTGCACAAGGGCGGCCACTCTTCACATACCTCCCGATTAGCCTTAATGGGTCAATGATCATAACATCCCGAAGCAGAGGTGCAGCACTTAGCATGGTGGAAGACGGCGATATAATTACGATCGAACCGATGGATCCGTCACACGCAACGATGCTATTTAAAAAGAAGCTAGGAGCGCAAATCGAGGAGGAAAATATCATTCAGCTCGCTGCTGCGCTTGACTATATACCACTTGCGATCGTGCAAGCCGCAAACTACATCAAGCAGAGAAGGCCACGGGTTTCGGTGCCACAGTATCTCACAAAATTTCAGAAGAGCGACCTTAAGAGAACCAGTCTCCTAGCGTATGACATGGGACAGCTGCGTCGGGATAGGGAAGCCAATAACTCCATCCTTACTACGTGGCAAATATCCTTCAACCACATACAGCAAATTGAACCGGCAGCAGCCGACCTTTTATCACTTATGAGTTTCTTCGACCGCCAAGGCATTCCTGGAACCCTCCTTCAATATCAGCCAGCGAAGGAAAATGGCGATATACATTCGGAAGACAAGAACGAGATATCTGACGATGATGAGGGGATCGAAACGGATTCTAGCGTGGACGATGACTTTGAAGACAATATCCTGACCTTGAGAAATTACTCGATGATTTCTATTGGTGTGAATGAAGACACTTTCGAAATGCATCGGCTCGTGCAACTTGCTATGCGGAAGTGGCTTGAGGCCCATGGAAAACTCGAACATTGGAAGCAACAATTCATCGAGATACTTCATCATACGTTTCCGACCGGGCATTTTGAGACATGGGCTGTGTGTCAGCCGCTCTTTCCACATGTACAATCTGCTGTCACGCAACGGCCGGTTCAGGAAGACATATTGCAAAAGTGGGCTAGCCTAGTTCATAGATCAGCATGCTTTGCGTTTACAAAGGAGGATATCGTCGAGTGTGAGAAGATGGCAGTCTTGGCTATGAAGACAAGAAAGAGATTGTTTGGTCCATATGACGAAAAGACACTGGAGAGTTCTGAAATTGCTGGGCTAGCATATAGTCTTAGCGGGAGATGGAAGGACGCAGAAATTCTGCAGCTACAAGTGATGAACGCCCGCAACCAGTTGCTCGGACCAGAGAATCCCGACACTCTGGTCAGCATAAGTAACCTAGCATCAACCTACAGGGATCAGGGACGGTGGAAGGAGGCTGAAGAGCTCGATGTGCAGGTGCTAGAGACCCGCAGCCAGGTCCTCGGGCCAGAGCATCCTGACACTCTGGTCAGCATAAGTAACCTAGCATCAACCTACAGGGATCAGGGACGGTGGAAGGAGGCTGAAGAGCTCGATGTGCAGGTGCTAGAGACCCGCAGCCAGGTCCTCGGGCCAGAGCATCCTGACACTCTGGTCAGCATAAGTAACCTAGCATTGACCTACATGAACCAGGGACGGTGGAAGGAGGCTGAAGAGCTCCACGTGCAGGTGCTAGAGACCCGCAGCCAGGTCCTCGGGCCAGAGCATCCTGACACTCTGGTCAGCATAGGCAACCTAGCATCAACCTACAGGGATCAGGGACGGTGGAAGGAGGCTGAAGAGCTCCAGGTGCAGGTGGCGGAGACCCACAGCCAGGTCCTCGGGCCAGAGCATCCCCACACTCTGGTGAGCATGAACAACCTAGCATCGACCTATAGGAGCCAGGGACGGTGGAAGGAGGCTGAAGAGCTCCACGTGCAGGTGCTAGAGACCCGCAGCCAGGTCCTCGGGCCAGAGCATCCCCACACTCTGGTGAGCATGAACAACCTAGCATCGACCTATAGGAGCCAGGGACGGTGGAAGGAGGCTGAAGAGCTCCAGGTGCAGGTGCTAGAGACCCGTAAGCAGGTCCTCGGGCCAGAGCATCCCCACACTCTGGTGAGCATGAACAACCTAGCATCGACCTATAGGAGCCAGGGACGGTGGAAGGAGGCTGAAGAGCTCCACGTGCAGGTGCTAGAGACCCGCAGCCAGGTCCTCGGGCCAGAGCATCCCGACACTCTAGCTAGCATAAACAACCTAGCATCGACCTACTGGAACCAGGGACGGTGGAAGGAGGCTGAAGAGCTCCAGATACAGGTGGCGGAGACCCGCAGCCAGGTCCTCGGGCCAAAGCATCCCGACACTCTGGTCAGCATGCATAACCTAGCATCGACCTACATGAACCAGGGACGGTGGAAGGAGGCTGAAGAGCTCGAGGTGCAGGTAATGAATACCTATAAGCAGGTGCTCGGGCCAGCGCATCCCAACACTCTGGCAAGCATGAACAGCCTTGCTCATACCTTAAGGTCATTAGGTCAACTTGATACTGCTTTACAAGTGATGATAGAATGTGCCCAGCTCTGCGGCCAAAATTAGGCCCTGACCACCCGGCTACAATATCCTCAACCTCTGCTCTAAATGACTGGGGTGGCATTGGTAGCTCCGTGTCTACCAAATCCAGTGGTGACCTTTGCAATGGTGCAACTACTGAGACTCAATTGGCGGAACAGACTGTCACTCCCACGGAATCCTCTGGGCTCTCTAATTAATATGCTGATATGCAAATACGTCAGCCTATGATTTCTCTTTGTCTCTTTTTTACGGAATCTTTCACAACTTGATCTAATTAATCGGTTATTCCTCGGCCGTGTTTTAAATACTTCAAGTAATATGAAATTATACCAAACAGGGCTCCGAATGGTTGTAACTACATTTGATGTACTCCGTAGTAAGTTTTAGGATAGGTTTGGACATATTTCGTGGGTTCTGCATGGAAGCCAAATCTCATCATATGAATCTTGGGTGACAAACATGGAATAAGGCACTATAAGTCGAACGACTAATCAATACCCCATTCAATCTTTTATGTTTTTAGAAGCCTCGTCTGTCAATGTTTGATTCACAAATTTACCGCGTTACGTAGGGTATATTAATAATTTCTACTATCTTAGATTAAGTTTGTGTATCATTGCTTTCGGGATTCTTCATGTTTTGATTCGGGAGCCAAGGCCCTCGGGACTCTCCCGAGCGCTGATCCTGCCCTAATCGGGTACATATCCACCGATCGGCGATGGTCCATCCGTAGCGTGAAAGACGCAAGGAATACAAATTCTTCACCTTTCAAATAAAAGACCTCGCCATATGCAGGAATAGACCTCCAATTGTACCGGCAAAGTTGCTCACCATGCGCCTCCTACAAACTTTGACGGCCTCGTTGCTGCTCACCGGCAGCTCACTATGCGCCGGGGCTACTGGGATCGCCAAGAATGGTCACCATGGCCATGAAGCAATTACTCCTAAGGTGTTCATTGTGTCAATGGTATGCACATCCAGCAAAATAATTGTAATGTCGCTAATAAATCATGACAGTTCGCACCTGAAGCCGAAGCTTGGTGGAACATCCCTGAATTCGACTTGCTTGCCCACAACATCACCATTCCCGGTCTTTCGCCTCTATTCCCGGACGTCCACTGCACCGAGGACTATGAGGTTTGCCAGCTCATCACCGGAGAAGGCGAGATCAATGCTGCTGCCACTGTGACCTCCGTCGCTTTCTCCCCTCTGTTCGATCTCACACAAACCTACTTCTTCGTCGCGGGTATTGCCGGCGTCAACCCCAAGAAAGCCAGTACTGCATCTGCAACCTTTGCCCGGTACGCAGTCCAGGTTGCACTACAGTACGAAATCGATACCCGCGAGCTTCCTGGCAACTATACCACCGGATATATCGCGCAAGGCACCGATTTCCCAGGTCAGTACCCAACCAGCATCTACGGCACAGAGGTATTCGAAGTGAACGCCAACCTGCGCACGATTGCCGCCAATTTCGCGCGCAAGGCAAACCTCTCCGACTCCACCGTAGCCCAGGCCTACCGCGCCCGCTACAAAACCCCCAGTGGGAAGTATAAGGCTGCCACCTTGCCCCCTAGTGTTATTGAATGCGACGTTGCGACCTCCGACGTGTACTTTAGCGGTAATATCCTCGGCTCGGTGTTTGAGAATACCACTAAGGTCCTGACCAATGGAACGGGTGACTATTGCGCAACCGCACAGGAGGATAACGCCACGTTTGAGGTCTTGCTCCGATCATCGATCCACAAGCTGACTGATTTCTCCCGCATTATCGTCATGCGCACTGCGTCGGACTTTGATCGCCCCTATCCCGGTGCTTCGGCGACATACAATCTCTTCGAATCCTCGGAGCAGGGCGCATTCGAGCCCGCTATTAAGAATCTTTATGTTGCTGGTATCAAGGTCGTCGAGGGTATTTTGGACGGGTGGGATGAGACATTTGCTGCTGGTGTCGAGGCCACCAACTACATTGGTGATATCTTCGGTACTTTGGGTGGTGTTCCTGACTTTGGCCCTGGACGCAAGCAGGCTCTCGTCGGTGGCGGCGCTTACAAGCGCAGTGTTCAAACCCGCTTCAGGCGTCGTGCTTAAGGTTTCTCTGTCTTTCTGCTGAGACCCTTGAAGCTTTACTTTGTTCGTGATGTGAAAACTATGTACTTATATTTGCATCTGTGGGCGAAAATCTCGGAATCATTCTTCTGTCATTGGCCTTTAAGAATCATCATGCGAACTTCACTCGAGTACCCCGAGAGGGAAATAATCAGCCAAAGCTTGATACCCCGCCACAGTAGGATGAAGATGATCTCCCGAATCATATTTCTCTAGCAACTGAGATTGCGCATGCGGATCCCTCAGCGCCCTGTCAAAGTCCAGTACCGCATCAAACACACCACTTTCCCGAATAAACGTATTGATTCGTTGACGAGTCCCCTCTCGCACGGCACTTGAGTAAGGCTGCACATAGTCTGAAGTCGGCGGTGAGCCGAACGGTGTGATGGTAGCACCAAATATCGGAATGCCTAGGGCATGCACCTGTGTCGCGATCTGTTTATATGCTGCAACAAGTTTTTTCTCGATCTCCGCCTGCGTGGCCACATCACTATCAGCGACGCCGATGTCATTGACGCCTTCGAAAATCATGGCATATCGCACTCCAGATTGTGCTAGGACATCCCGGCCAAGACGGCTGATCACATTTGGACCCAGGCCATCTTGTAGGATACGATTTCCGCCAGCGGCCTGGTTGAGAATGGCGATGTTTGACGTGTGTTTATGTTTTTGCATTCTTGCCACCAATAGATCCGGCCAACTACAACATTCATCAGCTATAAACATGCACTGTACGACGGTGTACTTACCGATCGTTGCCGTTTGTAGTACTTCCTCGCCCATCGGTGATACTGTCGCCAATGATCACAAAGGCACTAGACTTGGAAGGTAGAAAAGCCTCTACTCCACTGATGAAGTACCTGGGATAGAGGTTAGATACAGGTTCTCATTTAGGCCAATTAAAAGGATTGCGGTAGAAAGACTGACCAGTGATCCGTGCTTTGAACAGATGGGTCCGTGAGGTTCTCTGAGCTAGTCCAATCCCCAAAATCCAGGTATGATGTCGTTCTGCTTCCAGGATGGCCGGTAATAGAGAAACCTTGTTGTCCCTCTGCGAGATATATGTTGATCATGAGAGCCGATTGGGCCTGAACGGGGAACTTTATTGGGTCAGACACAACCTGACCACCGTTCGAGATCTCCACATCTGGGCTTCCATTGAAGAGGATAGTTTTCAATGACTTGGTCTGTAGCTCACTGACTCCCACCCGCTGTCCCGCCGGTAGGCCGATAGTCACCTTAGTGACCTGGAGCTCGTTTGGGCCAAATGCATTAGAGAGTCGAATACGGATCTCTTGTGCAGGTAATGAAACTTGGAGAGTTTGACGGATAGTAGTGTTGCTGAAGACAGCGGTGGACCCATTCTGCACTCCACGGTCAGTATCGAGGCATTAGCTGTGATAATGATATCCAACGTACAAATGGAATAGGGGGTAGGTTAGCGGGCTCGACCAACTGGGGCATTGTGGCCCATATATTCACCCAGTGCGAGTCTCTCGCCTTGTCGTCATGGCTTCCTCGGGCCAGCAAAGGGTAGGAAGACACTAAGTTCGCACATAATAGAGCGATTGAAAATATAGATCTGAGTTTGAACATAGTCACGGTCGTGGCAGATAGTTGACCAGGTACAAGAGTTACCTTTTTCCCCACATTTTAAATCGACTCTCAACCTTCAATTTATAGCCATTATCTGATGATTGTGTCCGGATAATGTGGGTAAATTCTGTTCATATTTTTCCTTATATATTGCCCGGCTGCATATCCTCTCCGTGAAGACAAATTGCGGGGAAGTGGCTAAATGCAGCTACTCCTTTTGGCGGCCTGGATAATTGGGTAAATTTCAACATCCTGAAGAATAATAGTGGGTGAAATATGGAAAAAAAAAAACAAATATGCTCCCGTCATCTCTACTGGAATATCTCCGCTGGAATATCTCCGCTAAAATGACGAATGACGTCTACGCGTATCCTGCAGCGTTTACGAATAAACAAGCATACATAAACCTCAGGTCATCCTGGGCAATCGATCTTCATGTGTAGAAGGTATACATTGTCTTCCTATGATGATAGTATTGCTCGCTAAAGTAATACTACTGTTTATTTTGGGAAGTAAGTGATTCGAATTGGGTCTGAAAATGGAATTGACAATTCTGGGACGATTGCGCCGCCTCATTGTAACGAATATGCTAATATCTCTTGAAGGAAAGATATAGAAGTTCAAATAAAGTTCAAGTCCCTGGGAATTAAAAAAAGCTTGGGAAATTTCCTAATCAAATCTGCTGTCATATTCCATGGTGGCTTAATGCGGCGAGGCCATGCGATGGATGCAACCCTACTTTCCACACCGGAATGGGGATACACCCCCTAAGTTCACAGTTCCCAAATCTTCTAGTCATATAATATGTACAATATAAAGGGAATTTTAGAGCGACAATAAACAGGCTAGACACAATCGGCATGGGTTATCAATGGAGAGAAAGGGGCAGCTGCGATACGAGCATATACTATCAGGGATATAGGACTCAAATCTTTGAGGCTTGCAAGAGAGGTACTTATCATTTCCCCCGTAGATAAGCCTATAAGCAGAGCCATACAGCCCGAATGCGACCATCTCCGGCGATCTTTGCCTGTTCAGCTGAAGCTTGATGCGGAGAAACGTGGGGGGTGCTATCCATGCATGGACGATGCAACATTCCCGACGTCTTCTTATCTAATAGAGTAAGGGATGTCACCTCTCTTTTGATAAGAGGAAGCTCGTATCTGGAGCTTATAACTTTGACTTCCCTTTCTATATTTCTTTGTCTATAACACCTCGTATACAACATGACGGGTCCAGCCCGCGCACCGTCGCTTGATGGCACGAAGAAAGCAGACACCGTGGGCACTACTGAAGAGCCCAGCACGCTGAAAGGCTATGGCTCTGTCCCGGGTGTGATAGATGAGGTGACTCGAGTCGTCGACCACAAGGCTGAACGGCGTCTCTGTCGGAAGTTTGATTATCGCCTGCTCCCTATCCTAGCGGTTATGTGTATGTTTACCCAATATTGGCAGATATGCGGGGAACTAACTAGCGACAGACTTATTCAATGCCCTAGACAAGGGAAATCTGGGAAATGCAGAAACTGATGGTATGAGCAAGGGTATGTATGATCCTGAATCCAAGCGGCGGATACTTGAGATTAATTAAATGGTTAGACCTAAACTTCAAGCCGAATGAGTACAATCTTCTATTATCGATCTTCTTTGTTCCATTCGTGATCTTCGCACCGCCCTTCTCAATGCTTGGAAAGAAGTTCAGTCCGGCGCGCGTACTTCCAATCCTGATGTTCTCATTCGGTTCTTTCACGATACTCTCTTCAGCCGCCTACAATTTCAGCGGCATGTTCGCCTTGCGCTGGTTCCTGGGCATGTCCGAGGCCGCATTTTTCCCACTGGTCATCTATTACTTGACCACATTCTACCGTCGTGGCGAGCTGGCTCGTCGCCTAGCTATTTTCTACGCTGCGTCGAACATCGCAAACGCTTTCTCCGGACTCATTGCATTCGGAGTATTCCAGATCGAGGGATCTAATATCCCCAACTGGCGCTACCTGTTCATCATCGAAGGCGGCGTCACTGTTCTCTTTGCTGTATTCGCGTTCATATATCTCCCACGGAGCGCCGCCGAAGCAAAGTTCTTATCTGAGGAGGAGAAGGCGCTAGCTTTCCACCGAATTCAAGTCGACTCCAGTGCAGTGGTCAATGAGGAGTTTAGCATCCGCGAGGCCCTTGGAATCTTCAAGCACCCCACCACATACGCCTTCTTGTGCATTGAAATCTGCCTCGGTGTGCCATTGCAGGGTGTTGCGCTCTTCATGCCGCAGATTGTCGGACGGTTGGGTTATCCCACTGTTAAAACCAACCTGTACACCGTCGCACCAAATGTGACAGGAGCAGTGATGCTACTTGTTCTCGCCTTCTCCTCTGATTGGACCAGACTCCGATCACCATTCATTGTTCTAGGTTTCCTGTTCACTTTCGCTGGGTTTATGATTTATGCATCCATTGACGATGTTCAGAATCAGATACACGTCGCCTACTTCGCAACTTTCATGATGACTTGGGGAACGTCCGCCCCATCCGTTATGCTTAGCACTTGGTATAATAATAACATCGCCCACGAGGGTCGCCGTGTGCTGTTGACGAGTATCGGAGTACCATTGGCCAATTTGATGGGTTTGGTTAGCAGCAACTTGTTCCGAAAACAAGATGCACCCAAGTATATGCCCGCGCTGATCAGTGTTGCTGCATTTGGTGCTACTGGCGCTAGTTTGACGGCTGCATTGGCATTTTACATGTGGCTGGATAACAAGCGACGCGATCGTCGTGATGGCGTCACGATCCGGGCGCGGGATATTCCGACAGAGCGAATGAGAGAAGGACCGGCATCTGTTGAATTCCGGTGGTTTTTGTAAAAGGATGGTCGAACGTCATGTCTGTACTTAGTTGAGAGAATTGAATATCTGTCGATAAGCCTTTCCCCGATCTTGCTTACACTGCTGCCCTCTTTCCCCGCGAAATCTCCCTGCAAAACAGAAAGCGTGGGGGGGTTCTGGAGTACAAGAACCTGTCTGGTGATCGATTTTCCCTTTTTGGAGTAGGGTCCGTGCCGTTGATTCAGGGTCATGTAGCGTTTGGGGTCGGGTGAACAAAGTTGGGGTTGGAATAAGTCAGCAAGATTCGTTAATCTTGAGCAGCCGAAGCTATATTAACCTTTGGTTAGTCCGGACTCCGGACTCTGAGTTACTCAGCTAAACCAAAACTCCTTTCGGTGCCCAGCCCTGGCGGGTACTTGGCATGCTCAGATGGTGCCGGTAGCCCTACCCGGGGATAAAGGTAGAGAAAGAATCCTGAACCTACCTCGGACCAGGGCATTGATGTAGCCGAATATATCGGGCACATTCGTCTCTCTGTTTTTCCCTTGCATGAACAATCTCACAATCATGAGCCATTGGGCCCGCTTGACAATATTTCAATCAGATCTGACGTGTACAAATAGTTGCTTTTGAACACGCCCACATCGAACATAGACACGGCCAGACCAGTGCGATTCTCATGCACCTCACCGGTGTGCTAATATGTAACCTGCCCCGCATCACGTGGACCAGGGAGACGTGTTTTGCAGCATCACTATAAAATGATGCGAGGGGCCTTGTGTTGTACAATTATCTGATTTCAACAGCTTCACACCTCCAACCACGCTTCACGTCCCATAAACAATGGCTTCCAACACCAACCAAATGTCGCCTTTGCGGCCCGTCACTCGGCATATCACAGGCCACAATGAGGCCGGGAGAGCAGTGATCCATTCCTCGACGCCAGCTGAGTGGGAATCACTTGAAGAAAGCAAGATGGCATTCAATGTTGTTTACACGACCCAATTCCCTCCAGATCTCAACAATGACGCGGATATCAAGACCCACGAGACATTGGCACAATCGAACGAGCTGGGCCTTGTCAACCCTGGTGGAACTGTATGCCGAATTGTGGACTTCGCCCCGGACAACCTCGTTGTAGTGCACCGGACTCAGAGTCTTGACTACGGTGTTGTGCTCGAGGGGCAGGTTGAAATGGTCTTGGAAGACAGCGAGCCAGTCATAATGAACCGAGGGGATGTTGCAGTACAGAGGGCCACGATGCATGGGTGGCGCAACACCAGCAAGACGGAATGGGCCCGTCTTCTGTTTGTGCTGCAGGATTGCAAGAAATTGACGGTGGCTGGGAAGGAAATGGGAGAAGATCTGGGACTTGCGACTGGAATACTCAAGCCGAGTGGCAATGATCAGAATTGAATGCTCCCACTTTTCTGGGATAATTTGACAATGAATTTCATTTTCAGAGCTACAGGGATCTATTGAACCTTGATGACTACCTTGCCAAAGTGGGTACCGCTCTCCAGGAACCTGAATGCTTCTTTAGCCTCGGCAAACGAAAAGACCCGGTCAACTACTGGGTGAATCTGAGTTTTCTCGTAGAAACGGATCATCTCTTCGAACCGATCCTTGGGACCGTTGATAATTCCTTTAAGGGTCACCGTCCGACGGAGAGCCAGCAGATTCACATTCAGGCGGTCGTCATCAGCATCCATCTTGCCTGAGACATAGCCAATACAGTTGATCAATCCTCCGAAAGCGATGCAATCAAAGCTCTTCCGCAAGGTTTTGGCACCGCCAACTTCCAAGATAATATCAGCGCCGTGGTTCTCAGTCACCTTCATCACTTCGGCTTCCCAGTTGGGGTTAGTGCGGTAGTTGATAGTGAAATCAGCACCTAGCTCTTTAGCCTGGTCCAATTTCGCATCGGACGAGGAGGTGATAATAACTGTTTGCATAGTCAGCGATTGCATTTAATAAAAGGTAGTAAGTCCCATTGCCCACCCTTTGCGCCAGCGGCCTTTGCAATCTGTAGTCCAGCGATAGCCACACCACCAGTTCCCTGGAGCAAGACATATTCGCCCTTCCCGCCGCTCTGGCCCATTGGTCGCATGCCATTGATAGACATCCACGCCGTGACCGAGGCAATGGGAAGGGTAGCGGCCTCCTCGTCCGACATAAAGCTAGGCGCCTTCACCAGGCTGTGGTCGGGGAACACACGGTGAGTTGCAAGGACACCATCCTGCGGCAGTCCCAGGCTCCTGCCAAGCTCCTTCTCGGTCACTTGGCCGGTTTGATGATCGGGAAGGAAAGTCGAAAGCACCCGGTCGCCGACTGCCCACTTGGTCACACCAGATCCAACCTGCGTCACCACTCCACACATGTCCGAGCAGGGCACAATGGTGGCATCCTGTTCGGCGGTTTTGTGATGTTTATACTCGCCCTTGGTCACTTTGAAAGATTCGGTAAGCCTAGATCCTGCCTATCTGCTCTTGGCGGGTGACTTACCTTCCACGTCGCGGTAGTTCAGAGAGACAGCTCGGATCTCTACCAATACTTCGCTCGGCCCTGGTGCGGTCAATGGAGCTTCGGTCTGGCTAAGGCTGTCAATGCCCTTCAAGGGCGTGATCCATTGTTGAACGGCCATTTTCTCGGTTAAAGAACAAGCGTAATTAGGAAGGACCGGAACAAGTTAAGCACTGAAGCAGGTTATTAATCACGTTGGAGAAATTTGGAGTATGGATCCATCGCTGAGACCTCAGGTGGGGGGCCCTGCAGGCCTGCAGGAGCTGAGTAATCGAGGTATTCAACCTCGCCAACTTCTCTCCAAGACTCCAGGGCTACTTTCTCTCCGTGGATGACCATCCGATTATGTCGAGAGCTGATCCCGACCATTTAGTCTCCTCGCACATGACAAAAGAGCAATTCTGGTCAGGAAAGATGAACAATGCACAGTAAACCGTGCAGCGGGGCCTAACTCCGCCAAACTCCGATGCGCTCCCTCTTTAATCATCCGATCTGCATTCTTCTCTCCATCAACTCTCACAATACCTTTCAAAATGGACGACGCATCACCTCTAGCTCTAGAAGAGCATCCACGTGATATTCCAGGTACGCAACCCTCAAAAATCGGCGTTATCAAGCTAACTCATTCCCCGCAAGCTCAATTCCACCACTCACCGGTTACTCACGCCTTCCCGCGGCTACCTCAAGCCATCGCCCACCGAGGTTTCAAAGGCCAATATCCCGAGAACACCTTATTATCAATCGATGGAGCGATCCGGGCAGGGGCTCAAGCTCTCGAGCTCGATCTTCACATCTCCCGTGATGGGATCGTGGTGTTATCACATGTAGGCACACACACTCCACGACCTCGGACCACGCTCATCGATTCAAGGATGCAAGCCTCATGCGCTGCTACGGTATCAAGAAAAAGGTCGCCGACTGTGACTGGGAGTATTTGAAAACTCTACGAACTCTACAAGCACCCCATGAACCCATGCCCCGGTTGGTCGATGTGTTGGAATACCTAAGTCAACCGGGTCGGGAGAACTTCTGGATCTTGCTAGATATAAAGGTATTGATTCTCGCCATTCGCACAATGTTTATCAGAAAGCTAATATCCAACCGCGATTCTCAGCTCACAAACGAACCCTTCGATATAATGGAACGAATCGCCAAAACCATCGAGTCAGTACCCATCCCCGCGGTCGGAACGGAATGGCATCGACGAATCATTCTCGGCTGCTGGTCTGCAAGATACCTGCCCGCGCGAACACAGCATCTGCCACTATACCCAGTGACGCTAGTCTGCGTCGACGTGAGCTATGCGCGCCAATTCCTTCAAGTACCACTTATATCCTTCAACATCAACCAGATGATCCTGATGGGCCCGCTAGGACGAGGGTTTTTAGACGAGGCGCGCGCAGCCCAACGTAAAGTGTATGTTTGGACAGTGAATGCGCCGAATCTAATGCGTTGGTGTATTCGACACGAGATTGACGGGGTGATCTCCGACGAGCCGGGACGATTCCGGCAGGTCTGTAAGGGGTGGGAAAAGGAACATACTGGTGTATTGGGGATCCCAAATCCCAATTTAGATCGGATCCCTTTGAGACAACAGATTGAGATCATTGCTGTGGCGCTTTATGTCATTTGCTTTGGGTGGATCTTGAAGCGGATGTACCTTGCTCCTGTTGAGAGACTAGAGTTTGAGCAACGCAAGTCGAAATAGTTGCATAGCGTCTCGGTGAATGTGCGATGGTATATTAATGGCCAGTGATATAATGAGGCATGATTTTAGAGTATTGATGAAATTTGAGAAAGAACATTATGTCCATTAAACTTGTAAATCCTGTACAACAGATAACCAAACGCCGAGCCGATATAGAGTACATTAGATACATTTCGGCATGAAGAATCAACAAGATACACCCCGGACGATGGCCCAAAAATCAGAAAACATGCCAATGGGGGGTTCTCCATACTGATGGAGAATAGCCCCGATGCAAGGGAAAAACAGACGATCAACGCCATTGCCAACGAAAGTTAAATGGGTGAGATAGCACAGAGGGTATATCGCGATATATAAAGGAATGAAGGAAGTGGGGAACGCCATCCGCGATAGAGAAGCGGAAAAAGGGAATGTGCAACTCGCGCTTTCCAATGTACACAGGAAAGAATGAGGAAGATGGTTTACTCAAATCATCATAAGCTTGGTGGTGCGTCGTTCAGGGAAGCGTCCTCCACCACCAGCGCCAGGTGGGAATCTAGCCCCGGGGTGGAGTCCCGGTCCAGGCCCAGGTCCAGGTCGTCCGCCAGGTGGAGGGTACGAGCCCGGTGGGAAGTGGCCAGACTGTGCCAGCGGAGACGAGCCTGGTGTGGGACGGCGACGACCAGGAGGTCCAGCAGGACCAGGACCAGGACCAGGACCAGGGCCAGGAAGTGGTGGGTGGTAGGAAGCAGCTGCTGCTCGACGAGCGTCCCTTTCGCAAAAGACTTCGCCGTTCCACTCGAAGTAGTCGCCCTTGAGAAGGACGCGGCATGTACGACACTGCAGACACTGGGTGTGGAATCGACGGCGATCTGGTCGTGCAGGGTTGCGCTCGACGGTCTCTAGATAGTGGCCCTCAATTCCGGTATTACAACCGGCGCAAAGGGAGCCGTTGCGCTCGTGATAATGCTGTGCGCAGAAGGGGCGGTTGTTGAGGACGTAGAAATCGATTGTTTGGAAGGGAGAGTGGCATTCAAAGCAAACGAAGCAGCCGCGGTGGTAGCGACCTGTGAGACGGCCGTCTGAGGATGAGATCGATTTCCCTGTAATCGTCTCATTGCAACCCTTACACTTCCCCTTCGAACGTCCGGTTGCGGACCGGGTGGGCGTGGTTGGTGTTTTGGGTTGTGGGGGAATGGGTGCTGTGAATGAGCGTTGAGGTGGTGCTGGCTTTCGGGGGATAGATGGTTTTTGTTGTGTTGATGTGGGAGTCGGCGGTTCTTTCCTCTCTGCAATCAACGACACGCCGCCTTGGTTGATTGAAGGGTCGGTAGGTGAATCCGGGCTGAAGAAAGCAGCTGGGATGGGAGGGACGTCTTCCATGGTGCTCCGTATACGGCCGGGAATTTCTACAATCGTCTGTCGGGTCCGAGCGGGCATCTCTTCAACCAACGGCGATAGATTCAGCGGATCAGTGGGTTTGTGTCGGTTCAAGCTGACGTCGGAGGGAAGACTAGACATGGAACTACCACTCCGGGCATCGGAAGGCGATGAATCAGAGGAGCTTTCGGAGTGATTCATTTGGTCATCCAGACCAAGAGCTCGGGCAAAGCTAGTGACGGAGAACGCACTTGTCGTACTTGCGTTAGAGCTTTTCCTTGGCGCATCGCTACCTGGCTCTGCTACCGCTGTCGCGGGGTGAAGGTGGGTTTGTCCAGGACGGAAAGCGATATATTCAGTCTCATCCTGGAATGAGCGGGATTCCTCTGGGAGATCGTGCAGTCCGGTAGTCTGGTTCTGGGCTGTTGGAATACCAAAGTCGAATCCACTAGCTTCTTCCTTGCTAATCCGGGATGAAACAACCGAGACATTGGAATCACGGGGGAAAGAGGTCTTGTGGGAGGTGCGGAGAGGCGCCAATGGCACTGGTGGTGTGTCGTCCATAAATGACCGGAAACCTCGCGAGAGGCTGTTGGCCGATGACCTCGTTGTGGAATCGCCGTAGCGACTGCTGGCGAAAGACGACCGGTAGCTGCTCTGGCTCACCGCCGAATCCTCCCTGCGATGATTCGTATCTGGAGACTTGGGTGGCATTGGACTAGGTGGAAGCTGTATATTCTCTGGCTTTGAACTGTGCCCCATTCCCGTCGAGACTTGTGGTTGTGATTTCAGTGGTTTCCGATCCATCATTGGACTTGGTGTCCTCACTTCAGTGGGCGACCTGTTTCCAGGCATGGGGAATGAGAAGACCGTGTCCGAGTTGCTCTCGGATCGATCCTCGGTCGGACTGTGAGACGGGCGCAGTGCAGATGGTGCTGGACTGGCAGGTAAGGGTGATAGATGGACACTGTTAGCTGGTGTCGGCATATTTGGCTGCAGGAATGCTCGATCTAGATGTAGGGTTAGTCGCAGATCTCTTCAACTCCCCACATGGCGATTTGAGACATACTTGCAGCGGAGGGGTCTATGGCCGGGGGAGGCCCCCGGCCAACCTTTGCCTCTATGAATCGGTCTGATTCAAACCCTGCCGATGGAGGCGGTGATGGGATAGGCGCGACTGGGGCTGATAAAGTCAGCACTTGAATCCTTCAAACTGAATTTTCGAAAGCCTACCGAATTCATTTCGAATGCATGTATGATCTCCCATGGAGGAGATCTCGACATTGCACCCACAATTGGAGCATTTTATGGTGGGCAACATGCCCATGTTCATTGAAGCCATCAAAGGTCGTGAACATCGAATTCAAGCCATATCCCGAGATATGGGGTAGTAGAGCAAGGCAAGTCTAAAGAAAAGCTGAAGTTTAGACCCTAGGAGAATTCCGGTTGTATGGGGGGGTACTTTGTGTTGGAAGAAAATACGCTAGTGCGGTAGCGTCTCCAGTGTGGAAAGGGGGTGCGTAACTTGTTCAGGGGTTATATTAGATGATATTGCTATTATATTATCTTATGATACTACAGAGTATACATAATTATGCGATGCAATACATAGCAGTTGTTACAAAGTTGATTCTTCCTCTATTGTCTCTATTACTCCCCTATATCACCATGTTAAAGGCGTTCCCTGAGACAAACCGGTGGAGCCAAAACATTGTGCGCACAGGGAACATGGATATGCACATCAGGGAAAAAGACACTGCAATGCGACTGGCCCGTACCTGGTGTCTGATCCTCCACCAACACCAATCACATTGTCCGGGCGGTATTTGAGTCCAATGTTTTTCGATCAGTGGGGGTGAAGTCAAGGGATATCACTCGATCTGGATTGTGACATAAACTCTACTCCTAGACCAAATCAAACCTCACGCCTATCACACGCTTCAAATCGTGTGATAGTTCGAAGGTCAGATTCTTTCGATTAAAAAAAAAAACAATCAACTTGTTTGCCCCGTGCTGGCGATCCGCGGGGCCCTTTTTTTTTCTCTCCGAGCCCACTCATCTTACTGGTCACCGCTTTCCACTCGACGCCATGGATCATGCACGACCCTGACACTTGACCCAAAGGAGAAGTACATACTCGGTACAGGATGCATCGTTGGTACATTTCTACCGTTTAGGTAGTTGCAAAAATTAAGCCAAGCCCGGGTTTGAATCGCTTTGGAAACTCGTCCGTGTGCGATGACGTGGGGACAATTAGACGAGATGCTACTCCAGACGGAGCACAGAGTATGGGGCTTGCGTGCGGGAGAGGGACGATCATTTGTTGCGTCTGTGCCTCTAGACACGGCCCAGGTTGGAGAGACGGACTTTATGTCCTCTTTCTCGCTCTCCTACTTACAATGTGGTGCGAACATCAACGCATGTCCCATGTCTCCCGAAGCTGTCGCTGGAGCGCATGAGTTGGCCAGCCGTGAAGTGCATCCGTTTGGATAAGCACCTGGACCAAAAGCTCTTGTTCATGTGGGTCCACAAAGCGATCGCCCCCTGTGATCATGATCAGCCTTATTTATACCGATTAGGAGATCACGACAATAAGTCTCCAAAGCTTACATAGATGGATGGCCATACACCCGACAACCATAGCTGGGGGCACGGAGGAATTGGATAATGAAGCCCCACATACTGTCCAAACCCCCCTACGGATAAGATCCTGAACTGCCTGTCAGTTTCTCTTCAAGTGCCTAATGGTGATTGGAAAGTTAAACACTTACATCAGCCTCCTGAATCAGACGCCCGCGCAGAGGTCCAACCGCAGGCAGAGTTGGGTCATGCACAACCAGCAGAATCTGAGCAAGATCGATGTATTGATTGCCGATTGCTACAGTCGCGATTAGCCTCAGTTCATATCCCGAATATCCTCCACGGTATACCACTTCCTAGAATATCGCCCGATACATACCATGCCAGGGACACCCGTAACGAATATCGGGCAATTTAACTCCCACTTCCACTTCTTCGCCCACAAAATAAGGGTCGAAAGAGTCCGGCCGAGTCTCACTCCATTGCTGATTGTGCGCCTTAAGCTCTGCATGCACGGTCACCGAGTGAGGTCCCTCTCCGAAACAAAATATCAAAACGTCCGCACAATGAGTGATTGCTTGATTCGCCCATGCGCAATCACCTGCATCAGGGCCCAGCTCGCTAGAATGGGAATTCAAGTTCAACGATCTCAGGTCAATGTCTGGGGCTTGGTGAAGGCTAAGGGCATTGTAAATCTCCTGGCGGAGGCCACTCCAGTAAACAGCGTGCCGTAGACTTGGGGTCGTGGTCATCATTGATGGACCCCGTATGAAAGCCTTTGTCCCGAAGGAGTGGCCTCGAATATCGGACCCGGCGAGTGGGACTATTGATCATTGTTAGCAGGATTCTTGACACACGTGGGAATGTAATCACTGCTCACCATCGAACTCTTCCAGCAAACGTAGAATAACAGTAGCAGCCAGCAAATCATCATCCATCGTAACGCCATGATCATCCAGCGCGGGAATCAACTTCTCCAGGCATGCCTGGTAGTAATGGTCTGACACGAAAGGGTCAAAATTTGTTGTGCGATTCAAATGACGGGCTGACATGGCCAATATTGCATTGAATAATGTGTCGCAGCGGCGTGCTCGGTAAGGGATATGGATAGCAAAATGCTGTTGGCGATCCGTGCAATCAAACTATATCATTCAGTCAGACTCCCGCGCATCATTTATAAAGATCAATACTTACAAAGGGTGCAACTTTATCCACAAAATGCTGCAACAAATGCGCCTCCTGAGGATCTCTCAAGGGCCATGGCCGCTGATATGATCGTTCAGGTGTGCTCACCACCGGGGGTATTGGCGAAACAACACTACTCCTCGCATACACTTGGTGGTTCGAGAAACCATATTGCGGCAAACCGGCGGTATATGAGGACCCGGGAGACAACCTTTCCGATATAGGAATAGACTCGGCTTGACTATGCAAACTCCCAGCAGGCGACTCAACATCGGTTGTCCTCTGTATCGGGGTATCTGGCTGACCGCTTCCACTTTCCAATATGAAGTCAACTAGATACGATCCGGTGTCAGACTAGATATCAAAGAAAATCGAGTTCGGAATCCAACCTCTAGGTGGTGGCCGAAGCCAAACTTGGTTGCTAGGGAACTTCGTGCGCGTCGTCCGACCCTTTGCCTGTCGGAACTTGGTTTCCTTTTTACCTCGAGTGCATTCTCGACCTGTGCGGACGCATCGGCCGCATTGTGGCGAGACTCCGTCGCCTATTGACAGTTAGAGGGGTTCTTGGCGGGGCTAGGCGGTATTACATTTATGGTGAAGTACACGGCATGGATCGCTGGATATAGTTAGATGTCAAATTTAAACGCTAGGCTTTAGGCCGTTGCTTACCAGCACTGGCTTTTCGGACCGGGCATGACGGAGTTGATTTCTTCACCTCCGTCGGGGAAGTTCCCCATTCTCCACTGCGGGGGATTTAATCCGGTGCCACAATATCGATGGCAGTGGCAGTGATGTCCAGTGACAGGTATTGTCATGGCATAAACGCTTTAAATAGTATTTGTTCTAGGCGAGATGACAATTTTCTTAGAAAAAAAAACCGTCCACTTCCCGGCGGTTGAATAAATACCCATATATATTTTCACCAAATGATTCCCAAACAACCAATACAAGTTGAGTCCACCACTTGTATTTGATAGAAAAAGCACGCAAGAAACCTCAATGGCATACTTTGTATTTGTCATGATGTGACAGTTCGGTTGTCTTTTTGGGTCTCATACTGAGGTTGCTATATACCAAAGTCCACTAAACAGCAAAATGATATACCCCTTGCAGATATCTCGGCATTCATAGATCATCTTTATTGACACCAAAATGTCTTTGCTACACCTTGCTGAACTGGTAAGATATGCGCTTTCAGAGGCTGATCCCGAGATCGGAATGCAATAAAAAAAAAAAAAATATGCAAGGACCGGATTCACCTGACACAAATCGCCAGATCTCTGATTAATGCCAAAATACATCGGCCAAGTCCTCCATATTAACATCAACCCACAACCTTATTTCAAGCCTTGCACACCGTATGGCACGTTTTCTTGGCCTTCGAGGCAGTCGCCTCAACTATGTGACAATCCTCGGGGTGGTTATGCCCGCAATCATGTCACTAGGCTATAATCAAGGATTACTAGGGGGAGTTCTCACCCTACCCTGGTTCGAGTTCCAATTCCCGGAAATCGACGTGACCCATGTCCAACCTTCAGAGAAAAAACACACATCGACATTGCAGGGTACTGTGGTGGCCTTGTATGCAGCAGGTGGGTTCTTAGGAGCCATCTCCTGCATTGGGCTGGGCGATGTGCTTGGACGTCGACGAACTATCATACTCGCCGCAGCAGTGCAAATGATCGGTGCTTTCCTCATGGCTAGTTCTTTTAGCTTTGCTCAGCTTGTCGTGTCACGAGTTATCCTAGGTCTGGGCACTGGTGGTCAAATAGCCACTGTTCCTGTTTGGCAATCGGAGATATCGCCAGCTAGCAAGCGTGGTGCGCATGTGGGGACTACAGGCATCTTCGCTTCTATGGGTCTTACTCTGGGTTTACTTGTCGATCTTGGGATGTCGTATGTCCCCAACAGCGCAAGCTGGCGTGTTCCAGTTGGTCTGCCTATCATACTTTCCTTAACTGTGATGATATTTATTTCTTATATGCCCGAATCCCCCCGTTGGCTGATCCAGCAGGGTCAAGTGTCTGCTGCCCGTGAGGTATTGGCAGCTCTGAGGGACACTGAAATGGACAGTGAGATGGTCAAGAAGGAGATACTTGATGTGGAGGCCTCGTTGGCTATTGCTGGTAAAGGATCTCTGCGCCAAATCTTCCAAATGGGACATCAGAGAATCTTTCATCGTGCATCTCTTGCGGCATGTGGATTAATGTTGTTACAATTTACGGGTGTTAACTCTATCACGTTCTACAGTACGTATTCTAGTCTGAATCCCATCCAATGCTCTCGCTTATGGACCCACCAGGTACGACGATCTTCCAAACCCACCTCCACCTTGAACCGACAACATCAAAGATTTTGGCGGTGATCTACCAGTTTTCCGGTGTCTTTGGTGGAATCGTTTGCGTGTCCACTATAGAGGGCTTCGGTCGTCGTGTCTTGTTGTTGTCAAGTGCAACGGCCAACACAATCTGCATGGTCCTCATTGCTGCGCTTAGTTCTCAATCCACAAACAGCATTGCCATGCACGCAGCCGTGGTCTTTATGTTCATCTTCCACTTCAGCATGATTGTCGGTTTTGGTGGGATCCCGTTTCTCTACGCATCCGAGGTGTCACCTCTCAGTTTGCGTACCACCATCAACGGTATTAGCTCTGGTATGTATTGGGCTCTGAGTGTTTTGATCGCCGAGGTCACGCCAATTGCTTTCAACGCTATCGGATGGAAATATTTTCTCATCTTTGCTTGTCTGAACTTCTCAATGATACCGATTGTTTATCTATTTTTCCCGGAAACGGCCGGCCGGTCGCTGGAAGATATAGATGAGGTGTTTATTATGTCTACCAGTTGGCTGGATCCTGTTCGTGTGGCGAAGCAATTGCCCCAGAGATTAAATGGTCGCGAACCCCAGGAAGATCGTCCTTTGGAGAAGAAAGGCGACGGAGCGCTGAAGGCCTGAGAGTATAAATATTTGTACGTGACAGGTGGAACAGAGCTTGGATTTGCGGGAATACTTCGTCAAGAAGAAATCGCAATATTACGGACGTTGATTCTGGATCGCAGACATGATTTGTTCCAATAGAAGACCCCATGGATGTCCTGTTTAATCCGGCTGGTCTCCTGGCGTAGCTACTTAAATTACTGCTTCCAGTCCTGGCTAATGGGGTTCTTAATTAGGTCGGCAGTGAGCTCCTGAATGGATTTAAGGTATTCGAGGACTGGCCTCGGGACTTTAACGGAGTTATTACTACTGATATGATTCAGTAACTGGCGTACGTCGTAGTTGGCATCCAATATGCGCTCGTTAGTGTGACGTGCAGAATGTTCGTGGCCCCTTTTAGGGGCGGCCACTGGCTTCCTAGCGCCATCATACCTTCTACCAATATAAAATCGGTATAGGAAATGGAGCCGGAAGTTATAAATAACTTGCAATTCAAATGAGGACTAGGTTCGCGCAAAGATATGTGCTTTTTGCCGGTTCCGAGTCCACAGCAAAGTTCAACGCGCCGTATACTAGCGAGGCTACGGAAGTGCATACCACTAAGCTATTTTAGGTATGGACTTGTCCGTAGTACTATAGAGGGAACGGACGTCTCTCTGGCACACTCTTTTTTAATAACTATCCCTTATTAGAAAACATCTGTCTCTATTGAGTTATCATCCTTCAACAGAATCGTCCCCAAATCTCTCTATGGCTTCATTGGAGCCGCACAAGGTTTTCCTGATAAAAATGGCACTTCCTGATTCAGGGCTCGAGCGACTTACAGGCTGCCCTATTTTTTAAGCCCGTCAATTATACTCTACCACGCGGGACGCCGGGAATTCGCAACCCGTTGCTAGAAGAATGTATATGGCCATGGTTTTGCGCAAGACAAGCACACAAATGGAAAGCGCCGCCAGTAGAAGGATGGACGAAGATACCTCAGATCGATCCTCAGACCGACGAAGTCTTTCTCCGAAAAGGCGCAAGTTGGAAACGAATGTTATTTCAGCAGCCTCCTCGATCGTGTATTGGATTGATAGAGAAAGATGGAAAGGCCGTTAATGGTCCGGCATATACCGAAGTGAAAGTTCAACCGAGGGGTAGCCAAAGCCATTTACGAATACGTGACGTGGTGCTCCCTTGTACGAATATCTTGAAAGAAGTTCACCCTCTGCCAGATGAAGGACTACTCTGGTACGGATATGTTCGTGAAAGGCAACGACAATTGAATCCCTGGGATCCAGAATTTCCAACAGATAACGAGAGGTACGGAGAAATCTCGAGGAGCCAGGTAGCATATACTACCTCAATGTGTCTGCGGGACTGTGATATTGTATTTTTTATTCTGAAATGTGGATGTGTTCGAGGACGATGGGTTAGCAATCATGGTGCTAGGATGTTACATTTTTGGCTCTGTCGTATTTAAATGAGTCTTGTGCCTGGGCAGATTTCTATTCCGATGCTGGTAACCTAGATTTCTATGTGATATGTACGTGAAACGAAGTGGCTAAACAAGATGTTCATTGAAAACCAAAGCAATACTCGGTTTTAGCTAAAAATGTTACGCATTCCTACCGGTCCGCCATAGGGATATCCTCGCCGGCAGAGCTAATGAATGGACAGCCATGAGAGTATGCTCATGGGTATGTAGTGGGGATTGAGATGACGCCGAGTACATGATCGCACCACTAGCAGTCTGTCACAGGGATATCCTCACCAGCCGAGCTACTGAATTGACGGTCGTGTGAGTTATGCTCATGGGAATGCTGTGGAGATTGAGATGACGCCAAGTCGATGATCGTAAGGAGCAAACGAACAATAGTCTCGTTCTCCTCCAGGGTATATCCCCAGGTCATGGTCCTTGAGCACCACTTTCAGGATATCAGAACACAGTGGTAGCAATATATAAAGAGGTACCTGCGAACTCACCTTGCTACTTTGGTTGATACGGTAGAAGTTGAAGGTCACGCTGTCCGTAGAGATCCCGTAGACTGTTGTATTCGTCTTCCCCCGCTCGATACGGCTGGCGTGAACGAGGCCTAGGAATCCGATTAGCGATGTTTCCAGTATGATGCTGCGGACGTACCCATGTAGCCAAGCAACTGGCGTTCACCCTTGCCCAGCTTCTCCCGAGACGTGGCTTCCACAATAACAAGGTTGGTCTCGAGGTTTGCCTGCGCTCCGTACCATAGCGCGTAATCGGCTTGACCGCACAGCATCTTCTCTCGAGACTTCATTCGGACCGTCTTCCAGAACAGGGTCTCGTAGCCCCACGACACCGAGTTTTCAGTGACGATCCGACCGTCTTCCTTGGCGAATCCCAGAACCAATCCGAGTATTATGTCGAGGCGTGCGCGGACTTGTGCTTCGGCTTTAGTGGAGCCATCATGTGCGATTTCCAGGTACTCAAGGGCTCTCTCTGGTTTGGTGAATGAGTAAACACCCTGTTTATAAGAGAAGAGGGGACTCAGCCAGCAAGGTAAAGAATTCAGTGAAGTCTTCGAGATCTTGTATGTCGTAGGGCTCCAAGTCCCACTTATCGCCTGGCTGCTCTTTGTTCGGAGTCAACTTCTTAAGCCAAAAGGATCTCGACCTCCTCTAGGGTCAAGTTGCTCATGGCTACTTCAGGTAGTTTGTGGTCGCGCGCAGCTGCCTTCTTGGCTTCCTCTAGCGTTTCTCTCATCTCGTCAATTTCCGTCTTCGAGACGCTGCTTGTCGCTGAAAGCCAGTTCAGGACCACTTCGATAAGCTCAAGAGCATGCTTGCGGAAAAGCCTCTTGGGAGCCATGGTGGTGGTGGTGGTGGTGGTGTGGTGGTGTTGTTGTTGTTGTGAGAAGGGAAGGTGAGAGTGAGAGTTTAAGCGTCAACGACAGCAGTAATGTTCATCAGTCCCGTGTACAATTAGTCACACCAAATATCACCTAGATAACCAGTATTGCTACAACCCACACCGCAACGCCTTCACTTCCTACATTCCGTCAGTAGACCTTAGCAAACTTTCCCTTCGACCGGTGACGGCGACGGAGAGGAACCCGAACACGGTAAAGGATAGCGCGGCGGTGATGGCCACTGGAAACTGATGTCACAGCCACCGGAGAGCGAGCTTCTTCATAGCAACGGCCAAGTGAAGTGGAAACCCAAATACGTGCGGCTCACTGACGACGCTGCTATCGTCTCCCTCTGCATACATGACAAGATCTACCGAGCCACTAATATACCCTGGGACTTTGATTCAAAGGGAGACATCAAAAAGGTCCGAGTCCCTATCGGTCCCACAATCATGATCAGTCAGAACGGTCTCTAGACTGTGCCCGTCTGGAAAGATTGGTATATATTCACCGGTAGAAGTAACGGCTCGGGATGGCTCCTGAAGGGAATGGTGAACCGGTTCATGGGTGGCCTGGTACTACCCGCAAAAGACCCCGTCTTCACTGTGAACATTAAATTCGACCGCTTCGAGCCCCTAGCCGGGAACAAACCAGCCAAAGACCGGATTGCATGTGCCAAGGACAACAAAGTCTACTTCGGAGGAAGTCCATACAGCCATGACCCAATCATCATCCTCAGCGAGAGAGAAAACAAAGGCATAATCAGGACGCTACGAGAACAAGCACACTTCCATCCGAAAATATACGAGGCAGCTGATGAGCACAACCCCATGAAATCTGCCTAAGAGCCCCTGAGCAAACTGAGGACTACAACGCTGCGCTCCAAAACGAATGGAGTGAGGAAGACTGCACCGCCCAACGGATCGGTACCTCCTTCAAATGGAGCGAGATCACGAAGGCCTCATGCAGATCTCAGCGTACGATACGGACAGCAACAACCATGGTAGCCGCACTGGCGTCGAAACGCCGCAAGACAACCACAAACAGACCAGTCACCCTTGCCGCGGCAGAAACAGTACCATCCTCAACGCCCAGCGCAGCCGCCACTCCGGACCCTACAGAACCAATCACAGCAACAACGCAGTCATCAACTACAGCAGCAATGCAGCCACCGACCCCTACAGCAAAACAGGCGATAACAAAACCAAAGCAGTCGGAGCGAACAGTAACCAGAAGAACCAAGGACGCAGGTACAATGACCGATAGCGAACAATGGATCAACAAGATCGAAGCGACCCGCATCCCCACACCGGAAATACAACCGCTCGAAACCGTACAACGCCTGCCCAAGCTGCAATCGTTCTACAACCTGGATAGGCTGGAAGCTACCCGATCATTTCCAACACTTACGACAGCAGCCAACCGCCTAGAAGTTCTCGCTGCCAGCTGCACATGTAGTAAAAAAGCCCAGACGTTTCTACGTCTACCGGCGAGCACAACATGACGGGCTCGCAGGCTGCAACTCTGTTCGACCGAACCACCCAAGGTAGACTGCCCGGGTACATGAACATGACCCTATCAAACATCGCAACCAACAGCGACGGAGCGGAAATCAGAGACACCCTCCGCTTCGCTCAAAGCCTAAGCGTGTTTGCCACAGCGCTCGACCAGGAACCACGAGAGGACCCCGCCATCGTTATCTTCCGGCGCCTCCACACGGAATGGGCCAAACTGATTCCGGTCCGTCACAGAGCCAACCCCGAAACCAACCCGTTCTAAGTTCGTATACAAACCTCGCTTAGAGGAACCGATGGCAGCGTCACAGCAGCCAACACCCCCGTGCATTGGATAATTTTATTAAAATGGTTATCAAGGCGTTGCGAAATGATGAAGTCTTTCGACATGAGTTTGGAATCCAAGGCCAAGTCACATTTCACGACCGCGCGAACCCATCGGAAACTTCGCTGAACAGCTTGGAGCGAATGAATCTTCAGGGCGTGCGAACACCCCAACGGCTCGCAAACACTAGGCCTGGGAGAGGTAGAGGAAGGGGAAGAGGAGCGGCACAGGGAAAGAAGAGGGATAGCACTGCACGAAGACGCAAGCGTCGTGCCGACCAGTTCTGCGTGCACCTTGTGGCTGATGAACGACCATGTTTTCGGAGTGAACAACATTGAAAATGACCTTAACGCCCGTAGGGATATAAGAAAGGGCCAATACATCTGAGTAACATGAAAGAAACCAATCAGAGAAGAATACAGGAGTGACAACACAGTTAGGCACACTATTGTATGGAGTTGTACGGGCACGGTTGAGCTTGTGGACCTTGAAGTCGGCCCCAGACTTTGGCATTGGGTGGCTCATACCCTGAGCAGGCCTAACCTGGTGCATTACATATCTTGACGGTCATTGTGAAAGACAGAGCTGATAGAGGTGTAAATGGACTGGAGAGTTACAATTGCGAAGACATCGCTACTGGGGCTCTGATCACATCTCATTATCTCTATAGTAAAGCTGAGCGCCAATTCTCTCCAGATTATTCCGTCAAAGCTTTTTATGCCCTGGAAAGTTCAAGGTTAGTGGTGTCGGAGCCCAGAGTATGTCTCGGCTAAATTAACATGTGTTTCTGCAGTCTGTGCAATTCCTTACGGAGTAATAGAATACAAAAGGAGAAAAAACAGCAAAAACCAGTGCCAAGCACACGTTTGCATCTGACCGCCATTCTGCCCCGCGGATACCCCTCGGATGTGCAGCACGGTTCAGCTGAGGGCTCGTGGCCACATGTACAATAGTTATCTGATTCCAATGGCAATTCCAATGGCAATTCCAATTGCGATTGTACCAAGAATCAAACATCCGAAGGTCACCGAAATTCGTATTCGGAAAGGGATGTACCAGGCACCAGAGAAATCTTGGGACCGGCCGCAAGCGGAGCACGTCAGATACTCCGCATAAAACTGGTTTATGAATTGGATATGTCTGAGGGTAATGCATTTGCTGTTAATTGTACACGGAGTATGGCTCCATATACAGGAACAACACTGCGGTATCGGCTAGACCCTGTGAATAGACGGTGAGATACTGTAGCCAATAATAAGATGAATAATAGCTTGGAGCTAAATGAGAAAGAAAAAAAAAAGAAAAAAAGGGGAAGCCGGGGGACTAGACACCGGGGGACTAGGCACCGGAGATAGGCGGAGACTATATAAGGTCGCCCTCCTGCCACTTTCTCTCTCTTTCTCTTCTTCCCTCTCTATCCTCACTCATATTATTCTCGTCCGTTTATTTAGGTTCGTATAAACCTTGTCAGCAGGTCAGATCACTTCTCGTAGAGACAGTGGTCACATACAACCGCCACAATTTTCGCGACAAGTCTTAACTCGTGAGTGCTCCCTTCACCTCTATATAGAAGCAACTATGATCATACAAGTCCAATTGCTAACTCCCCATCAGCCGGCACCACCCGTTCAACGGCCGACGCTCATCCAACCGTGGAGGAGCATCGGATTGCGCACCCTACATCCGCTAAAGCTACGCTTATCACACTACTCTAAATTCGCCAATTCATCCCGCTATACGCAATGGCTCCTCACGCTAGCTCGGATGTTGCCAATGGCACCCTGAACGGGTCGGTTCGCCGAGAACTATTTACTGTCCAGTCTCCCAATGTCGTCTACACCGACGACGAGATCAAGTCGAAGTACGCCTATCAGACTACTGAGATTACCCGCACCGCGGACAACAAGTTGGTTGCCACTCCCAAGGCCACCAACTACAACTTCAAGGTCAACCGCAAGGTTGGCAAGGTTGGTATGATGCTGGTCGGTTGGGGTGGAAACAACGGTTCCACCGTGACTGCTGGTATTTTGGCCAACCGTCGTAAGCTCTCGTGGGAGACTCGCGATGGCAAGCAGACCTCCAACTACTACGGTTCTATCGTCATGAGCTCCACTGTCAAGCTGGGCTCCGATGCTAAGACCGGAGAGGAGATCAACATCCCCTTCCACGACCTCCTCCCCATGGCCCACCCTGACGATCTGGCCATTGGCGGTTGGGATATCAGCAGCCTGAACCTTGCCGAGTCCATGGACCGTGCTCAGGTCCTGGAGCCCACCCTCAAGAACCAGGTCCGCAAGGAGATGGCCGAGATGAAGCCGCTGCCTAGTATCTACTACCCCGACTTCATCGCTGCCAACCAGGAGGACCGTGCCGACAATGTCATCGAGGGTGACAAGGCTTGCTGGGCTCACGTTGAGCAGATCCAGAAGGATATCCGCGACTTCAAGGCCCAGAACGGCTTGGACAAGGTCATTATCATGTGGACTGCCAACACTGAGCGCTACGCCGACATCATCCCCGGTGTCAACGACACTGCCGACAACCTGATCAACTCGATCAAGGCTGGTCACCTGGAGGTTGCTCCTTCCACCGTGTTCGCTGTCGCTGCCATCCTCGAGGACACTCCGTTCATCAACGGCTCGCCCCAGAACACCTTTGTTCCCGGTGCCCTTCAGTTGGCCGAGCAGCGTCGTGCTTTCATCGGCGGTGATGACTTCAAGTCTGGCCAGACCAAGATGAAGTCGGCTCTTGTTGACTTCCTCATCAACGCCGGTATCAAGCTCACCTCCATTGCCAGCTACAACCACTTGGGTAACAACGACGGCAAGAACCTGAGCTCCCAGAAGCAGTTCCGCTCCAAGGAGATCTCTAAGTCCAACGTTGTGGACGACATGGTTGCCGCCAACCACATTCTCTACGAGAAGGATGAGCACCCCGACCACACTGTCGTCATCAAGTACATGCCTGCTGTCGGTGACAACAAGCGTGCGCTGGATGAATACTATGCCGAGATCTTCATGGGTGGCCACCAGACTATCAGCTTGTTCAACATCTGTGAGGACTCCCTTTTGGCCTCGCCCCTAATCATCGATCTTATCGTGCTCGCCGAGATGATGACCCGTATCAGCTGGCAGTGTGACGGCGAGGGTGATGACTACAAGGGATTCCACAGCGTCCTGAGCATTCTCAGCTACATGCTCAAGGCTCCCCTGACTCCTCCAGGTACCCCTGTTGTCAACGCCCTGGGTAAGCAGCGCTCTGCTCTTATCAACATCTTCCGTGCTTGCGTTGGTCTCCAGCCTGAGTCGGAGATGACCCTTGAGCACAAGCTGTTCTAAAGGACTTGTCCGTGCCCCCTAGTTTGATCATTACGCGCCAACTATAGTCACTCGTTTATCAATATAAGCACAAACATGCTACAACCATACTTCCTATTCATAAAGCCGTAGATTTAATATAAGCGTATTCCCATTCTCTAAACATATTCGCCTCGCCGTTCGTTGGTCCAACTAAGCCTAAGTAAGCATACTTCTTATTCCCTAGGTATGTCGTGCTCATAAAGCTATAGTTTATATGCAATAAGTGTATTCCAGTTTTTTCTTAACTACATTCAACTCTATTCATTGGTCCGACCAAGCTCAGAATAAGCATTCAAAGCCAACTGGCCACCAAGATGCGCATACAAAAGATTCCCACCCTTAATCTCCCCACGACGAATCATATCCATCATGCCCGCAAAGCTCTTCCCCTCATAAACCGGATCAGTAATGAAAGCCTCCATCTTGGCCGCATATTCAATCGCATCCCAAGTCTGTCGATCCGGAACACCATAAATCCCAGCATGATACCGTTCATCAAGCTCAACGTCCTCCTCCGTAATATCCTCCTCTTTCAGTCCAATCTTAGCAGCCGTATTCTTCGCAATCCTCAAAACCTGCGCCTTGGTAGCCTCAACAGTTGCAGAAGCATCAATCCCAATAACCCTCCTCTTCCCATCCTCGGGATAAATCCGTTCCAACAACTTAAACCCAGCAATCATCCCCGCAAAAGTCGACCCAGTAACAGCACAAACAAGAACAGTATCAAAGAAAACACCCATCTCCTTTTCCTGCTGTCGGACCTCAAACGCCCACCGCGCAAATCCCAATCCGCCAAGCGGATGATCCGACGCTCCAGCAGGGATATAGTACGGTTTCTCGCCGTCGGCTCTCGCTTCTTCCACGACAGCCTGCGCAGTATTCTTATGTTCGATTCCGAACCCAGATGGATCGAGTCGCACATCAGCGCCCATTAGTCGCGACAGCTGGATATTGCCTGTACTCTCGTAGCCTGGGTCCACCCATTCTACCCAGTGTTCCTGGACAAGACGGGCTTTGAGACCCGAGCGCGCGGCAACCGCGGCGACTTGGCGGGTGTGGTTACTTTGGACGCCGCCGATGGAGACGAGGGTCGTGCAGCCTTGGGCTTGGGCGTCGGCAAGGAGGTACTCGAGTTTGCGGGTTTTGTTGCCGCCGTAGGCATACGCAGAGTTTAGGTCATCGCGTTTGGCGTAGATTGTTACGGGATTGGGGTTGTTTTTGGCGAGATCGGCGGTGATGCGGGGGAGGGGGTGGATTGGAGATGGGCCTAGGAGGAGGGGAGTTCGGGGGATTGTGGAGAAGGGGGGTGGGAGGGTGACAGGGTTTGTGTCTTGGGTCTTTGTTGGAGATTCCATGGTGGTTGGATGGAGGTGTAGAATGAGGAGGTGGTTTGGTGGTGGCTTGGTGTAGAGACTTGCTCTAAAGTTAAGACAAGGAAAGCAACAGTGATAGACGGCAGACTGGATGTAGAGATGTCTTGAAACAAGTTGATCTTGTACGGGCTTGATATCGTGGACTATATACCCCTCACAGATATCGCCGCGGCGATGCCCGCGGCGAACAGAGTTGGGTTCGACAACACGAAGCAGCCCCTCCTAGACCCCTCAGCACATGAATAGAGTTATACGTGGGTAATATACAACCTATCACAGACCTTCAGGGACGTGATCCCGAAGTAGAACCGAGATTGGCGTCTTTATCAGTAGCTCGTTGGTGCGGACTTGGTGGGGAGTTCGAACTGTTGTCCGTCGGAATATAAACTGCGCGGTATTGTAACTATATTCCGCGGCTATTGATATGATTGAAATGACTATATCTCATGGTTGGAGATCCTTGGTATCAACTTGAATCGAGAAGAAGTGAGACGACAGTCTTAGATGTGAACAAGCGTGGACTTTAGCCCTTGGACGTTTTGATACTATGATTATGCGGTTTGCATCAGCGAGCAATGGATCTGCCAGTTACTATGCTATCATCCTACTGACCCTCAATTGACAGCTCCAATGATATCACTGCCTTTGGCAACATATTTGAATGATCCCAGCAGTGATCCCAAGGTGGCGCGGCGGGGTTGAGTACCTTGATGACAACCTCAGCCCTACATAAGTTCATGCTCCCCCATGGATTGTACTGTTATATAGAAAATCAGATCCAAGAAATAATTAAAGTCATATTTTACATCAGTTATTTTTTTATCGGCTGGCAAATATTGCATTTATTGCATGTCGACGACACAACGAACACAGTCACCCTCCTTCATCTGATCGAAGGCCTTGTTGATACCATCCAGCGACTGGCGGTGAGTGATGAACTCGTCCACCTTGAGCTCGCCGTTGAGGTAGTCGTCGACAAGACCGGGCAGTTGTGTGCGACCCTTGATGCCACCGAAGGCACATCCCTTCCAGACACGACCAGTGACGAGTTGGAATGCTGTGACATGTGTTAGAGAATATACCTAGAAAATTGCAGAACGGGGATAACTTACGCCGAGTGGCGATCTCCTGACCAGCAGCAGCAACGCCAATAACAATGCTCTCACCCCAGCCCTTGTGGCAGGCCTCGAGGGCAGCGCGCATGACGCCGACGTTACCAGTGCAGTCGAAGGTGTAGTCACAGCCACCATCAGTCATCTCAATCAGGTGCTCCTGAATGGTCTTGCCTTGGAGCTTGGTGGGGTTAACGAAGTGGGTAGCGCCGAACTTGCGAGCCCAGGCCTCTTTGCCATCGTTGACATCGACGGCAATGATCTTACCGGCCTTGTTCTTGACCGCACCCTGCACAACAGAGAGACCAACACAGCCGACACCGAAGACGGCCACGTTGGAGCCCTCCTCGACCTTGGCGGTCACGACAGCCGCACCGTATCCGGTGGTGATACCGCAGCCGAGCAGACAGGATCGATCGGTGGGGATCTTGGGGGTGACAGCGACGACCGAGATATCGGCAACGACAGTGTACTGCGAGAAGGTGGAGGTACCCATGAAGTGCAGGAGGTCCTTGCCGCGGGCCTTGAAGCGGGAGGTGCCATCGGGCATAACACCCTTACCCTGGGTAGCACGGATCTTACCACAGAGGTTAGTCTTGCCAGACTTGCAGAACTTGCACTCGCGGCATTCGGGGGTGCTATCATTGTCAGTGGATTGTCATGCCGAGATCGGAGCCGAAAACGTACTAGAGAGCGACGACGTAGTCGCCGACCTTGACGGAGGTCACGCCCTCGCCGATGGACTCGACGATACCAGCACCCTCGTGACCGAGGACAACGGGGAAAGCACCCTCTGGATCCTTGCCGGAGAGAGTGTAGGCATCTGAGGGATGTCAATAATTGTCTATCTCGGGGTTTTCGGCAGTTTGTTTCGTTTTCCTTAAGGCGGGGCTGATGGCGGGGCTTACCGGTATGGCAGACACCAGTGTGGTGGATTTTAATGCGCACCTCACCAGCCTTGGGGGGAGCGACCTCGATGTCCTCAACGGACAGAGGCGCACCAGCTTCCCAGGCGATGGCAGCCTGTCAATTGTTCAGCATTCATGCTGTGCTGGTCGACGTCATATGTGCAGGGCGGTCGGATCGAGCTTACCTTGCAAGTGATGGTCTGTCCGAGTCAGCGGGGTTATTCAATAAGGAAAAGAAGAGCAATTTACCTGTCCTACTGTGCTAGCCATTGTGTATGTTGATTTATCAACTGGGCACTATTAGCAATTTCCAGGAATGCCAAGAAAAAGAAGACTCACATCAAAGATACGATGGTGAGAAGAAGGGGAAGAAGGGGAATGACGGGCTTTTGAAGGAAGCCCCGGTGGATCCGGTGAGGGGAACGATAGCATCAAAAGAAGTTGGAGATCCGGACAGCTACAACTCCCCTCATATTATTCTCCTCACTTGGGGAAATGCAAGATAAGCTGTTTCCCGTATAGAATAATTTCCCGTGTAGAATACTGCGTGATCGGATCGATACTCCCGAATCCCGCGGGAAATCTAGGGGTTCATATACCTTGTTTGTCTAGGACTACATATAAATATCAGCGCTATATATAGGCACTATACGGAGCAATAATTGATAGGGGAAATTACCTATTTGCATTCGTTATTCTTTCCTATTTGATCATGGCATGACACTAATGTTATACCAAAGACATGTCGCCGACCTCGGAAGCGGGAACCGTCGTTATATCCACCATCTGGCAACTCGCACCGAAAATCTAGGAGATAGTGTTCAGTCGGAGGAAAATTGACTAGAATAACGGCTATAAATACTCGGCAGACGTCAACTCCGAGGTAATACGCCAGAAAAACAATGAAGCAACAAAGCAAAAGAAAAACAATGAACGCCCGCCCTTGATTTTCGCGGCCGTTAGGTTGTTTGATGACAGCAAGGAATAGATCTCGAGTGTGAGAGAAAGATAACCCAAGCTGAGCTCTATTTTGCGGACCCATTCAACATACATGATCACATCTTCCTTGGTTTGGTCAAGTCTTTTGTATTTTGAGCCCCGGGAGAGGAGAGGTAGATATCTCCCGTGCTAGTCTCTATGGTACACGGAAAGGAGCCGATCCTGTCTGCTTCCTCGCCAATAGGTCATCGACCAGATTGTCATCCCTCTAGACCTCCATATAAAGCCACTGTCGGGCCGGAGACAACCGGGTCGAACCTCGCCAATCACCTAATTCATCGAATGCATGTTGCCAAAAGCGAAAAATAGTCATCGACAATATGTTTATTATCAAAATAGACCCTTAGTTGCCTGACATGCTGCCACTCTGCATCATGGCGGCGTTCTGCTCCTGGAAGCGCTCGTTCAGGCGGGCGGAGCTCTTGAGGTTCTTGTCGACACAGCGCATGACACAAGTCTCCTCGCGGTTGATGAGGGACTTGGTGGTGAAGTCGTTGACACAGTCATCGAAGCAGCGCTGGACCATCTTGGAGTACATCTGAAAGACAGGATGTTAGATCTTGAGCATGGGAGAAGACAGGTGGTTCACGGTAAGGACGCAGCATCACGGGCAGGGGGATGGGCGCAAGGTCGGATCTTCAATGAGAAGGGCAGGAGGTACATACAGTCATGAACTCCTTCATCTGCTTCCGCTCCATGCGGGCAGCGAACTCGCGCTGTTCCGATGCGTTAAGTCTGTGACTTGGGTATTAGCGGTTTGCTCAGAGAATTATCCGGAGGAACGATAGGATAGAAAACATGGTAAGGAGGTAGAGAGGTGCAAAAGAGGTACTTACCCGTCCATTGTGATAGATGAATGAGATCTAGATGTTTTGATGGTAAGATGCTTTCTACAAGTCTCCTGCCAGCTGCCAGCTCCGCTGGTTCTGAGCTTCTCGGGTGCCGGAGAAATATTAGCCCACGCGACTCAAAACGTTGTGCCTGAGCTACCAGGCCACCACTTGATCAGCATCTCGGCTTTGTTATTTGTGTTGAGCCCCTCATTTTACCCTAGTTAACACGAAATTGAGGGCTATGAGAATCGGTCTTTACAGAAATGGAATAAAGCTGGGTGTATTGTAATGATCCTTTGTCAGCTCTACCTACTTCGGGGCCCGCAAGAGGGTTTATCCGAGCGGAGAAACAGTCCAAAGCTGGAGAACATAATCCACGTGATTCTCAACGTCACCAATATCACTTCAACTTCACTTCATGACGCTATAGACAGCCGATCCCACCAGAGGAATCTTTATGTGTGTCAAAGGGGGTTTCGGCCAGAAAGTTACCACCCAGGGGTAAAAAGTAGTCTGGTTTAATTATCATATCTACCCTTTCGACAACCTAAATGACGTATAAGAGGTCAAAAACTACATGTAGATCATGCGCCCCGAAATGATATCTAAAGAGGATGGAAATAACGCCAAAAACGCCACTTCAAGGTAAGTACGACGTTTTGTGTCTGTGAGGCGATCTACCCCGTACCGGGGAGACATTGTCCCGCAATAGACCAAGTGAGAATTGATATGCTCTAACTGAGCAGAAAATCCGTATACTTCAAGATGATTACCCACAATATTAACCCTAGACAAAAATAAAAATAAAAACCAAGAAAGGAAGAAAAGAAGAAAATCGGTAGCTGTGCCGGTAGATTTGAAACCCGAAATATAAGCGACTAATTTCCCAAAACCCCTAAAAGGGTCGAGACGCGTTCCAGACAATCCAAGACCCGTTCGTTCCAGACTAACGAACTTCCAGGGCCCCGGATGTTCTTCACATTGTCAAATTCTAGAAATTCCAGAAATTCCAGAAATTCCACAAATTCTAGGAGAGCTATATTATGTATAGATACTCTGTACTCTAGATGTATAAATTATGTATCCTAATATAACCTTTGTAGCATGTACCTGTAAAATTAATCTACATGGCAGGCGACCCTGACCCATCTTTCAGCTTATTCCGGGAACCTTGGGTCTCTAGATTGGCTATTCATAGTTTCATAAATTGAATTTCCCTTGACATCTCTGTCATATATGTTTGGCTCTTGGCTCGTGCCCCCGACTCATTGACCCTTTCGAAACCTTGCCCTTCATCCCTTCCATCAGACTCACCCTCCTTTTCTTCTCATCCTCTTTGTTCTCAGATTCTTGTTCTCGAATATCTCTGCTCTGCTTCCCCTCGAAAACGTGCCTGTTGCTATTTTTGGCCCCAGCCCCAGAATTCCACACGAGGGCGGTGACGCAGGGCCGCTTCAACTTTCCCGAAATCCCTCGATCGACACACCCATTTCCCTGCGCTACTCCGATTCCTAGTCTCTTAGATTTCATCTCGAGTCGCCTTCCGGACTCGCCATGGTGACGGTCGGCAAGTCGCACCCGGGTGCTGACCCCGTCCACCCTCTCCCCACCTCACCTGATCCGGTCGGCGCCAACTCCCCGCCATCAAAGCGAGATTTAGCGTCATGGTGGAAGCAGTTCAAACGGAGCACCAGAAAAGATGAATTGAAAGGTAAGCTACGTTTGTTGAATGTGATATTTGAACGCCGGCGACCGCGTAAATGTTTCGTGGGGCGCCCCCGGCTCGCGGCGGTTCGCGACTGTCCTTTCCCCTGAGCATCCCGCGTATACTCTTGTCGCACAGGGATAATTGTTACAGTTCACCATGTCGGGGTTGAAAACTTCGCTCTTCAATTGATTTGTTGAGTTCATCGTCTCGAACTGGTTTGCTAACCCGTTTGTCGCAGTAGAAACACCCCGCGGCATCTTCGGCGTTCCGCTCAATGTCAGCATCAAGTATGCCAATGTGGCAATCTCCTTGACCAACGATCATGGTCAGAGCTCCATTTATGGATACGTCCCCATTGTTGTTGCGAAGTGTGGAGTTTTCCTAAAAGAGAAAGGTTAGTATCTGCCTTGTTATACTCGATGAATTATCGCTGACATGTTCTGGAATAGCAACGGACGTTGAGGGCATCTTTCGTCTTAACGGATCAGCCAAACGTATTAAGGACCTTCAGGAGGTCTTCGATTCCCCCGAGCGATATGGCAAAGGACTCGACTGGTCCGGCTACACCGTCCACGACGCAGCAAACGTACTTCGCCGATACCTGAACCAGCTGCCTGAGCCCATCGTACCATTGGAGTTCTATGAGCGCTTCCGTGAACCCCTACGTATCTACCAGCGACAAGTCCTAGAAGACAAGGACACGGCCGATGCCGAGAAGTTCGACCACGCAAAGGCTGTTGAGACATACCAGAACCTCATCATCGAGCTGCCCCCGTTGAACAAGCAACTCCTCCTCTATATCCTCGATCTTCTCGCGGTTTTTGCCTCAAAATCCGATCAGAATCGCATGCCGTCGGCTAATCTGTCCGCGATCTTCCAACCAGGCATGCTGTCTCACCCCCAGCACGATATGTCGCCAGAGGAATATAAGTTGAGTCAGGATGTGTTGATCTTCCTGATTGAGAATCAGGACCACTTCCTGTTCGGCATGAGTGGTACAGCTGCCGATGAGCAGACCATGAAAGAGGTCGAGGGAGGCATTCCACGACCCGCATCTCACCAGACCGTCCGACGATCAGTATCCAACGCCAGTGCGAACACCGAAAGCCATCGCAAGTTGGACAGCATTCGTCGAAATGTCTCCGTTTCGTCGCGCAACTCCCGTCATTCGAACAACACTCAGAGCCCAGTAACTCCCACCTCAATCACCGCTGGTGGTGGTAGTGGAGGTGGTGTCCACCGAAGCAACACTCTGCCCTCGAAGATGGGCCCCGTTTTGACTTCTGCTCGTTATTCACGAGCCAACGACACAAGCTCGAACAACCTTTCCAGCCTCGCTGTTTCCCATCAGAGCTCTCAGTCGACGAGCCGGACGCCATCGGTGCGTGAAGAGCCTGAGCAGCCTCAGCCGATCCCTGAGTCTGTCTCCCATTCGGCTCCTCGGTCAGTCCTCGAACAGACTTCTGAGAAGCGTCCTGAGCAACGCCCTGAGCAGCGGACCCCTAGCCAGTCAACTAGCTCATTGACTCCAGGCGGCGCCTATGTGCACACGTCAACCCATGGCCCATTGCCTCCGGCAACTGCAGAACGTCTTAGTCTTAACGAAACTGCCAGGCCGCATGAGAATAGCAACGCATCGGTCCCCTCACCCTCTGTCGCTTCACCCCCACAGGTTGTCACCCCGAGCCGTGAGCGCAAGCTTTCAAATTTCTTCACCAAGTCACCTCCAGGTGATAGTGAACTAAGAGAACCACGGCAACCCAATCGCTTGAAGAAGAAGCGCATCCCCGGTAGTGCGAGCATAAGCGCACAAAGCTCGACCAACTCACTCCACGCCTCGAGTTTAGACCCCAGTGCGGATCTCGAACCTAGGCACGACAACCGGTCTGTGGAAGCTGCTGTTGGCGACACCACTCCGAGACCGCCAAATGCCGCGACACTCGGCAACCGAGAAAATCCTTTTGACTCGAATCCGGCTCTCACAGAGAGTACTTCGCAGCCTCACACTGACCACTCTCTGCGACCTAAAAAGTCGCGCACACCCTCCATGAATTCGCGTTCATCATTCACCGATCAGTCTGACATGGATCAGCCTGATGATGCCTCTCGCCATGAAAATCGTCGTAGTTGGCGGTTCCATCGGTCGTCCAAGCGCACCAGCGAACAACTTGGGCTAGGTTTCGCGTCTCCACCCCTGTTGGCGACGAATCCCCGAGCCGAACAAAGCACCAGTTCAATCGGCAGCGGTCACTATCAAAGCACGGACCTCTCTAGCCACCCACTGAGCTTGGATGCTGGCGTTCAAGGCACTTCGTCCACAGGATCCGAGCACGAGAAGAAGAGTTTGTTCGGAAAGTTCAAGGCGAAGGTTGCCCAGGTTGTTAAGGATGATCGTGAGCGCACAAAGAGCCCCACCCGGTCGGAGGATGACCCTACCCTCACCACCCAGTCCCTTTCTCCCATTCCCACAGAGTCGACAAATGGCAACCCTGCCCCAGTCGATGTGCCACGGGAACAGCCCAAGGAAGAGCATACGCGTTCTCCCGTGTCCCCCCTGCCTGGCGCTGGCCTTCCTCCCTCTATCCCCGAAGAGCCGCATACTCCCGAGACGTCTACGGCCGACGCTGCCGTTGAAGAAAAGACGTTCGCTCAGCTCCCCGCTACCGAGCCCGTACTTTCACCGGAGCCAACAGTGTCCCATGAAATCCCGAAAGAGACCGCAGGACCGTCTACCTCGGCTGCTTGATCACCTTCAAAATGTTTTCACAAAGTGTTTCCATTCTCCCGTTTCTATTATTATCACGATTGCTCTTCCGTCGATTGCTCCTTTACATTTTATCCAGTTGTGCAGGATTTGTTTGACCATTTGAGAAGGAATGGCTTATTCACGGAGCGTTGGCGTCACCTGAGGCGTTTGAATGAGGTTGTTTTTCTCATCTTCTCCTTTCGTTCGTGATGAATGGGCTTCACCCTCGTATTCGTGACCCTATTTCGCTCCCATCCCTTTGCTATCGAGTGGATGGCGTGATATTTTTCCCAGTCCCCTTTGAATGATCCCCCATGTATTCTCTACCCCGTTGCTCTCACCCTCTCCCTGTCTCTGAATGGTCCGAAGCTTTTCATATTATTAGCCCGTTTCCGGATTTCAGTTGATTACGTTGCCATGTGGAATGAATGTACGTCTGTCTCTGCAATTGCAGCCGGTCTGTCTTGATCTTTTTTCGTGTTTTTCTTTTCCCGATCTCGTCCTATTCTTAGGTTCAGCTTTCGAAATCGGTCTGTTGTTATTGTTATAAACCCTATGACAAGAATATGGATGTTGCTTTTTCAAAGCTTCTTTCGAGCTTCTTCTACATAGTTGTAGGGTGTGTCGGTGGCTCGAGTGCCGCGCCGCGGAATCTGGGAGAATTCGTCAATTCACATCATCCCAATGGTATTTATTGGCTCGGAACTCACCGAGAAAGAATAAATCCCTTTTTCTTTGTACTTGTTGGTCGTGACGGTGATGTTGTCGCCTAGAAGACTAAGGGATGATGTGGACCTTCGAGTTGACCGACGAGTCAGCGACTCACCATCAGGTGCTTTGGCTATTCCTACGACTAAGCAGCAAGATCACACCCACGGAATGGCCAGTTATACTCTCCTGCACTGATGATGATAACCTTCTTTTATCTATACAATACTGAAGCCACCAAATAGTTAGGTGTAACTGCTCGCTGTGTTGCTTCAAGGCAGAATCCAGTCCATTTAGGGCACTTGGGTCACCTAAAAATGTAAGGCATGATGCGTTCCTGTGACAAAAGATTGCTTTTCATGGCGTTATTAGTAATATCACGGCGTTGCTTGCTTCAAGGATCGATTGCCTTGGTGTCTCATCAACTAAACAGGCAGCATAGAAGGGCTTTTAAGGAAATCACAATGAATATCAGAGATCAAGCTAGTGAGAGGCCAGCCAAGTGCTCATGCCTTTTTGTTTCATATGCTTAGTTTCCTATACCAGTAGCGTAGCTCATTCCGTTACAACTCCCACACTCTACATAAACAGAATCGGAAGATCAGAAGGAAACTCTAACTCTTTCGCCTGGCATAGATTGTGACAAGATTCCCTCCACGAGCCTAGAAGGCGAGAAGTTCGATGTTGCACTGACAAATGACGGCTCTGTAGTAACGTTCATACTCAAAGGCACAACATCCGTCGATAGCTCACCGTGGTAGTCGACTGGTGAGATAGAATGCGCGGCGGCTTCATGAGTGCAGTTCTCGTTCCTCTGTTGAAACTGGAGGCGATCTTGTAGCTCGGCGACTTGTCTTTCTAATCTGCTAGCACGTTGTGCCAGTTGTGAGTGCTCTGTGGTGTGAAGGGTATCAAACCGAGGCAAGGTTGGCCATATTGGCCTCGATCCGGATAACTGATAGTATGATAGCAAAACAGCTGTATGTTGTAGGCACCTATTTACAACGATAAAGGAAAGAATAATAGTTCACGTCATTTAAAATTCCAAAAACATCTCAAGAAAAAGCAGAAAACCTTCTAAACGAACTACAGTACTGCAGTAAGAGCCGATACAATTTTATGAATTTTGTGATCGAAAATGATGTTGTAGCCCGAAATACAAGGCAGCAATTAATTCATGCCTAATATATCGGGCGAGATGGTATTAACGAAGGTCACAGCCAATCACCGTCGAGCTGTCATCCCCATTGAAGACCCTCATTTCCATCCAGATCAGCCGGGAGCTGCTCAAGGTTTGTTTTCCACAGAAAACTGCCAGTTGATTTCTGCAATGACCCCAGATATCTCTTCCGCGCCAGGGGCTTCCTCTTCGACACCCCAGGCCCCCGACGAGAAGCCATCCGCCCCTCCCGTCAACATCCTCCCCTCGCTGATAGCCCGGATCTATTCAATCGCGCACCCAGCACTCCTTTTGGCATTGGGCGCTACCCGTTTCGAAGCATTGGTTGCTGATCCTACTAAGGAGCTCCTTTCCACTTTACCATGGCTTACCCTTCTACAAATTTTCTACGTGGTCCTTTGTCTTCCGCCCGCTGGATCGACACCGTCAACGGAGACGAGCGCGTCCGCCCCGGCTGATGGCAAGTCAAGTCCTCGGGCATCTTGCTCTGGTAGTGCCGTGCGCCATGGAAAACATGGAAAGCGGAAGCAGCACGCCAACAGTTGGGCGTGCATTTGGTCCCGGTCACTGGTACGAGATATTTTTCCTATTGAGTGGAAACCGCGGGTCATAGATACTGACCCGATTTTCTAGCCGGCCCTCCTCTCGCTCTCTCTAACCTTTGCCTTGGCCACCCCGGTCCTCACAATCCTTCTGGTCCTCTTCGGCGCCCCGCTCACAACGCACAATCTCGAGACCGTCCTGTGTGCGGCCCACATGGCCGTGCTATCCGCGACGGCCCTGATCTACGCCCACGGGGTGGACCGCACCGTGTGGAACGAGGTTTGGGGAATTGCCCGTCCAGCTGATGCGGTCTGGGGCAGTGCGCTCGGCACAGGCTTGGGTGCATGGTTAGGCGCTATTCCTATTCCGCTTGACTGGTAAGTCATACGTCAATACTATACTTCAAATGCCAAATATGCAAATAGATGGCTAACTCGACATGAAGGGACCGACCTTGGCAGGCATTCCCAATCACGATTCTCGTTGGAGCATACATCGGATACGCCGTTGGCTCTTTGCTTTCTCGTACTCCATTGGTTTACGGCAAGCGTGTCAAATTCACATCGGAGAACTTGAGCGAGACCGAAAAGAAGACTAATTAGGGATTTTGTCGTGGACTCCGTCTATATTCACGCACTAAGGGATCTCTCTGAAGGTACATTCCTGTCTTGTATTAGCATAAAAGACCCTTACAAGACTACCACCACCAGTTATAATTGGTTTTAGATATCCAAAATATTAATTTGTTAATGTTTAAGGTTATACATAGAAAAGTCGCTTTCACAAACTAAGCCTCCCTACTTTCTAGTTATCTGCCGTCTACCTACCTATAAAACTGGGAAGGGGGAGAAAATATCTTAAAACAAGACATCTAAACAGAATATCTGACAATACCTCTGGAAATACCCCCGAAAAGACAACACAAGGCCGCATAAGTGGCCAACTATTCTTGTATACTAATTGGTTTGTTAATGTATAACCAACCCTTACATTTTTAGAAATATTCAACAATACAAGTCCGCGAAAGATACCTGTAACACTAGAAGCTAGACAGGCACATTTCGACTCTGATCTTTGAGGACGTTGCTTGCTTGCTCTTAAAGAATCGGTACGGTAGAATTGGATTCTCTGTCGAGATAAAATTCTTATCACGGTCACCGGCCAAGACGGTTCTTCAGCTATAGTCGAATAAAGACCGCATGCCAATTGGCCCATAGCTAACTACTCTCGACTAGGGAATGCACGCTTTTTTCTTCGCCCTTTGCATGTCCTCGTCACGCTTAGTGTAAGACCTTTAGATAATATCGAAGGGAATACTTAGGATGAATGTGGAATCTAAAAAATAATAGAGATAAAAGGTATAAGCGGGTCACATAGTATAGATAATTAACAGCTGCTTTTCTAAAGAAGTAGCCTATGAAGGTAATGTGTATAGTTTGTAGGTTATATGATCCCTAGCCTAGATAAATAATAACATTATTACTTATAATGTCTACAGTTCTTACACACCTACCTAAGGTGCCTATATCCTAGCTAACACCTTAGGGCCAATTAGACCAGTTAGACCATTGACAGGATGGAGGTTGTCTGTCGCTTTTGGGTGTGTCACTGCCAGTGTATATGCAACACTGTGAAGATCAGCTTTATAGATACAATAGGGGTTGGCATTTTCAAACGTTATATATAAAAAGGTCGGTTTGCACATGTCGTGTCATTTTCAACATATATATTCTATATTTCACAGTTAGTGTTCCATGCCCTATCTATAACACGAATAATAATACGAATATCTAGAAGAAATTGCAAGGGGAAAACTTGGAAGACTATTAGAAACAACACTAAAAAAACTATCAAGAAGACTGCTAAAACAGTCTTAACAAGGTTGCTTAAATGGCCAACTTTCTTGTATACTATAGGTATGAGAGGATGATGGCGATGGTGAAAGCAATAGCCCCCGGTTAGTCCGGTTGTCGTGATAGTACCTTAAAAATGTGCGAAAGCTATTGCTGGCACCTGTCAAGACATATATCTTTTGATTCGGATCCTCAAAGACAAGAATGGCTTCGTAGAAGGCCTTCGCAGTCCAGGGGTCAACGTCATTCATCCTATTGGGGGGATCGGTTGCAATCACCCAGATGCCAGAATAAGAGGAAGTTTCTGTCACTCTATCGTGTTCCGCGATATTCAAAAACAAGGGAACTACTATATAAGAAAAAGAGACGAAATCTTACTGGTTAAGCGATTTATACTGCTCCGGCTAAACCCCACTCTCGATCTTCTCCAACCTACCATCACTCGGATCTACGCTTTCGGGCATAGCATCATGTCTTCGGCGTGCATAATCTGTCATAAAAGAAAGGTGTCGCATTGGTTATTGGCATGTTCTCGAATATTGCTAATGATTGTAGGTGAGGTGTGACTTTGCCACTCACGACCCTTGCACCAACTGCAAAAAGTCAGATGTGGAGTGCAGGTAAGCAAACCTGAAGAGAAATCGAATAATCGATAATTAACTCCCTCCAGACCATATACAAGAAAGCGCAAGAGGTTTACCAACAGCCTATCGCCA